GCGAGACCGCGAGACCAGGACCAGAGAGACCAGCGAGACCAGGGACCAGAGACCAGAGACCAGGGACCAGGGACCAGAGACCACAGAGACCACAGAGACCAGAGAGACCAGAGAGACCAGCGAGACCAGGGACCAGGGACCAGAGACCAGAGACCAGAGACCAGAGACCAGAGACCAGAGACCAGAGAGACCAGAGAGACCAGAGAGACCAGAGAGACCAGAGAGACCAGAGAGACCAGAGAGACCAGCGACCAGAGAGACCAGAGAGACAAGGGACCAGGGACCAGGGACCAGGGACCAGAGACCAGAGACCAGAGACCAGAGACCAGAGACCAGAGACCAGAGACCAGAGACCAGAGAGACCAGGGACCACGGACCACGGACCAGAGACCAGAGACCAGAGACCAGAGAGACCAGCGAGACCAGCGAGACCAGCGAGACCACGAGACCAGCGAGACCAGCGAGACCAGCGAGACCAGCGAGACCAGCGAGACCGAGACCAGCGAGACCAGCGAGACCAGCGAGGACCAGGGACCAGAGACCAGAGACCAGAGACCAGAGACCAGGACCAGAGACCAGAGAGACCAGGGACCACGGGACCAGAGACCAGAGACCAGAGACCAGAGACCAGAGAGACCAGAGAGACCAGAGAGACCAGAGAGACCAGAGAGACCAGAGAGACCAGAGACCAGCGAGACCAGCGAGACCAGCGAGACCAGCGAGACCAGCGGAGACAGACAGGAGACCAGCGAGACCAGGGACCAGAGAGACCAGCGAGACCAGAGACCAGAGACCAGAGACCAGAGACCAGAGAGACCAGAGACCAGGACCAGGGACCAGAGGACCAGAGAGACCAGAGAGACCAGAGAGACCAGAGAGACCAGAGAGACCAGAGAGACCAGAGAGACCAGAGACCAGAGACCAGAGACCAGAGACCAGAGACCAGAGACCAGGAGACCAGGACCAGAGACCAGAGACCAGAGACCAGAGACCAGAGACCAAGACCAGAGACCAGAGACCAGGACCGACAGAGACCAGAGACCAGAGACCAGAGACCAGAGAGACCAGAGAGACCAGAGAGACCAGAGAGACCAGCGAGACCAGCGAGACCAGCGAGACCAGCGAGACCAGCGAGACCAGCGAGACCAGCGAGACCAGCGAGACCAGCGAGACCAGCGAGACCAGCGAGACCCGAGACCAGAGAGACCAGCGAGACCAGGGACCAGAGACCAGAGACCAGAGACCAGAGAGACCAGGGACCAGGACCAGAGACCAGAGACCAGAGACCAGAGACCAGAGACCCGAGGAGACCAGCGAGACCAGCGAGACCAGCGAGACCAGCGAGACCGAGCGAGACCAGGGACCAGAGAGACCAGCGAGACCAGGGACCAGAGACCAGAGACCAGAGACCAGAGACCAGGGACCAGGGACCAGAGACCACAGAGAGACCAGAGAGACCAGAGAGACCAGAGAGACCAGAGAGACCAGCGAGACCAGCGAGACCAGCGAGACCAGCGAGACCAGCGAGACCAGAGGCCAGCGAGACCAGGGACCAGAGACCAGAGACCAGAGACCAGGGACCAGGGACCAGAGACCACAGAGACCACAGAGACCAGAGAGACCAGCGAGACCAGGGACCAGGGACCAGGGACCAGAGACCAGAGACCAGAGACCAGAGACCAGAGACCAGAGACCAGAGACCAGAGAGACCAGGGACCACGGACCAGAGACCAGAGACCAGAGACCAGAGACCAGAGAGACCAGCGAGACCAGCGAGACCAGCGAGACCAGCGAGACCAGCGAGACCAGCGAGACCAGAGACCAGCGAGACCAGGGACCAGAGACCAGAGACCAGAGACCAGAGACCAGGGACCAGGGACCAGAGACCACAGAGACCACAGAGACCAGAGAGACCAGAGAGACCAGCGAGACCAGGGACCAGGGACCAGAGACCAGAGACCAGAGACCAGAGACCAGAGACCAGAGAGACCAGGGACCACGGACCAGAGACCAGAGACCAGAGACCAGAGACCAGAGACCAGAGACCAGAGAGACCAGGGACCAGAGAGACCAGCGAGACCAGGGACCAGAGACCAGAGACCAGAGACCAGAGACCAGGGACCAGGGACCAGAGACCACAGAGACCACAGAGACCAGAGAGACCAGCGAGACCAGCGAGACCAGCGAGACCAGCGAGACCAGCGAGACCAGGGACCAGGGACCAGAGACCAGAGACCAGAGACCAGGGACCAGAGACCAGAGACCAGAGAGACCAGAGAGACCAGAGAGACCAGAGAGACCAGAGAGACCAGAGAGACCAGAGAGACCAGAGAGACCAGAGAGACCAGAGAGACCAGAGAGACCAGAGAGACCAGAGAGACCAGCGACCAGAGAGACCAGAGACCAGAGACCAGAGACCAGAGACCAGAGAGACCAGGGACCACGGACCAGAGACCAGAGACCAGAGACCAGAGACCAGAGACCAGAGACCAGAGAGACCAGCGAGACCAGCGAGACCAGCGAGACCAGCGAGACCAGCGAGACCAGCGAGACCAGCGAGACCAGCGAGACCAGCAGAGACCAGCGAGACCAGCGAGACCAGCGAGACCAGCGAGACCAGGAGACCAGGGACCAGGGACCAGAGACCACAGAGACAGAGACAGAGAGACCAGAGAGACCAGAGAGACCAGAGAGACCAGAGAGACCAGAGAGACCAGAGAGACCAGCGAGACCAGCGAGACCAGCGAGACCAGAGAGACCAGGGACCAGGGACCAGGGACCAGAGACCAGAGACCAGAGACCAGAGAGACCAGCGAGACCAGCGAGACCAGCGAGACCAGCGAGACCAGCGAGACCAGCGAGACCAGCGAGACCAGCGAGACCAGCGAGACCAGCGAGACCAGCGAGACCAGGAGACCAGAGAGACCAGCGAGACCAGGGACCAGAGACCACAGAGACCAGAGAGACCAGAGAGACCAGAGAGACCAGAGAGACCAGAGAGACCAGAGAGACCAGAGAGACCAGCGAGACCAGCGAGACCAGCGAGACCAGCGAGACCAGGGACCAGGGACCAGGGACCAGAGACCAGAGACCAGAGACCAGAGACCAGAGACCAGAGAGACCAGAGAGACCAGAGAGACCAGAGAGACCAGAGAGACCAGAGAGACCAGAGAGACCAGAGAGACCAGAGAGACCAGAGAGACCAGAGAGACCAGAGAGACCAGCGAGACCAGCGAGACCAGGGACCAGGGACCAGGGACCAGAGACCAGAGACCAGAGACCAGAGACCAGAGAGACCAGAGAGACCAGAGAGACCAGAGAGACCAGAGAGACCAGAGAGACCAGAGAGACCAGAGAGACCAGAGAGACCAGCGACCAGAGAGACCAGAGAGACAAGGGACCAGGGACCAGGGACCAGGGACCAGAGACCAGAGACCAGAGACCAGAGACCAGAGACCAGAGACCAGAGACCAGAGAGACCAGGGACCACGGACCAGAGACCAGAGACCAGAGACCAGAGACCAGAGAGACCAGGGACCACGGACCAGAGACCAGAGACCAGAGACCAGAGACCAGCGAGACCAGCGAGACCAGCGAGACCAGGAGACCAGAGAGACCAGCGAGACCAGGGACCAGAGACCAGAGACCAGGGACCAGGGACCAGAGACCACAGAGACCACAGAGACCAGAGAGACCAGAGAGACCAGCGAGACCAGCGAGACCAGCGAGACCAGCGAGACCAGCGAGACCAGCGAGACCAGGGACCAGAGACCAGAGACCAGAGACCAGAGACCAGAGACCAGAGACCAGGGACCAGAGACCAGAGACCAGAGAGACCAGAGAGACCAGAGAGACCAGAGAGACCAGAGAGACCAGAGAGACCAGAGAGACCAGAGAGACCAGAGAGACCAGAGAGACCAGAGAGACCAGAGAGACCAGGGACCAGAGACCAGAGAGACCAGAGAGACCAGAGAGACCAGGGACCAGAGACCAGCGACCAGCGACCAGAGAGACCAGGGACCAGAGACCAGCGACCAGCGACCAGAGAGACCAGAGAGACAAGGGACCACGGACCAGAGACCAGAGACCAGAGACCAGAGAGACCAGCGAGACCAGCGAGACCAGCGAGACCAGCGAGACCAGCGAGACCAGAGACCAGAGAGACCAGCGAGACAGGGACCAGAGACCAGAGACCAGAGACCAGAGAGACCAGAGACCAGGGACCAGAGAGACCAGAGAGACAAGGGACCACGGACCAGAGACCAGAGACCAGAGACCAGAGAGACCAGCGAGACCAGCGAGACCAGCGAGACCAGCGAGACCAGAGACCAGAGAGACCAGCGAGACAGGGACCAGAGACCAGAGACCAGGGACCAGAGACCAGAGACCAGAGACCAGAGAGACCAGAGAGACCAGAGAGACCAGAGAGACCAGAGAGACCAGAGAGACCAGAGAGACCAGGGACCAGGGACCAGAGACCAGAGACCAGCGACCAGAGAGACAAGGGACCAGGGACCAGAGACCAGAGACCAGAGACCAGAGACCAGAGAGACCAGGGACCACGGACCACGGACCAGAGACCAGAGACCAGAGACCAGAGACCAGAGAGACCAGAGAGACCAGCGAGACCAGCGAGACCAGAGAGACCAGCGAGACCAGCGAGACCAGAGACCAGAGAGACCAGAGAGACCAGCGAGACCAGGGACCAGAGACCAGAGACCAGAGAGACCAGAGACCAGGGACCAGGGACCAGAGACCAGAGACCAGAGAGACCAGAGAGACCAGGGACCAGAGACAAGAGACCAGAGACCAGAGACCAGAGACCAGAGAGACCAGGGACCAGAGACCAGAGACCAGAGACCAGGGACCAGAGAGACCAGGGACCAGAGACCAGAGAGACCGGAGAGAGCAGAGACTCAGACTGGACCAGACCTGGTCTAACAGTGTCTCGTTGCAGTGGGGAGAGTGGAGCTGGGAAGACCGTGGCAGCGAAGTTCATCATGAGCTACATCTCCAAAGTGTCCGGAGGAGGAGACAAAGTCCAGGTCAGACCCTAGACCTGGTTTGGGCCCTCTTTCAACCCTGTCCTCTTGTCTCGGTCTGGTCTCAGACCCAGCCTGGTCTCGGTCTCTCTCTGGTCTCAGTCTCTCTCTGGTCTCGGTCTCTCCCTCTGGTCTCGGTCTCTCTCTCTGGTCTCGGTCTCTCCCTCTGGTCTCGGTCTCTCCCTCTGGTGTCGGTCTCTCTCTCTGGTCTCGGTCTCTCTCTCTGGTCTCTGACTCAGTCTGGTCTCGGTCTCTTTCTGGTCTCTGTCTCTCTCTGGTCTCTGACTCAGTCTGGTCTCGGTCTCTCTCTGGTCTCGGTCTCTCTCTGGTCTCTGTCGCTCTCTGGTCTCTGACTCAATCTGGTCTCGGTTTCTCTCTGGTCTCTGTCTCTCTCTGGTCTCTGACTCAGTCTGGTCTTGGTCTCTCTCTGGTCTCGGTCTCTCTCTGGTCTCGGCCTCTCTCTGGTCTCGGTCTCTCTCTGGTCTCGGTCTCTCTCTGGTCTCGGTCTCTCTCTGGTCTCGGTCTCTCTGTCTGGTCTCGGTCTCTCTCTGGTCTCGGTCTCTCTCTCTCTCTGGTCTCTGTCTCTCTGGTCTCGGTCTCTCTCTGGTCTCGGTCTCTCTCTGGTCTCGGTCTCTCTCTGGTCTCGGTCTCTCTCTGGTCTCTGACTCAGTCTGGTCTCGGTCTTTCTCTGGTCTCGGTCTCTCTCTGGTCTCGGTCTCTCTCTGGTCTCGGTCTCTCTCTGGTCTCGGTCTCTCTCTGTTCTCGGTCTCTCTCTGGTCTCTCTCTGGTCTCGGTCTCTCTCTGGTCTCGGCCTCTCTCTCTGGTCTCGGTCTCTCTCTGGTCTTGGTCTCTCTCTCTGGTCTCGGTCTCTCCCTGGTCTCGGTCTGAGTCTGGTCTCGTCCACAGAGGGTCAAAGACATCATACTTCAGTCTAATCCGCTGCTGGAGGCTTTTGGAAACGCAAAGACTGTGAGGAACAACAACTCCAGCCGCTTCGTGAGTGTCACTGGGTCTGGGTCTGGGTCTACAACTAGGGTCAGGACCAGGACTAGGGTTTGGACCAGGACCCGGACTAGAGTTTGGACTAGGACCAGTACTAGGGTGGATGTCTAGTGTAACTGACTCAGATCCAGATGAACTCTGTATGTTTCGGTCTGGTCCGGTCTGGTCTGGTCCGGTCTGGTCCGGTGCCGTCCTCACATGGTGTTCCTCAGGGGAAGTACGTGGAGATCCAGTTCAGTTCTGGTGGAGCTCCAGATGGAGGAAAGATTTCCAACTTCCTCCTGGAGAAAAGCAGAGTGGTCTCTCAGAACCATGGGGAGAGGAACTTCCACATCTACTACCAGGTGAGTCCTGCTGCTGGTACTGCTGCTGCTGGTACTGCTGCTGAAGGTACTGCTGCTGGTACTACTGCTGGTACTGCTGCTGCTGGTACTGCTGCTGCTGGTACTGCAGATGGTACTTCTGCTGGTACTGCTGCTGCTGGTACTAATAAGCAGATCTTGATGATTAAAGCTGGTGTTTGCAGTTCTTGGACGGAGCGACTGCGGAGCAGCGGGAAAACCTGGGCGTGACATCACCTGATTACTACTTCTACCTCAACCAATCAGGGACCTTCACCGTGGATGATGTCATCGACAAGAAGGACTTTGCAGAAACCATGGTACAAAGTGAAACTGTTCAAATCAATCTCTCTCTGGTCTCTCTCTCTAGTCTCTCTCTGGTCTGCCTCTCTGGTCTCTCTCTGGTGTCTCTCTCTCTGGTCTCTCTCTCTAGTCTCTCTCTGGTCTGTCTTTCTGGTCTCTCTCTGGTCTCTCTCTGGTCTCTCTCTCTAGTCTCTCTCTCTGGTCTCTCTCTCTAGTCTCTCTCTCTGGTCTCTCTCTGGTCTCTCTCTGGTCTCTCTCTGGTCTCTCTCTCTGGTCTCTCTCTCTGGTCTCTCTCTCTGGTCTCTCTCTGGTCTCTGGTGTCATATGGTCTAGTCCTAGTCCTGGTTCTGGTCTCTGCAGGAGGCCATGTCAGTGGTCGGACTCTCGGATGAAGACCAGGACTCAGTTTTGCAGATCGTGGCCTCGATTCTTCACCTCGGAAACATCAGCTTCAGAGAAGAGAACAACTATGCCTCTGTGGAAAGTCCGGACTGTGAGTGAGACCGGGTCTTGACCAGGTCTAGACCAAGTCTGGACATCTGTGATCAGTCTTTGTCGGAGCTGTGCGTTTGGGCAGACAGCCGTGTCTTGGTAGTTTGACAGTTGTGTATAATACATTCTAATTATAGCACTGAACCAGGACTGTTTGTTCCAGGCCGGGTCCAGGCCGGGTCTAGGTTGGGTCCAGACAGACACAACATTTTGTCTGTCTGCCCTCTCTAACCCTCTGCCCTTCTCCTCCCTCCTCCTCCCCTCCCCTCCCCTCCCCTCCTCTCTCTCCTCCCTCCTCCTCCTCCCCTCCCCTCCCCTCTCTCCTCCCTCCTCCTCCTCCCCTCCCCTCCCCTCCCCTCTCTCCTCCCCTCCCCTCCCCTACCCTCCTCCTCCCCCCCTCCTTCCGCAGACCTGGCCTTCCCCTCCTTCCTCCTGGGGGTCCAGCAGGAGGCGCTGTGTTCGAAGCTGACCAGCAGAGTGATGGACAGTAAGTGGGGCGGCCGCTCTGAGGTCATCTCTGTGACGCTGAACACAGAACAAGCAGCTTTCACCCGCGACGCCCTGAGCAAGGCCCTGTACGGCAGGCTGTTCGACCACCTGGTGGAGGTGAGTGGTACTGCACCTGTGCTGCACCCATGTAACACCTGCATACACCTGTACGGAAGGCTGCTTGACCGCCTATTGGAGGTGAGTGGTACTGCACCGGTACTACACCAGGGCTACACCTGTGAGAGAGAGAGAGAGAGAGATGGGCGGAGTCGGGAGAGAGATGGGCGGAGTCGGAAGAGAGATGGGCGGAGTCGGAAGAGAGATGGGCGGAGTCGGGAGAGAGATGGGCGGGGTCGGGAGAGAGATGGGCGGAGTCGGAAGAGAGATGGGCGGAGTCGGGAGAGAGATGGCCTGTATACACCTGCATTACACCTGTACTACACCTGTATTACACATGCATACACCTGTACTGCACCTGTACTACAGCTGTATACACCTGTACTACACCTGTACTACACATGTTTACACCTCTTTTACACCTGTATACACCTGTACTACACCTGTACTGCACCTGTACTGCACCTGTACTACACCTGTACTACACCTGTACTACACCTGTTTACACCTGTTTACACCTCTTTTACACCTGTATACACCTGTACTACACCTGTACTGCACCTGTACTACACCTGTACTACACCTGTTTACACCTCTTTTACACCTGTATACACCTGTACTACACCTGTGCTGCACCTGCATTACACCTGTACTACACCTGTATTACACATGCATACACCTGTACTGCACCTGTATGCCAATGTACTACAGCTGTACTACACCTGTATACACCTGTACTACACCTGTTTACACCTCTTTTACACCTGTATACACCTGTACTACACCTGTACTGCACCTGTACTGCACCTGTACTACACCTGTTTACACCTCTTTTACACCTGTATACACCTGTACTACACCTGTACTGCACCTGTACTACACCTGTACTACACATGTTTACACCTCTTTTACACCTGTATACACCTGTACTACACCTGTACTGCACCTGTACTACACCTGTACTACACCTGTATGTTTGTTTGTTGACAGACTGTAAACAAAGCGATGGTGAAGCAGACTGAGGAGCTGAACATCGGAGTTTTGGACATTTATGGATTTGAGATTTTCCAGGTTTGACTCCTCCCCCTCATTAAGCTCCGCCCACAACCCCCCAGATACGCACACACAGAGACACGCACAAAGACACACACACACACACACACATACACGTTTTTGTTACCTGGTGGGTCCTCTTTGACAGGGCCGTTCAGAATGGGACCCATAGACATAATCTTTTTTTACTGGGACTACTTTAAGTAATACAAAACAGTCAATAGAAAACAAACAACTCTTTTAAAGGAATTTTATTTTTGATTTTTTTTTTCGAATTGCAGTGATTCTATTTTTGACATAGAATTTAATGCCACTCCATGTCCGATGTCTAAGGTCATCTGGTGAGGCATTAATGCAGGCCAGGCCAGGCCAGGCAGTGAGACTTCCCAGGGACTTTTCCAGTCTGTATGAAAGGCGTCATGGTCTTCTCCACAGCCTTCACCTCAGATGCAGACCATGGCTTTCTTACACGTTCTAGGGAGAGAAATAAAAATATATTAGCAATATACACTCCCAGGGTTAGGACCAAGCAGCCTGGCTGTAATCCCCCACCTGGTACACTTACCAGAAGGGGCACTGCCACTACCATGGGGTGCATCTGGATGAATGGTTGAAGGTTCTCCGCTTGAAGTTTCTTTTAGCCCGTCCGTTTGTGAGAGGATCTCTACTGCTCTCCCTGTCGCACAGGAAATAAAAATACAAGTGGCCTTTAGGGGAAAAAAATCCATCCATCCATTTTCTACCCTTCAATCCATTTCTGGGTCAGGGGGGTGGCAATCAGAAATGCCACCCAAGTCTCATAGCACCAGCCCCTCACTGACCCTCTGCAGGTGGTGAGTCCACAGGAGGACAGCTGCTCTCTGAGTGTGAGCATAGCCTTGATCTTTCAGGTGGGGCTTTGGGCAAAGTGGGGTTAAGTGTCTTGCCCAAGGACACAACGACAGCAGTCATCAGTGGGAGTCGGTGGAGAAGGTGTCGAGGTGGGAATTGAACCCACAACCTTCAGGCCTGAAGACCAATGCTCTACCAACTGAGCTACTGTCGCCCGGGGGAAAAAAAAATACATATTTTAATAATATCAAGAATTACCTTCAGGCTCAATTTGTATCTGGTCGAGGCTCTTCCCTTTGAATTCCGTCACTCTTCCCTGCTCCATGGCCATTAACACTTTGCTGATTTTGGCCAGCTCCAGTGTCCCCTCTGGTAGTCTGTAATATTGTCTGTGGATGTGAATGTCATGGCCGAGGAAGTTGGCTAGTATGTCCATTTCATTCTCTTTCATATTGAGAACTGTAGACATAGTAGCTATGTGCTTTCTCGTGTTTAAATATATTTATTGCTTTTTCACATTACAAATTAATAAACAAAACAAAAGAAAACCCGATCCCCCCCACCCACCGGACTGTCACCAATTCACATATACCACACAGATTCATTGCACTTGAATATAGTCAAACGTCAGTCTATTAAAGACCTGAAAGTCGAACGAAAGAAACATATAACAAAACAAAACAAACATCAAGGGTAAACCTGAGTTGTTGGCTTTTCAAAGAATGTTATAAAGGGTTTCCATATATTAACAAACTTTTCCTCAGAACCACGAATTGCATATCTTATTTTTTCCAGTCTGAGATTAGAAATGACGTCCCTAATCCAATGTGTCACAGAAGGCGGCATAGGATCCTTCCACTTTAAAAGAATGAGGCGGCGAGCCAATAGAGTGCTAAAAGCAACCACCTTGTAGCCCTCAGCTGGGAGCTGAAGCCCATCAGGTATGATTCCAAATAAGGCTATTAAAGGGTCTGGAGTAATTCGGACCTCTAAAACTGTAGACAAAGCCTCAAAGATACCTCTCCAATATACCTCAAGGTTAACACAAGACCAAAACATATGGAGCAGTGTAGCCTCGCTAATTTTGCATCTATCACAAAAAGGATCTGTTTGAGGAAACATTTTTGCCAATTTAGATTTAGACAAATGCACACGATGCACAATCTTAAATTGAATCAGGGAGTGACGGGCACACATAGAGGAAGAATGAACTTGCCTTAAAATCATAGCCCATAAATCATCATCTATAGTCATCTGGAGGTCTTCCCCCATAACTTCTGAATTTTAGACCCAGAGGGAGAAGATGACACGCCCAACATTTTAATGATTGATGAAATTGCTCCTTTCTTCTTCAATGAACAGGTAAAAAGATTTTCGAGAAGACTATTTGGTGGCTTATGAGGGAAAGTTGGAATTGCATCTTTAACATAATGCCTAAGTTGCAGATATCTAAAAAAATGAGACGGTGGAAGACCAAATTTCCGAGTTAATTGCTCAAATGATGCAAATTCCCCCTGAAAAAAAAAGTCACCTAAACATTTAAGTCCCTTATTGTTCCAAATTCTAAATATGTTGTCATGCATTGAAGGCTGGAAAAAAGGATTTTTTAAAATAGGGCTAAAAAGACAGACTTTTGACAAATTATGATGCCTCCGAAATTGACCGTATATTTTTAAAGAATTGATAACCCCAGGCACATTAGACCACTGCATTGGCAAAGATGAAGATAGAAAAGCTGACAGAGACATCGAGTCACACGAGCGTCTTTCCATAATCAGCCATACAGGACTCTCTTCGTCAGAGATGCAGTGCACCCAGAAGGATAAACAATATAAGTTTGCAGCCCAGTAGTACATTTTAAAATTTGGAAGAGCCATACCCCCATCCCTTTTTGGTTTCCGTAAGAACTCTATCCGTAAACGAGGCTGTTTCCCATTCCAAATGAACCATGTTATAACTGCGTCGAGTTTTTTGAAAAAACTCCCCGGAATAAATATAGGCAGACACTGAAATAAATATAAAAACTTTGGAAGAACCATCATGCCAATTGTATTAACCCGAGCAATTAAAGAAATAGGAAGGGAAGACCACAATGTTAGATCCTGTTTGGTTTGCAGTAAAAGTGTCCCCAAATTTAGTTCAAACAAGTCAGAAAAAGCCTTGGTTACTGTAATGCCAAGATAGGTAAAGTTATCTTTCGCTACTTTAAAAGGAACTGTTATACGTCCCAATGCTAACTCCGTCATATTAAGTGGCATCATTTCACTCTTCTGTAAATTCAACTTATAACCAGATACTTCTCCAAAATGATGAAGTAACTTAATAATCTGGGGAATAGTAGACTCCGCTTCAGATACAAAGAGTAAGAGATCATCCGCATATAAGGACAACTTGTGTTCGATATTTCCTCTAGTTATCCCCGTCACACATTTGTTGCTTCTTATAGCAATAGCAAGAGGCTCGATTGCCAAAACAAAGAGCAAAGGGCTGAGGAGACACCCCTGCCTTGTCCCACGATGTAAGGTAAAAGGTTTAGAATACAGGTTATTAGTCAAAACCATGGCCGAGGGGCACAAGTACAGAAGCCTTATCCAAGAAACAAAAGACGCGCCGAATCCGAATTTTAACATAGTCCCAAATAAGAAATTCCATTCCACCCTATCAAATGCTTTTTCTGCATCCATTGACAAAAAGCATTCAGAAACAGACTGACAGGGAGAATACAGAATGTTGAGTAAGCGTCGAATGTTAAAAAATAATGGTCTTCCTTTAACAAAGCCTGTTTGATCTGAGGAGATAATATTAGGGAGAACACCTTCAAGGCGGAGGGATAAAATCTTGGTCAAAATCTTATAATCCGAATTAAGCAGAGAAATTGGTCTATAGGATCCACAATCCAGTGGGTCTTTATCCTTCTTTAACAAAAGTGTAATACAAGCCTGATTAAAAGAAGGAGGAAGATGACCAGAGGCCAAAGACTCTGCATATACTTTAGTCAAAATAGGAGATAGCTGATTTGAAAAAACCTGGTAAAATTCATTGGGGAAACCGTCTGGACCTGGCGATTTTTTCGTTTTCAATGATTTAATAGCAAAGCACACTTCCTCCTGGGCAATATGGTCATCCAATAATAAAGCTTCTTCTGGAGAAAGAGATGGGAGATTCAAATTTTGAAAAAAGCCCTCGATTGAGTCCAGACTGGGATCACAGGCAGTGTACAAGTTGTCATAATATTCTTTAAAGGCGCTATTAATTCCTTGTTGATCCGTTGTAACAGTACCATCCAGAGCTCGTACACCAGAAATTAACTGCTTAGCCCTTGCGCCCCTCAACTGTCTAGCCAAAATCTCTCCAGACTTATCTCCATGCTCATACACAGAACTTCTATTTTTGAGTAATACATTTTCAATGTAGTGTGAAGTAAGCAAATCATATTCCGTTTTCAATTTGAGGCGTTCTTTATCCAAATCAGGAGAAGGAAGAAGAGAGTTTTGAACATCAATTTGCTTGATTTGTCCATCCAACTTAACCTGCGCTTCCATAGAGATCCGTTTTTTGTTAACCATATATGAAATTATTTGTCCTCTCATAAAAGCCTTTAAGGATTCCCACACCGTTAAAATAGACATGCCCTCCGTCATATTTATCTCTAGAAACATCATTATTTCCTGCGCTAAAAATTTGACAAATTTTTCATCCGACAGTAGCAATGAATTAAACCTCCAGTGTCTCCGAGCACCTCCGCCCTAAGGTAAAGACAAAGCTAATACTAAAGGGGCATGATCTGAAATTATTATAGTTTCGTATTCACAAGCACGCACACATGAAGAAAGCTTGTTATCAATAAAAAAATAATCTATCCTACTATATGTATGATGAACGTGCGAATAAAATGAATAGTTTCTATCTTGAGGGTGCAAGAAACGCCATATGTCAGAGACACCATATTCCTTAAGAAAAGATTTCACCCAGGCCGCCGACCTGGATGACACATTGCTCAATCTAGGGGAAGACCGGTCTAGTACCGGATCCATGGTCAAATTAAAGTCTCCACCCATTATAAGTAAATGTGAATTCAAATCAGGAAGCAACTTAATGATACGTTGAAAAAATAAAGAGTCATAAAAATTAGGAGCATATATATTGACAAGCGCTACTTTAGTATTATGTAATAAACCTGTCACTATCACATATCGCCCATTAACATCCACATAAGAATTTGAGTGAATAAATGAAGTATCTTTGCTTATTGCTATGGCCACCCCCCTTGATTTAGACTGAAAAGTGGAGTGGAAGAGCTGGCCTACCCATCCGGTTCTAAGGCGAAAATGATCAGAACTTTTAAGATGTGTTTCTTGAAGAATCGCCATGCCAACCCTCAAATGTCTTAAATGCGTCATAACCTTTTTACGCTTGACAGGATGATTCAAACCCTTGACGTTCCAACTTATAATATTCAAATTAACCTGCATTTAATAACATTAGCATAACATGAGACAATCTGTGCCATGAAAACAAAAATGGAATAGAATGTATACCTGATATAAACATGAGACATTTGCATATAGTGACAGCCCAGAAAAAAACCAAACCAAAAACAAAGCTAACAAAAAAACCCACCCCAAAGGTGATTCTAGCTGTAACAAACAGTAAAACAGCACACCTAACCTGCCTAAAACTAACGTCCTCCGAGAAAAACAAAACACCCTAATCTCACTTGGACTCCATTTAGCATAAAAAAGAAAATATTGACCCCCCAATATATGAATCAGATTAAAAAACAAGAAAATACAAGCATGAACAGCTATAGTATATAGTCAAACAAAATAACAGCATGGCCATGTAATGATAACTTAAAAAAAAACAGCTGACCAGCAGCACTTACAAAAGTCTGGCCATATATACGTTAAAAGAACAAAACAGAAAATACAATAGCAGAAAAAACACCATCGAGTCAGTCCCAGTAAAGTCTCTTCAAACAGATTTGTTCACCTCTTCGACATACCTCTCTGCCTCGTCCACTGATGTAAACAACTTGCGCGTGCCGTTTGTTTGAGTGATACGGAGTTTAGCTGGGTACAGAAGGGCTGGCTTTAGCCCCAGTTCGTATAGCGAAGACATGACTGCTTTGTACACTTTCCGCTGAGTGACAACCTCCGATGGGTAGTCTTCATAAAGTCGAAAAGTGTGTCCCTGGTAAACCAGAGTTTTCCTCACCCGAGCCCCACGCATTATCAGCTCCTTTTGCTGAAAACGATGGAAGCACACCATGACTGGCCGTGGCCTATCCCCGGGCTTCGGTTTGGGAGCCAGGCTGCGGTGCGCCCGGTCTAACTCGGGCAGAGACGGGAATAAATCACGGCCAAATACCTCCTGAAGTAGTTGAGCAAAAAAGTTAGTCGGTTGAACTCCTTCTATTGACTCCGGCAATCCCACCAATCTAACATTGGAACGTCTGCTCCGTCCTTCCAAGTCCGTAACTTTAGTGCGTAGCTTCTCATTCTCTGTTAGCACCTTGAGGTAGCAGGCCTCGAGTTTCTCCAAACGTCCATCTACGGATTCAGCATTGTCTTCTAAAGACGTCAGTCGACTGTCGTGACTATCCACAGACTGTTGAAGGCAATCTAGCTTCCCGTCGATTCTATTAAGGGATGTGTTGAGGTCAGCTGAAAGAGAATTCTTGTGTTCTGCTAGCGCTGCTAACAGATCTTCCTTGCTAACAGCGGTGATGCTAGCGGCCTCCGCACTTTTACTCTTTTCTCCGGCTCTGTGTGACTTCGGCATCCTACATCGAAGAGAAACTCCAATCTGGCTCGAATATATAAACAAACAAACTGCCCAGCTGACGCAAAAGAACACAAAATAAAACGTTGGGGGGTCAAAAAGTAACAGTTAAGTCGGGAGCCCAGCTTCCACACGCCTCTACTCCATGAGCAACCAACCGGAAGTCCAGCTATGTGCTTTCTAAGTTTGGTTGAGGATAGCATCTCTGGATGCACCGCACCACATTCTTTGGCTACCTGCCGTAGGGAGTCTGATCCCCTGATGTGGATGTCTGCGCCCGGGCGGGAGAAGAAGTATGGGTTATGGTCAGAGATGGAACAGCCCTTCTGTTCTCCACCAGCACCTCCATCGAAGCAATCATTTCAGGAGTCAAAAGAACCACCACTTTCCGACTTCTTTTCCCTTTAATTTCAATGCGTTGAAAATGTTGACACAGCTTTTTCTCAAGTTCGGACAGTCCCAGAGCAATGTCAGAATGGATCCCAGTCTTACTTCTTAAGGTAAACGCTGTCAGTGGCATCTTTGAAACCTCACCTTCCCTTCTTCGATTGAAAATAATGACCTCACAAAGAGTCAAAACTGCCAGTTTAGACCAATGCTTAGAGGTTGGCTCACTTATTAGGGTTTGCACATATTCAGGTCGACATACCTCAATATGTGCATGCATGGCTGTATTGATTTGTTTCCCCATCATATCCAGCCACAGACCTGACTGCATCAATCACATGGTTAAAGTTGGAAGGAATAAAGAAATCCTTAATTGTTTTCAGTTTCCCTGCGGTTTTTGCTTTGTTAATTAACCTACCGACTTCTCTCATTTTCTGCCTAATGTAATCATGCTTAGTCTTATCATGCCCGTGTTTTAAGTACAGGTGCTCTCCGAGTCTCAGAATCCCCTTTTCTGCTTTGACAACACCCGTGACCTCATCCTGATGCATTGCCGAAATTAAAGACCACAGCTTTTTGCTGATGCCCTCCGGTACAGGCTGGGCAGAGGGACTGGACCCTACTTCTACCTGGTTTAGCCTGGGCATCTTTCTGTGAAAGCCGGCACCTGGCCACATGCCTCCACAGCGACTTTCGCTTAAGCAATGCCCCACAGTCTATACAGTGCAAAAACTCACTGGATTTAAATGGGGAATTTGGCTGTTTAGCTGGGACTAAAGTTCCAATGCCGGCCTTTAAAACCTCAAAATTGTGCTCACGGTTTCCACTATTACTGATCAAATCAAACTGAAGTTTACGTGCTTTAGATTTCACAGGTAGAGCCAATGCTCTGGCTACGTCACTTTCATTTCCATGTTTTCTAGTCAAATGACGGGACATTTTGTGGCAGGACATTGAACAGTAGAGGCAGAAGTGTCTCTTGCTGTAAACTCTCCCCCCATTTTTCTTCTTTTGCAGCTGCATGATAACAATCTTATTTGCCTTTGGTTCGTCACTTTCCGAGTCTTGAAGAAAAGTGTTTTTGATTTTTCTTTTTCCATACTTTTTTACAGGTTTCTTCTTGACAGTTAAATCGTCAGAATCTGAGTCGACTTCATCAACTAGGGACTCTTGACTAAGCTGCACAAACAACAAATAATTAGTAATAATTCTATATAACAATTTGAAGTCATGACTTGTAGTCAGCACTTACCAGTGGTTTGTAAGCGTGCGCTTCAGTGTGCTCCTCCATGATTTCTTGCAGCCTAATGAACCACACACTTGCACCTTTTCTAGCCTGACACCTGATTTCCTCTGTTGTGCTGCTCCATGATTGGCTCCTGCTGGACTGAAATTGCCCCAGTGTGCCCCTCCTTGATATCCCGCAACCCACCACCAGGGTTCCGACACATAACACACTTTTTTCAGGAAAGTAAACCTCCAGGGTTCCATATTTTTACAGAGACTGCATAAGGACCGTTAGAAAAGCATTACCCATTGATTATTAAGCTTGGACCAGTGGGGTCCGGTGTTTGGGCCCCACCACGTAAAACCAGTCCCCATGACGTGAGTGGAATCTCAGGTTATGGAACCCACCAGGAGTTGAAAACAAGTGCACACACAGAGACACAGACACACACACACACACAAAGACACAAACACACACACAAAGACACACACACAGAGAGACACACACACACACACACACAGAGACACACACACACACACATTATGATTCTTTTTTTTCTTCAGAAAAACGGATTCGAACAGTTTTGTATCAACTTTGTGAACGAGAAACTGCAGCAAATTTTCATCGAGCTCACGCTGAAGGCCGAGCAGGTAAACAACAACAACATGTAAACAACAACAACATGTAAACAACAACATTTAAACATCAACAACAACATGTAAACAACAACAACAACAACATGTAAACAACAACAACATGTAAATAACAACCTGTAAACAACAACAACATGTAAACAACAACAACATGTAAATAACAACATGTAAACAACAACAACCTGTAAACAACAACATGTAAATAACAACAACATGTAAACATCAACAACAACATGTAAATAACAACAACATGTAAATAACAACAACATGTAAACAACAACAACCTGTAAACAACAACATGTAAACATCAATATAACCCGCATTTCAGTTTAGTTTTAGTTTTATTGTTGCGGGTCAGCTTCCGCCACATCTGATGGTTTCCCTTATGATGCGCGCTCCCCCACTTGACGCTCTCCTCCGCTGTACCTGTGGCATGTCATAGCTGCGGGCTAGCGTTACAAAGCTGCACAACTTTGTTATCGGAGCGTTTTTCCCTCTATCATAAAGACTCGACGCTTCCATGTGGGCGCGTGTTGAGTAGCATCAAAGCCCACGCAATTCAAGGTCCGGTTTTTTTGTACTGAGCTGTTTCCATAACCTGGCAAAAGCCAGATTGATGATTGTGTAGAACTCTAACGCGTTCTCCGCGATATCAATCTGGGATTTCTCCCGGAGAATCCTTTCGGGGAAAGGAGGGGTAAGCAGCAGAATACTTGAAGCTGATTGGGCGAAGTGACGCTGTGTGCCCGCCTACCAAGGTTGCCGTCCAGAAATGTACAAAGCGCCTCTCGCTGTTCATCTTTCAAAAAAGAAATTGGAGATTCTGCTAAAACTGACTTTGCGTCCGTCCTCCTGCGTAGCCATGTTTGTTTTGCTTCGGCCCGGCACTTCTTGCTTTTGTCAAACCCGGATATCCCGCCCTAAACCCCCAGACTGGCGCGTGATTGGCTCGCACACCCAGTGGTTCGACTCGAAAAGTGTAAGCGGGAGCGGTACAAGATGTATTCTCGAGTGTTTGTGAACTCACAAATACCGCGAGAATTCAGCTTGCAGGCAAGGTTACTGTTTCCACACCTCATCCTGATATCTCCCTGTCCCTGCCATGGACTCCTGGTAGGATAAGAGACTATTCATTCTTTTTTTCTTTACGTCCAACGGACAATATTGGACTATCGTGGACTATTTTGGTTTCTTTTCTTCTCTCCCTTTGAATGGGAGCACGGACTCTAACACAGAGCGTGTGAATCGTGGGAACAGTATCGTTATCAGCGAGGTTGTGGCTGTCAGTATTGTTATATTGTTATTCTGTACAATTTTGTGTTATTTACTTTCTACTTTTAATACAATACCAAACTCAAAACTCAATCAGTTGTTTTGTACCACTCATTCTACACCTCACAACCCAGGCTCCTTCCCGAACCAGTCTTTTGAATAGTACTCAGAGTTGAATCGCAGTCACATCTGGCCTAAACAACCTGTTGTTACAATCAACAACATGTAAACAACAACAACATGTAAACATCAACATGTAAACATCAACCACAACATGTAAACAACAACAACATGTTAACAACAACATGTAAACAACAACAACATGTTAACAACAACATGTAAACAACAACAACCTGTAACAGCATGGTGGCTAAGTGGTTACCACTCTCGCTTCTCAGCAAGAAGGTCCTGAGTTCGAATCCCTGTCGGAACAGGGCCTTTCTGAGTGGAGTTTGCATGTTCTCCCCATGTTTGCGTAGGTTTCCTCCTGGCACTCCGGTTTCCCCTACCACTAAAAACATGTGCAATAGTTCAGGGTGAATGAGTGTGAATGTGGGACAACAGATGGAAATGACACACACACAATACATGAAGTAAACAGGTCGACTCAGTTGTAGAGTTTGGTCTTGGAGCCGGACAACAACAACATGTAAACAACAACATGTGTGTTGACGCCTGTTGCCGGGTTACAGGAGGAGTACGTACAGGAGGGGATCCAGTGGACGCCCATCGACTATTTCAACAACAAAGTGGTGTGTGACCTCATCGAGTCAAAGGTCAGTGAGGGTGGTCTTTAACATGAGGGTGGTCTCTAACATGAGGTGGTCTCTAAAATGAGGGTGGTCTCTAACATGAGGTGGTCTGTGAGGGTGGTCTCTAACATGAGGGTGGTCTCTAACATGAGGTGGTCTCTAACATGAGGTGGTCTCTATCATGAGGGTGGTCTCTAACATGAGGTGGTCTCTAACATGAGGGTGGTCTCTAACATGAGGGTGGTCTCTATCATGAGGGTGGTCTCTAACATGAGGGTGGTCTCTAACATGAGGTGGTCTCTAAAATGAGGGTGGTCTCTAACATGAGGTGGTCTGTGAGGGTGGTCTCTAACATGAGGTGGTCTCTAACATGAGGTGGTCTCTATCATGAGGGTGGTCTCTAACATGAGGTGGTCTCTAACATGAGGGTGGTCTCTAACATGAGGGTGGTCTCTATCATGAGGGTGGTCTCTATCATGAGAGTGGTCTCTAACATGAGGTGGTCTCTAACATGAGGGTGGTCTCTATCATGAGGGTGGTCTCTATCATGAGGGTGGTCTCTAACATGAGGTGGTCTCTATCATGAGGGTGGTCTCTAACATGAGGTGGTCTCTAACATGAGGGTGGTCTCTAACATGAGGGTGGTCTCTATCATGAGGGTGGTCTCTATCATGAGGGTGGTCTCTGACATGAGGTGGTCTCTGAGGGTGGTCTCTAACATGAGGGTGGTCTCTCTCATGAGGGTGCTCTCTAACATGAGGTGGTCTCTATCATGAGGGTGGTCTCTAACATGAGGTGGTCTCTAACATGAGGGTGGTCTCTAACATGAGGTGGTCTCTAACATGAGGGTGGTCTCTAAAATGAGGGTGGTCTCTTTTTTTCTTTTTCTTTTTTTATTGTAAAAGATGGACACAAATACAAGTGCAGACGTACAGATGCAGTTACAGTGACAGACAAGATACAGTGTGTGAGAGATGGCGTGTGTGGAGGTAGGTTATGAGTTGGAGGTAGGTTATGAGTTGGAGGTAGGTTATGAGTTGGAGGTAGGTTATGAGTCGGAGGTAGGTTATGAGTTGGAGGTAGGTTATGAGTTGGAGGTAGGTTATGAGTTGGAGGTGGGTCATGAGTTGGAGGTAGGTTATGAGTTGGAGGTAGGTTATGAGTTGGAGGTAGGTTATGAGTTGGAGGTGGGTTATGAGTTGGAGGTGGGTTATGAGTTGGAGGTAGGTTATGAGTTGGAGGTAGGTTGGAGGTAGGTTATGAGTTGGAGGTAGGTTATGAGTTGGAGGTAGGTTATGAGTTGGAGGTAGGTTATGAGTTGGAGGTAGGTTATGAGTTGGAGGTGGGTCATGAGTTGGAGGTAGGTTATGAGTTGGAGGTAGGTTATGAGTTGGAGGTAGGTTATGAGTTGGAGGTAGGTTATGAGTTGGAGGTAGGTTATGAGTAGGAGGTAGGTTATGAGTTGGAGGTAGGTTATTAGTTGGAGGTAGGTTATGAGTTGAGGTAGGTTTTGAAAGAGCGGTTCACTCAGATTCAGATCAGATTCAGATCAGATTCATTTATTTGCCATTTGCAGTAAAACCACATTGGAAAAACTGTGCAAGACTACCCCAGTGTGCACCAGACGACACACACCAGAGCTCTTGCCACGGCGCCATGCGAGACAACAAGAACTCTCTCTGGACAACAAGAACCAAAACACTCATGATTTTGCAGAATTCCAATGGACCCATCACTCTGCCTCCTGGACACACTACAGAAATAGCCCTTCCACTCAAGTTTAAAAACCCATTACTCATCTCCTTAACTATCGGCAAGAAAATAATGAGGGTGGTCTCTAACATGAGGTGGTCTCTAACGGGGCTTTCAGACCGCCAACGCTGAAACGCTGAAGCCCCGCTCACCAGACGCGCATTCTCTAGTTTTCAGACGCAGAGGACTTCACACCAGAACGTCCTGACGCGAGCCGGAAGTACCGGAAGTAGCCGGCCGGCTCTGATGCTAACAGAGCTATGCTAGCGGCTTCTTGTGTACAGATCTTCTCCAATATGCAGCTTTGCAGCGTGTCTTTGCTCACAGACATTCCACGGGCTTTTTATAACAGTAGTATGTGTTCACGGTGACTTTATATAACAGTAGTATGTGTTCACGGAGGTGACTTTATATAACAGCAGTATGTGTTCACGGAGGTGACTTTATATAACAGTAGTATGTGTTCACGGTGACTTTATATAACAGCAGTATGTGTTCACAGTGACGTTATATAACAGCAGTATGTGTTCACGGAGGTGTCTTTATATAACAGCAGTATGTGTTCACGGAGGTGACTTTATATAACAGCAGTATGTGTTCACGGTGACTTTATATAACAGCAGTATGTGTTCACAGTGACTTTATATAACAGTAGTATGTGTTCACGGAGGTTACTTTATATAACAGCAGTATGTGTTCACGGAGGTGACTTTATATAACAGCAGTATGTGTTCACGGAGGTGACTTTATATAACAGCAGTATGTGTTCACGGAGGTGACTTTATATAACAGTAGTATGTGTTCACGGAGGTGACTTTATATAACAGCAGTATGTGTTCACGGAGGTGACTTTATATAACAGCAGTATGTGTTCACGGAGGTGACTTTATATAACAGCAGTATGTGTTCACGGAGGTGACTTTATATAACAGCCGTATGTGTTCACGGAGGTGACTTTATATAACAGCAGTATGTGTTCACGGAGGTGACTTTATATAACAGTAGTATGTGTTCATGGAGGTGACTTTATATAACAGTAGTATGAACACACTCGAAGCAGTTGCATAAGGTCACAGGAGCATGACAACCCATATTTTCACAAGCACAGAGTCCCCCATTGTCAGCCCTGGTTTGAGTTCTGGTGAAGTCTGGTGCGGGTCCTGTTTTGGCTGTTTGAGTATCTTCAGTCTGCTCGCTCAGTCCGCTAATGTCCCCGTGACCACTTTGCTGCTCTCTGATTGGTTGTCGCACAAACGTCCCAAGGAAAGGATGAGCAGAATCATCTCCTGTGGGCGTTGATTTTTTGCTCCTGCTCCTCCCCTTTGACTTTCCCGCCAAGTCCGTGCGTCATTATTGAACAGTCCGTTTGTGCAAACCGAGAGGTCCGTGCGTTGTGACGGTTGAACGCGCGCCACCGTAGACTTTGCATTGAAACCCGACGCAACGCATGTTCCGGTCTGAAAGCACCTTAACATGAGGTGGTCTCTTACATGAGGGTGGTCTCTGAGGGTGGTCTCTAATATGAGGGTGGTCTCTGAGGATGGTCTCTAACATGAGGTGGTCTCTATCATGAGGGTGGTCTCTATCATGAGGGTGATCTCTAACATGAGGGTGGTCTCTGAGGGTGGTCTCTAATATGAGGGTGGTCTCTAACATGAGGTGGTCTCTATCATGAGGGTGGTCTCTAACTTGAGGGTGGTCTCTATCATGAGGGCGGTCTCTAACATGAGGTGGTCTCTAACATGAGGGTGGTCTCTGAGGGTGGTCTCTAATATGAGGGTGGTCTCTATCATGAGGGTGGTCTCTAACATGAGGTGGTCTCTAACATGAGGGTGGTCTCTAACATGAGGGTGGTCTCTAACTTGAGGGTGGTCTCTATCATGAGGGTGGTCTCTAACATGAGGTGGTCTCTAACATGAGGGTGGTCTCTGAGGGTGGTCTCTAACATGAGGGTGGTCTCGAACATGAGTTGGTTTCTAACATGAGGGTGGTCTCTAACATGAGGGTGGTCTCTAACATGAGTTGGTCTCTAACATGAGGGTGGTCTCTAACATGAGGGTGGTCTCGAACATGAGTTGGTCTCTAACAAGAGGGTGGTCTCTAACATGAGTTGGTCTCATACATGAGGTGGTCTCTAATAGAGCCCGCCTGGTGTGATGTGTGTCCTGGACGACGTTTGTGCGACGATGCACGCCAAAGGAGAAGGAGCCGACATCACACTCCTGCAGAAACTACAAGGACAGGTGAGGAGAAGGAGGAGGAGGAGGAGGGAGAGGTTGGGGAGAGAGAGGTTGGAGAGAGAGAGAGAGAGAGAGAGAGAGAGGAGAAGGGGGAGGGAGGAGAGAGAGAGAGAGGAGAAGGGGGAGGGAGGAGAGAGAGAGAGAGGAGAAGGGGGAGGGAGGAGAGAGCGAGAGAGAGAGAGGAGAAGGGGGAGGGAGGAGAGAGAGAGAGAGCGAGAGGAGAAGGGGGAGGGAGGAGAGAGAGAGAGAGAGAGAGGAGAAGGGGGAGGGAGGAGAGAGAGGGGAGGAGGAGAGAAGGGGGAGGAGCATCAGTCTCGGTCACATGACTCCCTTGCGTCAATCACAGATGGGGTCACTTGAACACTTCAGCAGCTGGAACCAGGGCTTCATCATCCACCACTACGCGGGCAAGGTAACACTGATGCTAACGCTAATGCTAACGGCTAGTGCTAACGGCCAATGCTATAGGACTAATGCTATCAGACTATTGCTAACGACTAATGCTATCGGACTGATGCAATTGGACTAATATTATCTGGATAGTTTTAACAGGCTAATGCCAAAACTGAAACTGAAACTGAAACTGAAAGCTGACGGGCTAGTGCTAATGGGCTAACTGCACCGGCTAGTGCTAACATTGGTGTGGCAGCATCTACAAAGCCTTTCTCTTCAGGTCTTTTATGATTGTAATATAAACTAATCCCGTCCCCTCAAACCCCGCCCCCTTGAACCCAACCCTCTCAAACTCCACCCCCTTAAACCCCGCCCTTCCAGGTGTCCTATGACGTCAGTGGATTCTGTGAGAGAAACAGAGACGTTCTGTTCAGCGACATCATCGAGCTGATGCAGAGCAGCGAGTTGTGAGTTTACTCTGAAACACAGACATAAGCTGTATTCTGAGCTAACACATCTGTAATCTGAGCTAACACATCTGTAATCTGAGCTAACACATCTGTTATCTGAGCTAACACAGCTGTAATCTGAGCTAACACATATGTAATCTGAGCTAACACATCTGTAATCTGAGCTAACACAGCTGTAATCTGAGCTAACACATCTGTAATCTGAGCTAACAGATGTAATCTGAGCTAACACATCTGTTATCTGAGCTAACACATCTGTAATCTGAGCTGTAATCTGAGCTAACACAGCTGTAATCTGAGCTCACACAGCTGTAATCAGAGCTGTAATCTGAGCTAACACATCTTTAATCTGAGCTAACAGATGTAATCTGAGCTAACACATCTGTTATCTGAGCTAACACATCTGTAATCAGAGCTCACACAGCTGTAATCTGAGCTAACACAGCTGTAATCTGAGCTATCACAGCTGTAATCTGAGCTCACACAGCTGTAATCAGAGCTGTAATCTGAGCTAACACAGCTGTAATCTGAGCTAACACATCTGTAATCTGCTAAAACTCAGATAGTAAATGTTTGCTCAGTCCTTTCATCAGAGCTCTGTTTCCGGAAAACCTGGAGGCCGAGAAACGAGGACGTCCTTCAACTGTGGGCTCCAAGATCAAGGTGAGGCTACGAGCTAACTCATGCTAATGCTAAGTCTCACTTCTAATGCAACACTAATGCTAATTCCTCCTAAGGCTAATGCCAACTCCTGATGCTAACTCGTGCCAACGCCCCGTCTCCATAGAAACACAGACTCCTCCCTCTCCCATCTCCATAGAAACACTGACTCCTCCCTCTCCCGTCTCCATAGAAACACTGACTCCTCCCTCTCCCGTCTCCATAGAAACAGGCCAACGCTCTGGTCAGCGCGCTCACTAAGTCGGCGCCGCACTACGTTCGCTGCATCAAACCAAACGAGACCAAGAAACCTGGAGACTGGGAACAGAAGAGAGTGCGGCACCAGGTGGAGTATCTGGGACTGAGAGAGAACATCCGGGTCCGCAGGGCCGGGTTTTCATACCGACGGGTCTTCAACAAGTTCATCCAGAGGTGAGAGGAGGGGGAAAGAGAGGGAGGGGAAAGAGGGGGAGGGGAAAGAGGGGGAGGGGAGGACCCGGTCCAGACCCGGTGCAGACCTGGTTTGTCTCCTCAGGTTTGCGATCCTGACGCCACAGACGTTCCCGGCGTGGAGGGGCGACCTGCGGGAGGGAGTCCTGGTTCTGCTGAGGTCTGTGAACATGGACCAAGACCAGTACCAGCTTGGGACCAGCAAGGTCTTCATCAGAGCACCTGAGTCGGTACGACCATCTGACCCTGTGATCCCTGTACCATGTGACTCCTGTACAATGTGACCCCGTACAATGTGACCATGTGACCCCCGTACCATGTGACCCCCGTACCATGTGACCCCTGTACCATGTGACCCCTGCACCATGTGGCCTCAGCTGTTCCTGTTGGAGGAGATGCGTGAGCGGAAGTACAATGGTTTTGCTCGAGTGATTCAAAAAGCCTGGAGGAGACACACGGCGGTGAGGAAGTACGTCCAGATGAGACAAGAGGGTGAGTCCACATGGTCCTCTCCTGCTCTCCTCCTCTCCTGGTCTCCTCCTCTCCTCCCCTGGTGTCCTCCTCATCTAGTGACTCCTGGTCTCCTCCTCACCTGGTCTCCTTCTGGTCTCCTCCTCACCTGGTGTCCTTCTGGTCTCCTCCTCACCTTGTCTCCTCACCTGGTCTCCTCAACCCAGACCTCCTCCTGGTCTCCTCACCTGGTCTCCTCCTCACCTTTTATCCTCCTTACCTGGTGTCTCCCCTGGTCTCCTCTTCACCTGGTCTCCTCCTCCCCTGGTGTCCTCCTCACCTGGCGTCTCCCCTGGTCTCCTCCTCACCTAGTCTCCTTCTGGTCTCTTCCTCACCTGGTCTTCTCCTGGTCTTCTTCTGGTCTCCTCCTCACCTTGTCTCCTCCTGGTCTCCTCTTCACCTTGTCTCCTCCTGGTCTCCTCACCTGGTCTCCTCCTGGTCCTCAGCCTCAGACCTCCTCCTGAACCATAAGCAGCGTCGCAGGAACAGTCTGAACAGGAACTTTGTTGGAGACTACATTGGTCTGGACCAGAGACCGGAGCTTCAGACCTTCATCCCCCGAAGAGAGAGACCAGAGTTCTGCCACATGGTCCTCAAGTACGACCGCCGCTTCAGGGTGAGACCAGGACCAGACCTGAGACCAGACCCGCAACCAGACCCGCGACCAGACCCGCGACCAGACCCGCGACCAGACCCGCGACCAGACCCGCGACCAGACCCGCGACCAGACCCGCGACCAGACCCGAGACCAGACCCGAGACCAGACCCGAGACCAGAGCGAGAGACCAGAGCGAGAGACCAGAGAGAGAGACCAGAGAGAGAGACCAGAGAGAGAGACCAGAGAGAGAGACCAGAGAGAGACCAGAGAGAGAGACCAGAGAGAGAGACCAGAGAGAGAGACCAGACCTGGTCCCTGGTCTGAGTCTCATGTCTTGTTTCAGAGTGTGAAGCGGGATCTCATCCTGACCTCTAAATGTTTGTACCTGATTGGTCGAGAGAAAGTGAAGCAGGGGCGGGACAAAGGCCAGATCCAGGAAGTCCTTAAAAGGAAGATCGAGATTCCGGACGTCCAATCAGTGTCTCTGAGGTAAGCTGTCCTCAGTAGCTGCTCTCTGATTGGCTCGTCCTCCTTACGCTGCCCTCTGATTGGCTCCTCCTCCTCATGCTGCCCTCTGATTGGCTCCTCCTCCTCACGCTGCCTTCTGATTGGTCCACAGCTGTCTCCAGGACGACCTGTTCATCGTTCATGAGTCTCACTACGACAGTGTTCTGCAGAGCGTCTTTAAAACTGAGTTTCTGAGTTTGTTAATGAAGAGATTCACAGAAGGGACGGGGAAGAAGCTGCCTCTGAAGTTCAACAACCTGTGAGTGACACCAGGACCAGGACTGGACCAGAACCAGGACTGGACCAGGGGTGGACCAGGGCTGGACCAGGACTGGACCAGGACTGGACCAGGACAGGACCAGGACTGACACTCAAGTTCAATGACCAGTGAGTAGGACCAGGACTGGACCAGAGATTGGGTCTGGACCAGTTCTGAATTGGGTCTTCCTCAGGCTGGAGTTTAAGGTGAAGAAAGGCGGCTGGGGCCCGTTCGGCTCCGCAGGGTCTCGGCAGATCCAGTTCTCTCTCGGAGACGGAGACCAGATGGTCCTGAAGCCGAGTGGGAAGGTCCTGCTGGTCACCATCGGACCTGGACTTCCTGCAAACTCAAGTAAGACCAGGACCGAGACCGAGACCCAGTCTCTGACTCAGACCATCATGAGAACCATGTAGAACCAATGTATTTTGTAAATGAGGGTTAGGACCATATGAGCTTCTGCTTCTACCTACTCCCTTTTGAACGTGTGAATGGAACAGACATGTTTGGTTTGTTTTAAGGCTTGTGTATAAAGTACGCACACATGTTTCAAAATAAACTGAAATGAAATTAAATGAAATATAGACTCCATTAAACCTTGTCTATGAACAGGACCGACCCGGAAGGACATCAGGAAGAGCCGCCACATTAGCCCCGCCCACAACCCCGCCTCCAAGCAGCGGCCGAGCTCAGGTGAAGTCATGTCTGATATGAATAATAATGTTATTTCTAATATAGTAATATGTGTCACAGGTGCAGTTCACAGACGCACCTCCAGGGGGCTCTCTCTGCGACAGTCTTCTATGGAGCAGCCCACTCTCCCCCGTCACCACGGCAACCGCCAGAGCCTCCAGTCGCCACAGCAACCACAGGACCGCGCCTTCATGGACGTCCCTGAGACCGGAGCCGCCGGGTCAGTCCTCCCCCACCTTCCCTGCCTCCCCACCCCTCCTCCCCCTCCTCCCCCACCTCCTCACCCCTCATCCCCCACCTCCTCACCCCTCCTCATTCCCTCCTTCCCTGAACTGGTCTCACCCTGTGTGTCTCCCTCAGTGAGCAGAGGAGCAGGACCTCAATCAGACCGGACCCCGGTCAGGGGAGACCTAAACCCAGTCCCAGACCCAGACCCCGTGGTCCTCAGTGCAGAGCGTTCTGGGCGTACGACGCTCAGGACACCGACGAACTCAGCTTCAACGCCGACGACGTCATCGACATCCTGTCAGAGGGTATGGATACTTATGCAGACTTGTATAACCTGTCATGTGTTATACAGTGCCTTGCGAAAGTATTCGGCCCCCTTGAACCTTTCAACATTTTGCCACATTTCAGGCTTCAAACATAAAGATATAGAAAATATTTTTTTAGTCAAGAATCAACAACAAGTGGGACACAATCGTGAAGTGGAACAACATTTATTGGATGATTTAAACTTTTTTAACAAATAAAAAAACGGAAAAGTGGGGCGTGCAATATTATTCGGCACCCTTGCGCTAATGCTTTGTAGCGCCACCTTTTGCTGCAATTACAGCTGCAAGTCGCTTGGGGTATGTCTCTATCAGTTTTACACATCGAGAGACTGGAATTCTTGCCCATTCTTCCTTGCAAAACAGCTGGAGCTCAGTGAGGTTGGATGGAGAGCGTTTGTGAACAGCAGTCTTCAGCTCTTTCCACAGATTCTCGATTGGATTCAGGTCTGGACTTTGACTTGGCCATTCTAACACCTGAATACGTCTATTTGTGAACCATTCCATTGTAGATTTGGCTTTATGTTTTGGATCATTGTCCTGTTGGAAGATAAATCTCCGTCCCAGTCTCAGGTCTTTTGCAGACTCCAACAGGTTTTCTTCCAGAATGGTCCTGTATTTGGCTCTATCCATCTTCCCATCAATATTAGCCATCTTCCCTGTCCCTGCTGAAGAAAAGCAGGCCCAAAGCATGATGCTGCCACCACCATGTTTGACAGTGGGGATGGTGTGTTCAGGGTGATGAGCTGTGTTGCTTTTACGCCAAACATATCGTTTTGCATTGTGGCCAAAAAGTTCGATTTTGGTTTCATCTGACCAGAGCACCTTCTTCCACATGTTTGGTGTGTCTCCCAGGTGGCTTGTGGCAAACTTTAAACAAGACTTTTATGGCTATCTTTGAGAAATGGCTTTCTTCTTGCCACTCTTCCATAAAGGCCAGATTTGTGCAGTGCACGACTGATTGTTGTCCTATGGACAGACTCTCCCACCTCAGCTGTAGTTATCTGCAGTTCATCCAGAGTGATCATGGGCCTCTTGTCTGCATCTCTGATCAGTCTTCTCCATGTTTGAGATGAAAGTTTGGAGGGACGGCCAGGTCTTGGTAGATTTGCAGTGGTCTGATACTGCACAGTGCTCCTTGAGATGTTTAAAGCCAATCTTTTTGTATCTAAATCCGGCTGTAAACTTCTCCACAACAGTATCTCGGACCTGCCTGGTGTGTTCCTTTGTCTTCATGGTTCTCTCTGCGCTTTAAACAGAACCCTGAGACTATCAAAGAGCAGGTGCTTTTATACGGAGACTTGATTACACACAGGTGCATTCTATTTATCATCATCAGTCATTTAGGACAACATTGGATCATTCAAAGATCCTCACTGAACTTCTGGAGTGAGTTTGCTGCACTGAAAGTAAAGGGGCCGAATAATATTGCACGCCCCACTTTTCAGTTTTTTATTTGTTAAAACAGTTTAAATTATCCAATAAATGTCGTTCCACTTCACGATTGTGTCCCACTTGTTGATTCATGACAAAAAATTAAAATGTTATCTTTGTTTGAAGACAAATGTGGCGAAATGTTGAAAGGTTCAAGGGGGCCGAATACTTTCGCAAGGCACTGATATATATCAGTATATGTATAATATATATATTATATATATACTGATATATAACAGTATATATAACTATTTATAAACTGTTGTATATACTGTGGTCAGATGCCAGCGGGTGGTGGTTCGGGCGTCTTCGTGGTCGTGAGGGAATGTTTCCTGGAAACTATGTGGAGAAAATCTGAACCAATCAGACGACAGAGCTGAGTCATGTGACTGAAATGTCTTTTTATAAACAGATTCTTATTAAAACTGAGTCAGACTTTTATTTAACAGGACTACTCCCCACAGGCCCCCCCACACTGAGGTCTCTCTCTCTGGTCTCTCTCTCTGGTCTCTGTCTGGTTCAACATGTTATGAGAGCTCGGAGTAGAGCTGCTGCTCCTCATGGAAGACAAACCTTTGTAATAAAAGTCTTTATTAAACATGTGCAGATAAATCCACTACAGCAGTCGACAATAAATACAAAATCATCTGTATCAAACATTTGTACAGCAGCCTCAGAAGTGGTCCCAGACCGGGGGGTCCCAGACCGGGGTCCCGGTCCCTCAGCAGCTCTGGGTCATACCTGAAACACAGATGTATCAGTCTCAGTTTTACACAGACTCAGAGGACGTCCCCCCGACCCTTCAGTCTAAAGCAGAGATCTCAAACATGTTGTCGTCCCCTGGCGGACACAGACTGTCAGCTCAGTCTGGTCTCATGGTTGGTATACATACATACACACGTACGTATGTATGTATACATACATACATACATACACACGTACGTATGTATGTATACATACATACATACATACATACACACGTACGTATGTATGTATACATACATACATACATACATACACACGTACGTATGTATGTATACATACATATGTATGTATACATACATACATACATACATACACACGTACGTATGTATGTATACATACATATGTATGTATACATACATACATACATACATACACACGTACGTATGTATGTATACATACATACATACATACACACGTACGTATGTATGTATACATACATACATACATACACACGTACGTATGTATGTATACATACATACATACACACACGTACGTATGTATGTATACATACATACACACACGTACGTATGTATGTATACATACATACACACACGTACGTATGTATGTATGTATACATACATACACACACGTACGTATGTATGTATGTATACATACATACACACACGTACGTATGTATGTATGTATACATACATACACACACGTACGTATGTATGTATGTATACATACATACACACACGTACGTATGTATGTATGTATACATACATACACACACGTACGTATGTATGTATGTATGTATACATACATACACACACGTACGTATGTATGTATGTATACATACACACGTATGTATGTATACACATGTATACATACACACGTATGTATGTATACACATGTATACATACACACACATGTATACATAGTAAGTAATTAAGTAATGTTTATTTATATACCGCCTTTCACAGACCAGAGTCAAAGCAGTTTACAATTATTATTTATTTTATTTTTGGGCACTTGTTTCTCACTCCACACAGAGATGCCAGACCTATTGTACATATTTTTAGTGGTACGGGAAACCGGAGTACCCGGCGGAAACCTACGCAGACACGGGGAGAACATGCAAACTCCACTCAGAAAGGCCCTGGTCTGACCGGGAGCAGTTTCGCCTTCTTGCTGAGAGGCCGCCCTGTATACACTTGTAAAACATACACATGTAAACATTGCTTAAAGCTGCACCTCATGGAAGTTCCTGGCAGGGGGCGCTCTCTCCCTCCTCCTCCACTGTTCCATCTTCTTCATGAACTCAGACACCACACAGACGGACGAGGTCAGAGCGGCCAGGAACAGGAGGTCTGAAACACACATGGTACAAGGACCATGAGAGACCAGAGAGAGAGAGACCAGAGAGAGAGAGACCAGAGAGAGAGACACCAGAGAGAGAGACACCAGAGAGAGAGACCAGAGAGAGAGACCAGAGAGAGAGATCAGAGAGAGAGATCAGAGAGAGAGATCAGAGAGAGAGATCAGAGAGAGAGATCAGAGAGAGAGATCAGAGAGAGAGATCAGAGAGAGAGATCAGAGAGAGAGACACTCTAATCCTTGTCCCTCTCTGGTCCAGATATTGTTGTTCTACTTTTTCTCTCTGCGGCCGATTGCTGTGACCAGACCAAGTTTATAAACTTTGTACACACAACAATCTGGTACAGTGAGGACCAATGTGTCGTGTTGACTGGTACAGTGAGGACCAAGTGTGGTGCTGGGTGGTGCAGTGAGGACCATGTGAGGACCATGTTTGGCCCATGTGTGGTTGTGTGGTGCTGGCTGGTGCAGTGAGGACCACGTGGGTGACATACCAGCGAGGCTCAGGCTCTCGGTCTGGAACACCCTCTGCAGGGGCGGGGAGTAGATGACCAGCAGCTGACCCATGATGGAGGCCAGCACCGCCACACAGAAGACGGGGTTACTGAGGAGACCCAGCTCATGGACCAGCCGCGTCTGTGGAGGAGGGGAGAGGTTACTATGGAGACCAGGAGAGACTAGGGGGGGTTACGATGGAGACCAGGAGAGAGGAGAGGGGTTACTATGGAGACCAGGAGAGAGGAGAGGTTACTATGGAGACCAGGAGAGAGAGGACAGGGGTTACTCTGGAGACCAGGAGAGAGAGGGGAGACTTTACTATGGAGACCAGGAGAGAGAGGAGAGGGGTTACTATGGAGACCAAGAGAGGGGTTACTATGGAGACCAGGAGAGAGAGGAGAAGGGTTACTACGGAGACCAGGAGAGGGGTCAGAGGTTACCTGGGAGCGGGAGCTGAGGGCGTTGAACATGTCGAAGAACACAAAGCAGGTGAAGGTCATGGTCGTGTCCCGTGGAGTGATCACATTATCCTGCAGCTGTGGACAGAGAGCAGAGGATCAGCTGGACAGGCCTGGGAAGAACTGGGATGGGAGACCTGTGGGTGCAGTGACCTCTACTAGTATTGTGTTATTTAGAGAGAGAGACCAAAGAGAGAGGCCAGAGAGAGAGGCCAGAGAGAGAGGCCAGAGAGAGAGGCCAGAGAGAGAGGCCAGAGAGAGAGGCCAGAGAGAGAGACCAGAGAGAGAGGCCAGAGAGAGAGACCAGAGAGAGAGACCAGAGAGAGAGACCAGAGAGACTCCAGAGAGACTACAGCAGTAGACTTGTACCTCTCTCCAGAACACAAACAGAGTCCCACACACGATGATCAGAGCAGACACCAGGACCTTCACCAGGAGGCTGCGAGTGAGGATGCTGTCATTGATGTTACGAGGAGGCTTCCTGATGACATCAGGGTCCACTGGCTCCACCCCCAAACTGACAAACACAACGTTACCATGGTTACAACACTACACACAAGATCCATGCTTATGTACACATTTACAACAGTGCCCTCAGTCTGTCTCCTATGTACCACATTTCCCATGATGCCTCTGTCTCCTGCGTACTACATTTCTCATGATGCCAGTCTCCTGTGGACTACATTTCCCATGATGCAATGTCTCATGTGGACTACATTTTCCATAATGCCCCTCTCACGTGGCCTACATTTCCCATGAGCTCCTATCACCTGGGGACTACATTTCCCATGATGCCTGTCTCCTGTGGACTACATTTCCCATGATGTCTGTCTCCTGTGGACTACATTTCCCATGATGCCTGTCACCTGTGGACTACATTTCCCATGATGCCTATCTCCTGTGGACTACATTTCCCATGATGCCTGTCACCTGGGGACTACATTTCCCATGATGCCTGTCTCCTGGGGACTACATTTCCCATGATGCCTCACCTCTGTGCTGGGGGTCCGTCCATGATGATGTTGATCCACAGGATCTGCATCGCGTTCAGGGGATTCGGGAAATTCATGAGGGTCGCTAACGAGATGAGGGTCAGAGCAGCTATCGATCTACACACACACAGGCAGACAGAGACAGAGACACACACACAAAGACAGAGACACACACACAAAGACAGAGGCACAAAGACAGAGACACACACACAAAGACAGAGACACAAAGACAGAGACACACACACAAAGACAGAGACACAAAGACAGAGACACACACACAAAGACAGAGACACAAAGACAGACACACACACAAAGACAGAGACACAAAGACAGACACACACACAAAGACAGACACAAAGACAGACACACACACAAAGACAGAGACACAAAGACAGACACACACACAAAGACAGAGACACAAAGACAGACACACACACACACACACGTTAAAACAAAGTCCATCAACAAGATGGAGAGAGTTTGGGTGGAAAACCATAATCTGTTTTTTAATCACTCCAAGTCAAAAGGCTCATTATGATGGAAACCCTCCTAACTGCTGGAGACAATGTGGGAACCAGCGAGCAACCCACGCTCATGTTTTGGGACTGCCCCTTAAACAATACTGGACTGATATTCATAAAACACTGCAAGATGTTTTCAACTGTGCAATTTCTTTTGATATGAAAACACAGTTTTTTGGTTGCACCCCATTGAGCTGGAGAAAAGAGGATAAGTGTCTGATTAGTGCCTTGCTTGTTGCAAGCAAAAAAGCCATCACTAAAAAATGGCTATCTCTAGATACACAAAACTTGACATTATGGTGGGAAATATCACTAGAAATCTACAAGATGGAAGAGCTCATTGCCTCGGTAAATAACAAACATGGGTGGTTTGAGTCGTGCTGGGCTAAGTGCTCACTGTCTTGGTAAATAACAAACATGGGTGGTTTGAGTCTGGGGTAAGTGGGTAACATACACTAATGCTAACAGACCAAATTTCCTTCTCTCTAACCCTTTTTTTATTTTCTTGGTCACTCCCAGTTCTACAATGTTCTGTGTTTTTTTGTATCTATCTCATGAAAAACCTTAAAGAATAAAAAACCAAAACAAAGGCCCTGCAGATGTCAGAAACATGCTCCTCACGTGCTCAGCTGGAAACACACAAAGTTCTTGATGTTGTTGTAGATTCCTTTGCCTTCTTCTATCGCAGATCTGAAACACAGGACAGGTCTAAAGCAGGACTAAAGCAGGACTAAAGCAGATCTAAAGCAGGACTAAAGCAGGTCTAAAGCAGGTCTAAAGCAGGACTAAAGCAGGACTAAAGCAGATCTAAAGCAGGACTAAAGCAGGTCTAAAGCAGGTCTAAAGCAGGACTAAAGCAGGACTAAAGCAGGTCTAAAGCAGGTCTAAAGCAGGACTAAAGCAGGTCTAAAGCAGGACTTAAGCAGGACTAAAGCAGGACTAAAGCAGGACTAAAGCAGGACTAAAGCAGGTCTAAAGCAGGTCTAAAGCAGGACTAAAGCAGGTCTAAAGCAGGACTAAAGCAGGTCTAAAGCAGGACTAAAGCAGGTCTAAAGCAGGTCTAAAGCAGGACTAAAGCAGGACTAAAGCAGGTCTAAAGCAGGTCTAAAGCAGGACTAAAGCAGGACTAAAGCAGAACTAAAGCAGGTCTAAAGCAGGTCTAAAGCAGGTCTAAAGCAGGTCTAAAGCAGGTCTAAAGCAGGTCTAAAGCAGGTCTAAAGCAGGTCTAAAGCAGGTCTACAGCAGGTCTAAAGCAGGTCTAAAGCAGGTCTAAAGCAGGTCTAAAGCAGGTCTAAAGCATGTCTAAAGCAGGTCTAAAGCAGGACTAGACTCACAGAATGGTCTGGAAGTCGTCGTCCACCAGGATCATGTCCGCCGCCTCCTTACACACGTCGGTGCCGCTGCGGCCCATGGCCACACCGATGTCTGCAGCTTTCAGAGCCACGGCATCATTCACACCATCTCCTGTCATCGCCACCACAGCTCCAATCCTCTGCAGAGACTGGGGAGAGAGGAGGTGAGGGGGGAGAGAGCAGGTGAGGGGGGGAGAGAGCAGGTGAGGGGGGAGAGGAGGTGAAAGGGGGAGAGAGGAGGTGAAATGGGGAGAGAGGAGGTGAGGGGGGAGAGCAGGTGAGGGGGAGGAGGGGGTGAGGGGGGAGAGAGCAGGTGAGAGGAGGTGAAAGGGGGAGAGAGGAGGTGAGGGGGAAGAGAGGGGGGCAGAGGAGGTCCAGGACAGTAGTTACCTTGACGATCTTCAGCTTGTGTCTGGGGCTGGCTCTGTAGAACACTGCGATCTGCAAACACACACACACACACACACACAGACGTTTACAAAGGGTGAAGGTGAAAGTAAAAGTGAAGAGCAACGTTACCGACCTGAGGGACGACCTGTGAGAGCTGCAGGAGGTCCAGAGAGTCCAGCTCCTCTCCAGACAGAGACCGAGCCCCTTTGGAGTACAGCCCGAGCCGGCCCGCTGAGGAGAGGTCAGAGGTCAGAGCACCTTTACTGGACTGTCTGAGCACCTGTATATAAGCTGCACCTGTATATGAGCCGCACCTGTATATGAGCCGCACCTGTATATAAGCCGCGCTTGTAAATAAGCTGCACCTGTAAATAAGCTTCACCTGTATATAAGCCGACCCTGTATATGAGCCGAACCTATATATAAGCCGCGCTTGTAAATAAGCGGCACCTGTATATGAGTTGAACCTGTATATAAGCCACGCTTGTAAATAAGCTGCACCTGTATATGAGCCGTGCTTGTAAATAAGCCGCACCTGTATATGAGCCGCACCCGTATATGACCTGCACCCGTATGACCTGCACCCGTATATGACCTGCACCTCTATATGACCTGCACCTGTATGTAAGCCGCACCTGTATATAAGCTGCACCTGTATATGACCTGCACCTGTATATGACCTGCACCTGTATATAAGCTGCACCTGTATATGACCTGCACTTGCTACATTTGAGAAATAAAATCACTTGTCCACAAACAGCACACAGAAGCTGCAGGTTTTCATATCTAACGTAGAAGACGACTGTTGTAACTGACGAGGTGTTAGCCAAACATACCTGTACTCATCCACTAGTTCCACGGTTACTGACCTATAGCCACCGCAGTCTCCAGGTTACCACGGTTACTGACCTATAGCCACCGCGGTCTCCTGGTTACCACGGTTACTGACCTATAGCCACCGCGGTCTCCTGGTTACAACGGTTACTGAGCTATAGCCACCGCGATCTCCGGGTTACTGACCTATAGCCACCGCGGTCTCCGGGTTACTGACCTATAGCCACCGCGGTCTCCGGGTTACTGACCTATAGCCACCGCGGTCTCCTGGTTACCACAGTTACTGACCTATAGCCACCGCGGTCTCCTGGTTACCACAGTTACTGACCTATAGCCACCGCGGTCTCCTGGTTACCACAGTTACTGACCTATAGCCACCGCGGTCTCCTGGTTACCACAGTTACTGACCTATAGCCACCGCGGTCTCCTGGTTACCACAGTTACTGACCTATAGCCACCGCGGTCTCCGGGTTACTGACCTACAGCCACCGCGGTCTCCTGGTTACCACAGTTACTGACCTATAACCACCGCGGTCTCCTGGTTACCACAGTTACTGACCTATAGCCACCGCGGTCTCCTGGTTACCACAGTTACTGACCTATAGCCATCGCGGTCTCCGGGTTACTGACCTATAGCCACCGCGATCTCCGGGTTACTGACCTATAGCCACCGCGGTCTCCGGGTTACTGACCTATAGCCACCGCGGTCTCCGGGTTACTGACCTATAGCCACCGCGGTCTCCTGGGAGTCCCCGGTGATCATCTTCACAGCGACCCCAGACTGGATCAGTGTGGACACGGCGTCTTTGACCCCAGAGCGAGGAGGGTCCAGCATCCCCACCAACCCCAGGAAGGAGAGGGAGGAGAGGGATGGGCCCGAGGCGAAGGCTAGCACTGAAACACCAGACTAAAGTTACAGACCTGAGCTTTAAACATGTGTTATTCAGACTAAAGTTACAGGCCTGAGCTTTAAACATGTGTTATTTAGACTAAAGTTACAGACCTGAGGTTTGAACATGTGTTATTTAGACTAAAGTTACAGACCTGAGCTTTAAACATTTGTTATTTAGACTAAACTTACAGACCTGAGCTTTAAACATGTGTTATTTAGACTAAAGGGCGGCAGTAGCTCAGTTGGTAGAGCGTTGGCCTTTGAGCCAGAAGGTCGTGGGTTCAAGACTTTCACCATCGACTCCCACTGACTACTGTCGTTGTGTCCTTGGCAAGACACTTAACCTCTGGGAACACCAGCCACAGTGGGGCGGCTGCGGCTGTAAAGTGCCAAACTGCCGTTGTGTCCTTAGGCAAGACACTTCACCCCCATTGCCTAGAATGAGTCTGGTGTGTGTATGAATGGTTGGTGGTGGTCGGAGGGGCCGATGGCGCATACTGGTTGCCTCAGTATGCCCCAGGGCAGCTGTGGCTACAGTAGTAGTTTATCACCACCGTATTTGGAGTGAATGAATAATGACATGTGAAGCGTCTTTGAGTGTCCAAAAAAGCGCTATATAAAACCGATGCATTATTATTATTATTATTAAAGTTACAGACCTGAGCTTTAACCATGTGTTTCCTGACCTCTGAGTCCGGCTGAGCCCATGTAGCTGATGTGTTGCTGGTACAGCTCCCTCTGCTGGTGAGTGAGCGGCAGTGCGACTCCTCTGCTCTGGTACGAGCTGCAGAAGCGGATCACCTGCTCGAACGCCCCTTTCACATAGAACACCCCCGGCCTGTCCTGTAACCATGGCGACAGTATTAGTCCTGTAACCGCGGCGACAGTGTTAGTCCTGTAACCGCGGCGACAGTGTTAGACCTGTAACCGCGGCGACAGTGTTAGTGCTGTAACCACGGCGACAGCGTTAGTCCTGTAACCACGGCAACAGCATTCCTCATCTAACCACGGCGACAATTGTATGGTTCTCATGTCGTCTCCGTATGGTCCTCATGGTGTCTCCATATGGTCCTCATGGTGTCTCCATATGGTCCTCACCTGCTGAGTGCGGTGGACACAGCGCACTGCCATCCACTTCTGCTCAGAGGAAAATGGAACCTCCTCCAGACGAACAAACTCCTGCTGCAGAGACTCCAGCCCCATCTGACACAGGGAGAACATGCAAACACGTTAACAACAGAGAGGGACAGGAAGAAGCTGGAACATCAGGAAGTCCAGCTCAGTCCTGGGCTGTTCCCTGGACACAGTGCAGCAGGTGGGGGACAGGAGGGTCCTGAGCAAACTAACATCTGGACCATGACTGTCGCCCCCTGCAGGACACTCTCTCTGCTCTGGAGAGCAGCTTCAGTGACAGACTAATTCACCCTCGCTGTGTGAAGGAGAGGTTTCGCAGGTCTTTCCTTCCTGCTGCTGTCAGACTGTACAACAAGAATGTGTAACAGGAACTGCTGAGTCTGCACAAGTGTCACTGATAATTCACTAGTAACTTTGTCACTAGTCACTTTACCTGTTATCAGTACTACTGCAGTACTACATATCTGATATTTACTGTTATCAGTACTACTGCATTATTACATATCTGATATTTACTGTTATCAGTACTACTGCATTACTACATATCTGATATTTACTGTTATCAGTACTACTGCAGTACTACATATCTAATATTTACTGTTATCAGTACTACTGTATTATTACATATCTTTACCTGCTGATATCTTACTATGAGGTTTGCCAACAGAAAAAACAAAGTGGCACTTCTGAGGCAAGGAAGACAATTCAAAGGCAGAGTTTTCATAAACAAACTCTTGGACAAAGCGAAATTCGGACATTGCATGGAAAGCCAGACAACTCAAACGACAAGACAAGATCCAACACACGAGGGTAACAAACTGTAAAGTATTCATCAAACTCAGAGGGACTCGGAGGCCGCCAAAGTGTTGGTGGTGAGAAAAATGGAAGATTTGGACATTTAAAGATATGAGACTCTCTTCATCATCACTATGAACAATAATAATAATAATAATAATAATAATAATAATAATAAATCGGTTTTATATAGCGCTTTTCAAGAACTCAAAGACGCTTGACAAATTCATGACACACACGTTTAGACAGACATACAAAAACTAAGCCAGTGGAGTTTATGGAGGACAGGGGTGATGTGCTCTCTGGGTCTGAGCGGGGAGGCGGGCGGCGGAGTTTTGGACATATTGTAGTTTTTGGAGATCAGATGAAGGAAGGCCGTATTAAAGACTGTTGCAGAAGTGGAGTCTGGAGGATATGAAAGCATGGATCAGGGTTTCAGCAGCGGTGGAGACAGATATGGGCGAAGACGGGCAATGTTTTTAAGATGAAAGAAGGCAGTTTTGGTGATGTTGCGGCTGTGGGGCTTGAAAGAAAGGGTGGGGTCAAGGATGATTCCGAGCTTTCTGATCTGAGCAGACGGTGAGATGGTGTGGCTGTTGATGGAGAGTGTGAAGTGCTGGGTGTTGGAAAGGAGGGACTTGGGGCCGATAATAATTATTTCTGATTTTTTGCAGTTTGAGTTGGAGGAAATTGGTGGACATCCAGGATTTTATTGCAGATATGCAGTTTGTGATGGAGCAGATGGTGACAGGGGTTATGGATTTGGCTGAGAGATAAAGTTGAGTGTCGTCTGCATAGCTGTGGAATTTGAAACCGTGATGGTGGATGATGTGGCCAAGGGGGAGCATGTAAAGAATGAAAAGGAGGTGACCAAGCACCGAGCCTTGAGGTACTCCGTGGGTGACCGGGATGCAGCGGGATGAGCAGTTGTTGATGACGATGTAGTGAGATCTGTTGGAGAGGGGTAGGATGAGAACCAGGAGAGTGCAGGGCCGGTGATGCCAGTGGTGAACCGGAGACGGTGGAGGAGGATGGAGTGGTCAATAGTGTCGAAGGCGGCGGAGAGGTCAAGGAGTAGCAGGATGGAGAGGGAGCCAGAATCTGAGGTGAGAAGGAGGTCGTTGGTGACTTTGAGCAGTGCTGTTTCAGTGCTGTGTTGGGAACGGAATCCGGATTGAAATCTGTCAAAGAGGGAGTTGGAGTTGAGATGGTTGTTGAGTTGAGCAGCGACAGATCGTTCGAGGATTTTAGACAGAAAGGGAAGGTTGGAGATGGGGCAAAAGTTGTTGGGGTCGTCAGGATCCAGGTTCGGTTTTTTGAGGGTGGGTGTGATGGTTGCCATCTTGAAAGCGGGGGGCACGGTACCAGAGGTGAGAGAGGAGTTGATTATTTCTAAAATGAGGGGGCTGAGAGACAAGAGGCATGATTTGACAAAGGACGAAGGGATGGGGTCCAGGGGACAAGTGGAGAATTTAATATTAGTAAATAACCTTTGGAGATCTGGTTCTGAGATAGGTGACAGGTGGGAGAGGGGGCTTACAGTTCGGGGAGAGGGGTCAGGTATGACAGGAGCGGGGGTTGTGGTGAGCTGCTGGTGGATGTTGTCGATTTTGGATTTGAAAAATGTGAGAAAGATGTTGCATTTTTCCGTGGTAAAGGATTGAGTTATATTGTCCAGTGGTTTAAGAAGTTTGTTGACTGTGGAAAACCGGGTTCGGGGATTGGAGGAGCCAGATGGTGATCATTTCAGAATAGAAAGCAGTGCGCGCTGTGGAAAGAGCAGATCTGTAGAGGAGAGTGTGGTTGTTGAGGGCTTGGAGATGAACAGTGAGACCGGTTTTATTGTGAAGGCGTTCAAGTTGACGGCGTTGTTTTTTGAGGTTACGTAGCTCTGTGGTGTACCACGGCGCAGAACGGGTGAAAGTGACAGATGCGGTTTTGATAGGAGCCAGGGTGTCTAAGCAGGAGGAGAGTGTGCTGTTGTAGTAAGACACCAGGTCAGGAGTGTTTGCGGGAGAGGTGAGGTCTGATGTTGATAGGGTTTGGGATAAGTGGGTTGAGAGGGTGGTGGGACAGAGGGGACTTAGGTTGCGGAAAGGGAGAGTGCGGGTTTGCTTGATGTGGGGGTCGGGATGTGGATATGAAATGACAGGGCAAGGTGGTCTGATATTGCAAGGTTTGTATGAGAGAGTGAGTCAATGTGTAGGCCAGTGGCGCAGATCAGGTCCAACATGTGTCCACGGGAGTGGGTGGGAAAGTCAACGTGCTGTGTGAAATTGAAATTTTGCAAGATGTCCAGGAAGTCTGTGGAAACTTGTGTGCAGAGTCACTGTGTATGTTCAAGTCCCCGAGAAGTCAAATGGAAGATGAGGCCGTACAAAGATGTGTGATGAATTCCGATAGTTCTGAAAGGAAGGATGGATTTGGTTTGGGAGGGCGGTAAATTATTGAAATGACCAGAGGGGAGGGGCCAAGGAGTTTGAATGACAGTTGTTCAAATGAGGGAATGGCTGGAATGGGGAGGGGCTGGAGTTTGAGGGATTGCCGATGGATTGCTGCAATACCCCCTCCGCGGCCACTAGTGCGTGGTTGGTCAATGTATGAAAAACCCTGTGGAGTGGCTTGGTTGAATAGTCCAGGGGTTTTTTGCCATGTTTCAGTGATGCAGAGTAAGTCCAGTTGTGTGTCCGTGATGAATTCATTTAGTATGTGGCTTTTGTTGTTTAAAGATCTTGAGTTGAGAAGCGCGAGTTTGAGGGGCTTTTGTTGTGAAATAGTCAGGGCGGAAGTGGAAATGGCCGTAGGTTATAATAATAATAATAATAATAATGCATCGGTTTTATATAGCGCTTTTTTGGACACTCAAAGACGCTTCACATGTGTCATTATTCATTCACTCCAAACACGGTGGTGATAAACTACTACTGTAGCCACAGCTGCCCTGGGGCACACTGACAGAAGCGAGGCAACCAGTATGCGCCATCGGCCCCTCCGACCACCACCAACCATTCATACCCACACCACACTCATTCTAGGTAATGGGGGTGAAGAGTCTTGCCTAAGGACACAACGGCAGTTTGGCACTTTACAGCCGCAGCCGCCCCACTGTGGCTGGTGTTCCCAGAGGTTAAGTGTCTTGCCAAGGACACAACGACAGTAGTCAGTGGGAGTCGATGGTGAAAGTCTTGAGCGGGGCTTGAACCCACAACCTTCTGGCTCAAAGGCCAACGCTCTACCAACTGAGCTACTGCCGCCACAGTTATGTATGTTAACTTGACGTGCGTTCTGATGACGTGCAGCGCTGAAAGCGGAGTGGATGACAGATTGTATTGTTGAGATGTTATTTTCAGATGTGGAGTTGTAGGTGAACTTTCGTCGTGAGCCCCCATGTATGTAGCGGGGGCGGCGTAGAAGACCGGCATGTTTGATGCTCGCGGCGATGTCAGAGGGAGGCGGCAAGCAGTGGGTTAGCCGGTGGAGCTGGAAGGAGGAGTAGAGGAGAGCCATGGTGGAGCAGGTGATGGGCAGCAGGTGAACGAGGAGGATAGCGGGGAAGATGGTGAGTAGATGGACCAGACACTGCATGACTTGAAGGCGGGTGAGCGTGGCTTACACTGGGTAAAGTTAGCCTCGCTGCCCGGTAGAGCGGGTTTGTGTAGGCCCAGACCGCCGTGCAGCTCAGCTGTAACTTCCAGAAGTAGGCAGACCGGTTTGGAAAAAGGTCGGATCTCACTTTGGATTAAGAGAAAAGGCAGTGTGTCCAGGTGCAGGCAGTAAAAGTTTCAAAAGAAGCAGTAGATTGAAGATAGGTGGTGGGAGAAGCGGGAGCCAAAACGCACCAGCGTCCTCTCCGCAATACACCGGGGTATGCCAAGTAATGACACGGACATGTAATTGCTTGCACAGTGCTCCTTGAGATGTTTAAAGCTTGGGAAATCTTTTTGTATCCAAATCCGGCTTTAAACTTCTCCACAACAGTATCTCGGACCTGCCTGGTGTGTTCCTTTGTCTTCATGGTTCTCTCTGCGCTTTAAACAGAACCCTGAGACTATCAAAGAGCAGGTGCATTTATACGGAGACTTGATTACACACAGGTGCATTCTATTTATCATCATCAGTCATTTAGGACAACATTGGATCATTCAAAGATTCTCACTGAACTTCTGGACTGAGTTTGCTGCACTGAAAGTAAAGGGGCCGAATAATATTGCACGCCCCACTTTTCAGTTTATTTGTTAAAAAAGTTTAAATTATCCAATAAATTTCGTTCCACTTCACGATTGTGTCCCACTTGTTGTTGATTCATGACAAAAAAATAAAATGTTATATCTTTATGTTTGAAGCCTGAAATGTGGCGAAATGTTGAAAAGTTCAAGGGGGCCGAATACTTTTGCAAGGCACTGTATATGTTAGATATAAGTTATATATATGTTAGATATAAGTTATATATGTTAGATATAAGTTATATATGTTAGATACATATAACATATATATAACTTATATCTAACATATATATAACTTATATCTAACATATATATAACTTATATCTAACATATATATAACTATAAGTTATATATATGTTAGATCAGGCATGTCAAAGTCAAATACATCAGAGGGCCGGACTGGTTCAATGTTTCTCAACATCCAGAGGCAGTGCTGGTGACACCTGCTGGCTCGATAAAATATGCTCTAAAGCCAATCCTCATACTGTACATATTAGATGTAAAATAGTGAAAAAAACAAAGCTAAAACTTGGTGAAATGTAAAAGAGCAGTCTGAACTTCTTTCTGAGCGTTTTTTTTTGCAACAGATAAACGCACATTTTTGGATTTTTTCTGCAGAATGTATTATACTTTGGGAAATACAAGTGGATATTCTTCTTCAATTAACACTTACGGAGAGAAAGAGACAAAGCAAGGATGGGGAAAGTCTAATTTGTTCAAGGAGCAGAAGACAAAAGGTAAATAACTTTTACAGACGTGATTTATTTTGTGCCCATATTTTGTGTTATATCTATTTAATGCATATTGTTTACACTTACACATAAATGTAGCTGCGAAAATAAGCTTTAAAATGATATATAGCTTGTGGGTTATGAAGTTCAAAATACATCTGCTATTGCCAGCAGATGTATTGGTTTTCTAGCGAGCTTAAAGGGTCAATACATTGCCTCAATGGCAGGCAATGTCCCGGGGGCCATAGATAATTAATTCCTTGACTTTGACACATGTGTGTTAGATAGTCCACAGTCTCCTGTATATCAGGCTCTGAGCCCAAACTGCTTTTCCTTCGAAGCTTGAAGCTCTCTGCTCCATAGTGCCTCGTCCATTGTCCCTGCTGCAGCCGCTCTGTGCTTCCTTCCAATACACACACACGGACCAATCACAGCGGAGATTCCTTGTGGCGACCCTTACGTAGTGAGAAAATTTTGATGCTGCAACGTAAGGGCCTTGCGGTGACCAACGCGTTGCGCAAGTGACGTCACGTCACCTCCGTAAGCTCCGCGCGAGTATACACTAGGCTTTATTCCTCTCTCTGCTGTAACGTGCAACGATGACACTGACATTTCTCCACTGTGAGACCAATAAAGGTTTATCTTATCAGACTGACAACATGCTAACAACAGGCTAACCTGAGAGAAGACACAGGGAGAACATGCAAACTCACCTTCATGGCCAGTGCGATCAGAGCGCCCTCTGTGGGTCGACCGAGGAGAGTGTGGTTCCTGATCACAGAGTCGTTACACACACAGCCCACCTGCAGACATTTTGGCACGGATGAAAGAACCTGCTGCTGCATTACTGCTGCTGCATTACTGCTGCTGCATTACTGCTGCTGCATTACTGCTGCTGCATTACTGCTGCTGCATTACTGCTGCTACATTATTGCTGCTGCTACATTATTGCTGCTGCTACATTACTGGTGCTGCTGCATTACTGGTGCTGCTGCATTACTGGTGCTGCAGCATTACTGCTGCGGCTGCATTACTGCGGCTGCATTACTGCTGCTGCATTACTGCTGCTGCATTACTGCTGCTGCTGCATTACTGCTGCTGCTACATTACTGCTGCTACTGCATTACTGCTGCTGCATTACTGGTGCTGCTGCATTACTGCTGCATTACTGCTGCTGCATTACTGCTGCTGCATTACTACTGCTACATTACTGCTGCTGCATTACTACTGCTACATTACTGCTGCTGCATTACTACTGCTACATTACTGCTGCTGCATTACTGCTGCTACATTACTGCTGCTGCATTACTGCTACTGCATTACTGCTGCTGCATTACTGCTGCTACATTACTGCTGCTACATTACTGCTGCTACAGCATTACTGCTGCTGCTGCTACATTACTGCTGCTGCTGCTACATTACTGCTGCTGCTACTAATACATTACTGCTGCTACAGCATTACTGCTGCTACTGCATTATTGCTGCTACATTACTGCTGCTGCTGCTACATTACTGCTGCTGCTGCTACTACATTACTGCTGCTACATTACTGCTGCTACAGCATTACTGCTGCTACTGCATTATTGCTGCTGCTACTGCATTACTGCTGCTGCTGCATTACTGGTGCTGCTGCATTACTGCTGCTGCTACATTACTACTGCTACATTACTGCTGCTACATTACTGCTGCTGCTGCTACATTACTGCTGCTGCTGCTACATTACTGCTGCTGCTGCTAATACATTACTGCTGCTACAGCATTACTGCTGCTACTGCATTATTGCTGCTACATTACTGCTGCTACAACATTACTGCTGCTGCTGTTACATTACTGCTGCTACTACATTACTGCTGCTACATTACTGCTGCTACAGCATTACTGCTGCTACTGCATTATTGCTGCTACTGCATTACTGCTGCTGCATTACTGCTGCTGCTGCATTACTGGTGCTGCTGCATTACTGCTGCTGCAGCATTACTGCTGCGGCTGCATTACTGCTGCTGCATTACTGCTGCTACATTACTGCTGCTACATTACTGCTGCTGCATTACTGCTGCTACATTACTGCTGCTACATTACTGCATTACTGCTGCTGCATTATTGCTGCTGCATTCCTGCTGCTGCTACATTACTGCTGCTACTGCATTACTGCTGCTACTGCATCACTGGTGCTGCATTACTGGTGCTGCTGCATTACTGCTGCTACGTTACTGCTGCTGCAGCATTACTGCTGCTGCTACATTACTGCTGCGGCTGCATTACTGCTGCTACGTTACTGCTGCTGCATTACTGCTGCATTACTGATGTTGTCTTTTTACCTCCACTATTTTGGCGACTGATGGAGCAGAGAAGCCGTGGATGACTCTTCCTTCCAGGACCACCTCCCCCATCCCCGAGTACCCCACTCCAGACACCTGAGGACACACAACCTGCTGTGACATACATACAACCTGCTGTGACACACACACAACCTGCTCTGTGACACACACACAACCTGCTCAGACACACACACAACCTGCTGTGACACACACACAGACACAGTCACAGACACAGAGACAGAGACAAAGAGTCACAGACACAGAGTCACAGACACACAGAGACAGAGTCACAGACACAGAGTCACAGACGCAGAGAGTCACAAACACAGAGACACAGAGTCACAGAGTCACAGAGACACAGAGTCACAGACACAGAGACACAGACACAGAGTCACAGACACAGAGTCACAGACACAGAGACAGAGAGTCACAGACACAGGAACACAGAGTCACAGACACAGAGACACAGACCTCAGCGTGGAGTCCGTCTGAGGTGTAGATCTGAGTCACCGTCATCTCGTTTGTCGTCAGTGTCCCGGTTTTATCAGAGCAGATGACGTTACAGCAGCCTGCGATACACACAAACACACACACACAGACACACACGTATAGACACAGAGACACAGTGAGAGAGACAGACACAGAAACGTACACACACAGACAGACACACACACAGAAACACACGCAGAAACACACACACACACAGAAACACACGCAGAAACACACAGACACAGTGAGAGAGAGTGTTGGTGTGCGTCTGTCCTGTGTGTGTTTGTGTGTCGTCACTGTCTCCCTCATGGATCTATAATAATAAGGTGATAGAGTATTTGCTTATATCTGTCCCACCCTTGGGCCCAGGGGCCACAAGTGGCGGACAAACTGTCATTTTATCCCTTTATTATCCAGGTCTGGGTCAGAGGACGACACGCAGAGCTATGCACAAAGCACAAGTATGTACAGTACGTGTATGTGTGTAGAGCATGTGTATGAGTCTGCAGTATGTGTATGTGTATAGTACGTGTATGTGTGTACAGTATGTGTGTACAGTGTGTGTGTAGAGGATGTGTATGAGTGTGCAGTATGTGTATGTGTGTACAGTACGTGTGTAGAGCATGTGTGTAGAGCATGTGTATGAGTGTACAGTACGCGTATGTGTGTACAGTATGTGTGTAGAGCATGTGTGTAGAGCATGTGTATGTGTGTACAGTATGTGTGTACAGTATGTGTGTAGAGCATGTGTGTAGAGCATGTGTATGTGTGTACAGTATGTGTGTACAGTATGTGTGTAGAGCATGTGTATGTGTGTACAGTATGTGTGTACAGTATGTGTGTAGAGCATGTGTGTAGAGCATGTGTATGTGTGTACAGTATGTGTGTACAGTATGTGTGTAGAGCATGTGTGTAGAGCATGTGTATGTGTGTAGAGCATGAGTGAGAGACAAATGCCCAAAAATAAAACAATTGTAAACCGCTTTGAGACTCTGGTCTGTGATGTTTGTGTGTACTGTGTGTACAGTAAGTGCATGTGTGTACAGGATGTTTGTGTGTACAGTAAGTGCATGTATGTACAGGATGTTTGTGTGTACTATGTGTGTACAGTAAGTGCATGTGTGTACAGGATGTTTGTGTGTACTATGTGTGTACAGTAAGTGCATGTGTGTACAATATGTGTATGTGTGTGCAGTATGTGCATGTGTGTACAGGATGTTTGTGTGTACAATATGTGTATGTGTGTACAGTAAGTGCATGTGTGTACAGTATGTGCATGTGTGTACAATATGTGTATGTGTGTACAGTAAGTGCATGTGTGTACAGTATGTGTATGTGTGTAGAGCAGGGGTGCCCAAAGTTGGCCCGCCAGACTACTTCAGTTGGCCCGCCAAACATTGCCCACCTCCGTTGAAAGTTTCTATCTGCGTCCCTCAACCTCGCTGAACACACAGATACATGTCTGAGATCGCGCAGGCGCACAAACGCCCTCTAGCCTGCCACTGTCCAGTACTTAACTGTTGTATGGAGATACACTCCTCACTCATGGTTCACATCAACTTGCACTAAAATGTTTTTTTAAAATCAAACACATCTTTCAAAACAATTGGGTGCAAGGCCCCTTTATGTTCTTTTTTTTCAGCCTACTATTATTGTTTTTTTGAGAAATTTAATGTTTTATCAAATTGAGAGGATTGTGCTGGCGAACTGCCACTCCCCCTCCTCACCGGAGGGAAATGGCGAGTGGAACTATTCACCTGCGCAATCCGCACCCACCCGGTGTGTTAAAAAAGGACGGACACAAACACTCCTGAGTTCAAGCAGAACAAGCAGCGATCGCAGCGCACGACCCAAGCAAGTAGAAGCAAAACAAACCCTTCTACAGCCCCATGAAAGAAGCCGATAAGCGCCGTCCTCACTCGCGATCACTGAATGTCAGAACTTACGCGGAGTTTTATGATGCGTTCAAGAGCCCTTTGGAGGAGCGGAAACACGGACTCTTTAACAGTTTCTTTGTTTTGATTGTTTCTAAATGTTGTACTGTGTTTAGGCAAAACAAAACAAAACTCTAGGAACAAATCAGGGTTAACTAGTCTGATTTTGTTAGTTTAATATTCAGTTCACTACTAATTGAGAATACTTGTCCTATGTTAAAAATATTAAGTTAAAACAGAGTTAAAACCTTATCATGTTTAGAAAATGCAGTTAGCAATTATGTTCCCAAATTCATTACTTAATGTTAAAATGTATTGTTTTAAAAGTGTGCTAAAACCAGATCTATTGATCAGTGATGTCTCCCCTTTTTGATAAAAGCTAAGATAAAGTAATATGATTCAAATGTAGTTAAAAACTTTAGTTCAAAATAAATATATGAAAATAGACTTTACTTTTGTAAAGTAAATGTCATTAGTACAATAAACCTATACATTATAAATCACTGCACTATAGTAATGCAAAACTGTTTAGAAAAAGGTCTTCAACAGTTTACTGACATGAGCAGAATGAAAATATAAATTATTTAATTTGGGAGTATGATATTATTTAATATAAATTAGTACTTTCATTTACTAACAGGCACATTATTTGTTTACAAGTAGCGTTTAAAAAACAGTTTATTTACAAAGAAAATGTATGTTTCTGTTTTCTTTTTGAGGTTTTTCCCCTGAACCTGAAACCAAGCTAAACGTAGTAAATGGCATGAAAACCAAGACCCACGGCTGCTTATCGAGTGAAGTCCAGTTGGAATTCATATGTGCAGGGTTTATCCCTTTCAAGTGGGGAATTTGCACGAGCTAGAAAACCACCAAACAATGAGCCTTTTCACTTGTAGGAAAGTATAAGAAAGGCAAACAGAAAAGTGCGCCCCTAGTGTTAGCTTTCTGTTTTATATGATTTTATATGATTTTAACCTGTAAATAAGCCATGACAGAAAATCTCCCTCCTCTGGACCCTGATTACCCGGCCGGAATCTTTCCGTACTGTAGTCTCCTCAAACCAGCATATTTCCCAGGAGCCTCCACTTCACTGTGTTGTTTTCATTCATTCAGCTGTGATTTGCACTGATAGACAATAATTAATGCATTTAATTGAACTTGATCAAATCTACATTTATTTGTGTTTCATGCGTAATATCGGTGTATTTGGCCCGCGGCCCACTGGAAAATTTTTACTTTGGCCCTTGGAAGCAAAAGGTTTGGGCACCCCTGGTGTAGAGTAAGTGTATGTGTATAGAGTAAGTGTATGTGTGTACATATATAAATATGTGTGTGTTTACATACTCAGAGTCTCCACTATCGGAAGCTTCTTCACGATGGCCCTCTTCTTCACCATCCTCATGACGCCCAGAGCCAGTGTTACCGTGACCACGATGGGGAGGCCCTCTGGGATGGCAGCCACGGCCAGACTAAGGGGTCAGAGGTCACACACACAGGTCAGAGGTCACACACACACACACACAGGTCAGAGGTCACACACAGGTCAGAGGTCACACACACAGGTCAGAGGTCACACACACACACAGGTCAGAGGTCACACACACACACACAGGTCAGAGGTCTCACACACACAGGTCAGAGGTCTCACACACACACAGGTCAGAGGTCACACACACACACACTTTGTTCGGAACAATGCAGTGAATAAAGCTATTATTTATCCAGAATAAAAGTCTGACAGAGAAGAATGGGAAAAAAACTGACCTGACGCCAATGGTGAACATGTCCATGATCCTCTTCCCCTGCAGCCATCCCACCAACATGATCACCCCTGAAACACAGTCCTGTGTGAACGCGACATCACCTGGCGTCACATGACCAACGCAAGGACCAACGCAAGACCCTTGTGTGGCCTCCTGTGCACTACGCAGAGAGGGGCCACTGTGATTGGCCCGTGTGAGAGAGACAGTCCACTGTGATTGACCCGTGTGAGAGTGTGATTGACCCGTGTGAGAGAGACGGTCCACTGTGATTGGCCCGTGTGAGAGAGACGGTCCACTGTGATTGGCCCGTGTGTGAGGGTCCACTGTGATTGGTGTGTGAGAGAGGGTAGAAGTCAAATGGTCTGGTCCTGTCACCCCTACAACACAGATGGTCTGGTCCTGTCCCCCTTACAGCACAGATGGTCTGGTCCTGGCCCCCCTACTACACAGATGGTCTGGTCCCGTCACCCCCTACAACACAGATGGTCTGGTCCCGTCACCCCCTACAACACAGATGGTCTGGTCCTGGCCCCCCTACAACACAGATGGTCTGGTCCTGTCCCCCTTACAACACAGATGGTCTGGTCCCGTCACCCCCTACAACACAGATGGTTTGGTCCTGTGGGTGTGACCTCTGACCTATGATCCCAAAGGAGTAGAGCGACAGCTGCTTCCCCAGGAGGTCCATGCTCTTCTGCAGCGGGGTCTTCGGGGCCTGGACAGAGGTCAGAGGTCAGGCGGACTGTAATTGCCTCTCATAGGTCAGGGGTCAGTGGGCTCACCTCCTCCGCCTGCATCATCTTAAACACTTCTCCAAACTCAGAGTTCTCTCCCGTCCCGATCACAATGCCCTGAAACACAGAGGTCAGGAGCACACCAGAGGTCAAAGGTCAAGAGCACACAAGAAGTCAGAGGTCAAGTGCACACCAGAGGTCAAGTGCACACCAGAGGTCAAGAGCACACCAGAGGTCAGAGGTCAAGAGCACACCAGAGGTCAGGAGCAACCCAGAGGTCAACGGCACACCAGAGGTCAAGAGCACACCAGAGGTCAGAGGTCAAGAGCACACCAGAGGTCAGGAGCAACCCAGAGGTCAGGAGCAACCCAGAGGTCAGCTTTAAGTTTTACAAACATTTCCCAAACTTTGAACATCTCACTAAGCACTGTTCAGGCCATTATTCAGACACGGAAAGAATCACTGCAAACCTTAAAGCTCAGAGTTACAGCTCAGAGTTACAGCTCAGAGTTACAGCTCAGAGTTACAGCTCAGAGTTACAGCTCAGAGTTACAGCTCAGAGTTACAGCTCAGAGTTACAGCTCAGAGTTACAGCTCAGAGTTACAGCTCAGAGTTACAGCTCAGAGTTACAGCTCAGAGTTACAGCTCAGAGTTACAACTCAGAGTTACAGCTCAGAGTTACAGCTCAGTACCTTAGCTTTGCCGCAGCGCACCAGCGTCCCCATGAAGGCGATGTTCTGTCTTGACGACATGTCGCCGTTGGAAACCGAGGGGGCGGAGCTTTTGGAGCAGGGCGAGGTCTCTCCGGTCAGACTGGACTCATCCACAGACAGGTCTGAGGCCTGGGGACAACAGGACTGTTAAATACTAAAGTCGTACTGATATAGTACTTAAGTACTACTATAATACACAGGCTGTACAGCGGTACACGGTGTATATTTGAACATTTGTTGTCATTTTTTTCCTTTTTTCCAAATGTACAGAATGTGATTATTTCCTATGAAAATATGTACGTAAACAAAAATGTTTTTGTTGGGTTCTTCATTATATTTTATATTGTTAGTAATTGATTTCCCATTGAGCCTTTGTGCGTGTTTAGAGCATGATTTTAAGGAGACCGCAGGAAGAGTAGGATCTAAATGAACAAAGACAAAACAGTAAAAGTACCTCCACCAGCCGCAGGTCGGCCGGGACTCTCTCTCCGACCGAAAGACACACGGTGTCTCCAGGAACCAGGTCACGAGCCAAACGCTGCTCCAGAGCGCCATCTCTGACACTGAACAGAACTACACATTATACCAGGAGTCTACAGCAGGGGGAGGAGCCTCCAGCAGGGGGAGGAGCCTACAGAAGGGGGAGGAGCTTCCAGCAGGGGGAGGAGCCTCCAGCAGGGGGGGCCTCCAGCAGGGGTAGGAGCCTAGAGCAGGGGGAGGAGCCTCCAGTAGGGGGAGGAGCCTCCAGTAGGGGGAGGAGCCTACAGCAAGGGGAGTAGCCTACAGCAGTGGGGAGGAGCCTCCAGCAGGGGGAGGTGTCAAACTCACCAGTGACATTCAGGAGGCACTAATTTGTTGAGCTCCTGCAGAGACTTCTCTGAGCGGTACTCCTGAAACAGAGAGAGAGTAATGTGGAGTACCAGCACTACTGCTGCGTACTGCTGTAAAACACCGAGAGTAGAGCGGCAGTACTCGTGCACAGCGGTACTAGACCACAGCGGTACAAGACCACAGTAGTGCTCATACACAGCAGTGCTCATACACAGCAGTAGTAGACCACATAGTACTAGTACTACCCTCACCTGTACGAAGGCCACCGTCACTACAATCGTAATGGCCTGAAACACAAACATGTTTTAATTATCTTATTCATTTATTGACATATTTACAGATATATGAGCTGCGGTGGTTACCACGGTGATGCTGAAGGCGTCGTCATACTGATGCATCAACACAGAGACCAGAGCCGAGGCCAAGAGGAGAAGGATCAGGGGGTCTTTGAACTGTGGGAGACCAGAGACCAGGTGAGAGACCAGGAGAGAGACCAGGAGAGAGACCAGGAGAGAGACCAGGAGAGAGACCAGGTGAGAGACCAGGTGAGAGACCAGGTGAGAGACCAGGTGAGAGACCAGCTGTAGACCTGCTTGTTTTAGTGGTCTCTATACAGCCTCTCCACCTGAGTCTCACCTGGGAGATGTACTTCCTCCATAGCGGCTCTTCCTCAGTGATGTCAAACTCATTCCAGCCGTGATAGCGCCTCCTGCGGGTCACCTCCTCATGGGACAGGCCCCCCTGTAGATCAGCCTGGGCAGTGCAAGGTAGACATGAGTGTGCGATGTCTGTGATGTAGACCTCCCCCCTCCCCCAGTGACCTCCCCCCTCCCTCTGTGACCTCCCCCCTCCCTCTGTGACCTCACCTGGAGCAAGGAGCAGACCTCGTGGACCTGGAGCTCTGAAGCCTTCCTGGAGCTCAGCACTGGGACCATGTTCTCATCTTCACTGCAGCGACTGAGGGAAAGCTGAGAGGACAGGGATAGATGAGTGTAAGTGTGTGTAAGAGTGTGTGTGTGTATGTGTTTGTGTGTGAGTGTAAGAGAGTGTGTGTATGTGTTTGTGTGTGAGTGTAAGAATGTGTGTATGTATGTGTTTGTGTGTGAGTGTAAGAATGTGTGTATGTATGTGTTTGTGTGTGAGTGTAAGAATGTGTGTATGTATGTGTGTGCGAGTGTAAGTGTGTGTGTCTCTGTGTGTTTGTGTGTGAGTGAAAGTGTTTGTGTAAGAGTGTGTGTATGTGTGTGTGTGTATGAGTGTGTGACCAGTAAGAGGCAGATAAGCAGGAAGTCTGAAGGACTCCGAGCTGAGGGTGACTGATCCAGAGGTGGAGCCCCCATGTGGCCAAAACACTCACTGTTTAAATCAGTCGCATTATTAATGCAAGATCAGAGCAACCGTGCAGCTTCCTCTGCAACTTCACAGAAACAAAGTCGTATGTAGCAGTTTTAGCCCGTGTTGCTGCGGAGCCCAGCGCCATCGACCCCAGAAGATCCAAGATGGCGGCCTGTTCAGATCAACCCCCGACATGTGTGTAACAGACGTGTGTGTGTGTAACAGACGTGTGTGTGTGTAACAGGCGCGTGAGTATGTAACAGACGTGTGTGTGTGTAACAGACACGTGAGTGTGTAACAGACGCGTGTGTGTGTAACAGACATGTGTGTGTGTGTGTAACAGACGTGCGTGTGTGTGTAACAGACGTGCGTGTTTGTGTAACAGACGTGCGTGTGTGTGTAACAGATGTGTGTGTGTGTAACAGACGCGTGAGTGTGTAACAGACGTGTGTGTGTGTAACAGACGTGTGTGTGTGTAACAGACGTGTGTGTGTAACAGACGTGTGTGTGTGTAACAGGCGTGTGTGTGTGTAACAGGCGTGTGTGTGTGTGTAACAGGCGTGTGTGTGTGTAACAGACGAGTGTGTGTAACAGGCGCGTGTGTGTGTAACAGACGTGTGTGTGTGTAACAGGCGCGTGTGTGTGTAACAGACGTGTGTGTGTGTAACAGACGTGTGTGACCAAAGCCCTTACAGTCTGTAACGTACACTTACGTATACTATACTATAGTAGTATAGTACTATAGTACTATACTATAGTAATATAATACTATACTATAGTAGTGAAGTACTATACTATAGTATAGTATAGTACTATACTATACTATAGTAGTATAGTAGTATACTATACTATAGTATACTAGTATAGTACTATACTACTATAGTATAGTATAGTATAGTAATGTTACCTTCCGTTTAGTCTTAGTCTGAGAGGACAGAGCTAAAAACAGCTGCAGGTCAGTAACACACACACAAAACAGACCCACCTCAGGCTCAGTAGGCTCCATCCTCAAACCAGGACAATCCATGACCAAGACCAAGACTGGACTAAGATAGGTCCTCAACCAGGACTCAACCAGGACTCAACCAGGACTCAACCAGGACTCAACCAGGACTCAACCAGGACTCAACCAGGACTCAACCAGGACTCAACCAGGACTCAACCAGGACTCAACCAGGACTCAACCAGGACTCAACCAGGACTCAACCAGGACTCAACCAGGACTCAACCAGGACTCAACCTGGACTCAACCTGGACTCAACCTGGACTCAACCTGGACTCAACCTGGACTCAACCTGGACTCAACCTGGACTCAACCTGGACTCAACCTGGACTCAACCTGGACTCAACCTGGACTCAACCTGGACTCAACCTGGACTGAACCAGGTCTGAACCAGGTCTGAACCAGGTCTGACTGAACCAGGTCTGAACCAGGTCTGAACCCGGTCTGAACCAGGTCTGAACCAGGACTGAGGCAGGACTGAACCTGGACTGAACTAGGACTGAACTAGGACTGAACTAGGACTGAACTAGGACTGAACTAGGACTGAACTAGGACTGAACCAGGTCTGAACCAGGTCTGAATCAGGACTGAGGCAGGACTGAATAGTGCGAGGCTCTTGTTCCCAGTGGGAGGAGACGTCACATATCTCTGAACAAACATACAACTCTTCAGAATGCACCTGATCGTCAGAGTAGAGACAGGGGCCAGAGCCGGTCTTGGACTCGTGCCAAGTCCAGGTCCTGGTCCTGGCCAGGGTGAGGTCCTAAAGCAGGTTTACACAGGAATAAGGCCAACACAACGATACTGATACAGAGCTGATCATTTAAGCTAAAGTGAAAACAAACACTTAGGGGTTAAATGCAGAAGACAGATGGACAATCCTAACCCGCTAGCTCAATGGAGCACAACAGGGAAGTGCTCATGGTGAAGTCTGGCTCCTATTGACCTCATCCATCCATCCATTTTCTACCCTTTAATCCATTTCTGGGTCAGGGGGGTGGCAATCAGAGATGCCACCCAAGTCTCATAGCACCAGCCCCTCACTGATCCTCTGCAGGTGGTGAGTCCACAGGAGGGCGGCTGCTGTCTGAGTGTGAGCATAGCCTTGATCTTTCAGTGGGGGCTTTGGGCAAAGTGGGGTTAAGTGTCTTGCCCAAGGACACAACGACAGCAGTCATCAGTGGGAGTCGATGGAGAAGGTGCAGAGGTGGGAATTGAACCCACGACCTTCTGGCCTTAAGACCAATGCTCTACCAACTGAGCTACTGTCGCCTATTGACCTCATGTCAAAGTAAACTCTCGCTCAGTAACTGTGTGACATCACCATTTTGGGCTTAAATCCTTGCTTTCTCTGCGATGTTTAAATGTGATGTCTTGGTAAATCCAATTATGACCATATAAGGACTGACCAATCAGAGGCCTTCATTCAGGGGAAACTCTAGCTTGCCTTGGCAACCGCCTTGGCAACCGTTCTTGGCAACCGTTCTTGGCAACCGTTCTTGGCAACCGTCTTGGCAACCGCCTTGGCAACCGCCTTGGCAACCGCCTTGGCAACCGCCTTGGCAACCGCCTTGGCAACCGCCTTGGCAACCGCCTTGGCAACCGCCTGATCCCTTGTTTACTGAGAAGACTGAACAACTCATAGATTTTAACAATAATATAAGTAAAAATGTCAACTGTGTTTTGTGAAAGTTGAGTCTAACCTGTTTTCAAATAACTCTGTGTTTTTGTGTGTGCGTGTGCGTGCGTGTGTGTGTCATACTCTAAAGTCTAATGTCTAAGTTGAAAGTGAAAGAACGTCGGACTTGCTGCTCCAGATTTACCAGCTCACACGGACCTTTGATTAAATCTAATTAATAGTTCACATAATTCCTCCACAACACGCCCTTAATTCAATTCCATTAAATGTATTTGTGTCTCGCCCTAAATCGACGATTCAACAACAATAGATTAGAGAATCAAACACACACAGGACATGGAATAATAACAAACACATAGAGACCAGAGAGAGACCAGAGAGAGAGACCAGAGAGAGAGACCAGAGAGAGAGACCAGAAAGAGACCAGAGAGACCAGAGAGAGAGCAGAGAGAGAGCAGAGAGAGACCAGAGAGAGAGACCAGAGAGAGAGACCAGAGAGAGAGAGCAGAGAGAGAGCAGAGACCAGAGAGAGAGCAGAGACCAGAGAGAGAGGAGAGAGACCAGAGAGAGAGAGCAGAGAGAGATCAGAGAGAGAGCAGAGAGAGACCAGAGAGAGACACCAGAGAGAGAGGAGAGAGACCAGAGAGAGAGAGAGCAGAGAGAGACCAGAGAGACCAGAGAGAGAGGAGAGAGACCAGAGAGAGAGAGCAGAGTGAGCAGGTCAGAGCTTCACTCATCCTATCACAGCTCGTTATGCTGTCATTACACAGAGCCTTATCTCTATCATGTGACTTGTGTATAGTTTTAGGAGCCTCCTTTATTTGACCCACGTGCAAACAGCAGAGACCACAGCTCCTGCTGCTGTCAGACTGTACAATGAGAACTGCTGAGCCTGTAAATGTCCTTCATCTGTAAATAAGTAAATACTGTAACTGTCACTTTATCCACTGATCACCCTGCTCTACATGTACAGTATACTTTATCCACTGATCACCCTGCTCTACATGTACAGTATACTTTATCCACTGATCACCCTGCTCTATATGTACAGTATACTTTATCCACTGATCACCCTGCTCTATGTGTACAGTATACTTTATCCACTGATCACCCTGCTCTATGTGTACAGTATACTTTATCCACTGATCACCCTGCTCTATATGTACAGTGTACTTCATCCACTGATCACCCTGCTCTATATGTACAGTATAGAACTATGTATTTAAAATGTCTTTTGGGGCAACAGTAGCTCAGTTGGTAGAGCACTGGTCTTTGGAACTAATGGTCGTGTGTTCAATCCCACCACGACCATATCATCTGCTCCCACTGATGTCTGCTGTCGTGTCCCTGAGCAAGACATTTAATCCTACATTGCCTGAAGCCCCCGCTGAAAGACCAAGGCCATCTCGTTGATGAGGGAGAAGCATCCTCCTGTGGACCCACCACCTGCAGGGGGATCAGAGGGACTGGTGCGTTAAGACTTGGGCAGCTCTGATTTACACCCCCACGACCCAGAAATGGATTAATAAAGGGAAAGACAATGAAATGACTTTTTTCTTTTGAAAGACTGGTATCGAAGCATTTACAGCTAAGAAACATAGCTACTACTTATTTTGTGTGCTTCTTGTGTCTCTTACTAGCCTGGTCGTACCACACTATAGTACCAATTACATTTGGTACTAAGGTCTGGAGGTGCTCCATTGACTGTTGTTAGCATTTAGCCTAGCTTTAGCCATCTCCTGATTTAGATTCAGATTCATTTTATTTGCCTTTTGCAGTAAAACCACATTGGAATACATTAGCAAAAGTCCCCAGTGTGCACAAGTACAGACATAAAACAACATTAGTACAGAAAAAAACAAAACAAATAAAACTGTAAAACAATTGTTACTGTGAAAACGATCGGCTAAAACAGGATCAATACAAAGTGCAAGAACATTAAAGTGCTCTGTTCACACTGATAACAGCTTGTGGGAAGAAGCTGTTAGCGTAAAGACATGTCCTGCATATCAGAGAGCGATATCTTCTGCCAGAGGGAAGAAGCTGGAACATGGCTTTCCCAGGGTGGCCAGAAGAGTCATTAACAATCCTAAGAGCTTTGTTTAAAAGTCTGGATTTATAAAGAACCTCCAGAACAGGAAGCTCACAGCCCACGGTCCTCTTTGCAGAGCAGAGCACCTTGTTTAAAGCTCTCTTTTCTTTATCTGTGATGTTTCCAAACCACACAGACACAGAACCAACAAGTAAACTCTCAATGGTGCAGCGATAAAAGTTAAGCAGAATCTTAGAGTTAGTGGTAAATTCTCTAAGTTTCCGCAGAAAGTAGAGACGCTGACGAGCTTTCTTAACGACTCGGTCAGTGTTTTTAACCCATTTCAGGTCGTTAGACAGAGTTAAACATGAATCTGAATCTACTGTCCTGTCTGTGCGCTACAACATTGAAATTTTCCCACTATGGGACAAAAGGATCTCTTGTCTGATTATATCATCATCAGGCACTTCCATGGACCTATTAGAATAACATAAGTCTAAATGACGTAGCTCTGATATGGTCACGGTACTGGGCAGAAAGAGTAGGTCGCAGGCGTGTGTAAGGCCGGGTCGGTGTGACACAGCAGCCCGTGTCTTCAGTGCGTGAGGAAGTGCGTGTGGATAGAAACCCTGTATCTTTACTCAGTGGGAATGAGGCTTAAGCATGAACTGCCCTCACACAGCCTGACGGGAGCTCCTGCTAGCTCCCGTTAGCTCCCGTTACTGTGCTAATCCCTTCCACCGGCGGACGTCACGGAGGACTTCACGGCGGACACACACTCAGTGCCCGGACCTGGGACCTCTGCTCCGGGGAGAGGAGCAGCAGACCCGGGTCCAGCTCCTCACGACGGTGCTGGAGCTCCAGGCTAACAGCTAGCATCTACAGGCTAACAGTTCCCAGGACAGGCCCTCTCTGTCCTGGGGAGAGCAGACCCCCAGACCCCCAGACCCCCGGCTTTCTGCCCCTCAGCAGGTGCCGTCAGCCCGGTCACACTCACCAGCAGCTCCCGGTCTTTCAGCATCTTCCGAGACTCATCTGGATTCAGCAACAGGAAGAGCACCGGAAACAGGAAGTTGATTTTTTGTTATTTTTTGTTATGGTGTTTATTGTTTTATTTTTAATTATTTTTAAATAAACGTCTTTATTATTATTAATACAAACAATACATGTACATCATATTTACAAAAAGTCATACAAAATATAAAGTATAAAAATAAACTAAACTAAAAAGGGGCATGACCTCAGACTGCAGCAGCTGTACATGGAATGGGCACTAGAGGAGTGAGCTGTGTGATGTAGGGCAAAACACAAATACATAGAAATGAATAGAATTTTGGAATTTTGAACTTTACTCAACCAGGATATTCCACATGTGGCTCAGGGACCCGGGGCCTCAAACAGATGCACCGGGGGCTGTTTGTCGAAGGTTTCTGTGTGAGCATCGGAGCAAACAACAGCAGAGAAAGTAATATGTGTTTAAAGGTCATCGTCTGTGACAAAACGACTAAAGTCAAAGCTAGTTACACTTTTATAAGAACCTTCTAAGCCTTAAATATTAGGAGACGCACTTTATCTGTGACTGTTTATTATAATGAGCTGAAATATAGTGTTATATATATTTCCATGAACAACATGCGTGGATTGGACCAGGTCTGGACCTGAGGCTCACTGTTGTAGACTGGGGTTAATAAAGTTTACTTTGAATTCTGACTTGTTAGGCCCGAGCCCCAACCGGGGTAAGGGCCTATTGCTTTTCCAACGAGTAATGCCTGGGCCCGGAGATTGTGACCTGCACGCGATGGCACGTGCCCAGACACTGATAAATCCGTGCCGGAGGCACGGAATGGCTTTGTTCCTGCTGTAGTACACAGTGAAATGATTGAAGTCCTATTAAAGGGGGGTTCCTTCAACTGTCTTACGGACGAATGTCCGGGCTTTGCCCGGACATTCGTCCCCCAAGCCCGACGGCGCGTGCCCGGACACTGACAAAACAGTGCCGGAGGCACTGAATGGCTTTGCTCCTGCTGTAGTACACAGTGTAATGAATGGGGTCCTATGGGGGGGTGGGTGACCTCATGATGGCGAGGCAATCACCGAGAACCCAATAGTTGCGTTCGCCTCGTCGTTCGCTTTAAAACGATGTATCATTTGTATTATAGGTTACTATGGAAACCTATATTGTTTTTGCTCAAAGTTTCCAAAAAAATTTTTTGGTTTATTTCTTTCTTTTTTCTTCTGCGCTTTGAGCCTTAATTTGACCCCCTGAACATTGATGAAAAGTTGTGAAATTTTGCCCAAAATTCAGAACTGGTGAAAAATTAATTTTTTTGGTGTTTATTTTTATGGGACTAAAAAAATAGCAGAACAGCGCCCCCTACAAAAGTCAGTTTACATTGCGCCTATGGGAGGGGGTCGGAGGTCAAGTTTGTCGTAGAGCCACGAAATTCGGTACACATGTTCCTCAGGTCAAGACATGAAAAAAAAGTTATTATGGCTCCGCCCCCTGACAAACAGGAAGCTCATTAATTTAATTGGAAAATGGAAAAATGAAAATTGATCTTTTTCACACACTGGAAATTATCTCCTCCTCGGCTGCTTCACCGATTTGTCTCAAAATCGCTCCACATGATCTAAACCCATGTCCCATCTATTATTGAATATAGAATTTGGATCAATTAAACGTTGTCTGAGCAGCGGAGCGGCAAAATGTGACATTTTTTTGGGGATTTTTGACAAAAGTAAATTTGCTCCCGTTTGCACAAACAAAGCCGGATTTGCACAAAATTTTAACCCATTTTGTGCAAATCCGCGTTAGCGCTCGTCAATCACCTCGCCATCATGAGGTCACCCACCCCCCCCATAGGACCCCATTCATTACACTGTGTACTACAGCAGGAGCAAAGCCATTCAGTGTTCACTGTTTTGTCAGTGTCTGGGCACGCGCCGTCGGGCTTGGGGCCCGGACATTCGTCCGTAAGACAGTTGAAAGAACCCCCCTTTAATAGGACCTCAAGCATTTCACTGTGTACTACAGCAGGAACAAAGCCATTCCGTGCCTCCGGCACGGATTTATCAGTGTCTGGGCACGTGCCGTCGCGTGCAGGTCACAATGACAGTTTGACAGGAAAAGCAATAGGCCCTCACCCCGGTTGGGGCTCGGGCCTAATTATAAATTGGAAAATCAAGAGAAAAATAAAACCATACGTCATCCTTCCATGTGGTGACGTCACACGCCTGACTGCTCCACCCGGAAATACAACAACAGCAGCTGTATTAGCCTTAGCTTGCCTGTGTTAGTTAGCTTGCTGTTAGCCTGTGGTTCTTTCTCCGGGTTTAGTCCGGGTTTGTGTTCTGACAGCCGGGTTCCTGCTGCAGACAGCCCCCCTCCAGAAGAACCGCCCCAGAAACATGTAGGGTTAGAGCACGGAGTCTGTGCAGAAAAAACACCCTTTTTTCTGCGTTAGCATCAAGGCTAAAGCTAACGACAACAACAACAACAACAACACAGCAGAACGAGCGGACCTGGTACCAATGGGGACTCATGTAAAAGCTGGGCTACGTAACTTTCGTCTCTCTGGTCTCTCTCTGGTCTCTCTCTGGTCTCTCTCTGGTCCCTCTCTGGTCTCTCTCTGGTGTGTCTGGTCTCTCTCTGGTCTCTCTCTGGTCTCTCTCTGGTCCCTCTCTGGTCTCTCTCTGGTGTGTCTGGTCTCTCTCTGGTCTCTCTCTGGACTCTCTCTGGTCTCTCTGGTCTCTCTCTGGTCTCTCTCTGGTCTCTCTCTGGTCTCCCTCTGGTCTCTCTCTGGTGTGTCTGGTCTCTCTCTGGTCTCTCTGCTCTCTCTGGTCTCTCTGGTCTCTCTGGTCTCTCTCTGGTCTCTCTCTGGTCTCTCTCTGGTCTCTCTCTGGTCTCTCTCTGGTCTCTCTCTGGTCTCCCTCTGGTCTCTCTCTGGTGTGTCTGGTCTCTCTCTGGTCTCTCTGGTCTCTCTCTGGTCTCTCTCTGGTCTCTCTCTGGTCTCTCTCTGGTCTCTCTGGTCTCTCTGGTCTCTCTCTGGTCTCTCTCTGGTCTCTCTCTGGTCTCTCTCTGGTCTCCCTCTGGTCTCTCTCTGGTGTGTCTGGTCTCTCTCTGGTCTCTCTGGTCTCTCTCTGGTCTCTCTGGTCTCTCTGGTCTCTCTCTGGTCTCTCTCTGGTCTCTCTGGTCTCTCTGGTCTCTCTCTGGTCTCTCTCTGGTCTCCCTCTGGTCTCTCTCTGGTGTGTCTGGTCTCTCTGGTCTCTCTCTGGTCTCTCTCTGGTCTCTCTATGGTCTCTCTCTGGTCTCTCTCTGGTCTCTCTCTGGTCTCTCTGGTCTCTCTCTGGTCTCTCTCTGGTGTGTCTGGTCTCTCTCTGGTCTCTCTCTGGTCTCCCCCTGTTTAAAGTTGGGGTTCGTCCTAAATATGTGACATCACAATCACATGAAACTAGTGGCAAAAGCAACTGTTTTAGAGCCAGAACTAGAGACATGGGTTTGATACAGAGTCTGAGTCACAGACCCCAGCTTTAAAGTCACAGACCCCAGCTTTAAAGTCACAGACCCCAGCTTTAAAGTCACAGACCCCAGCTTTAAAGTCACAGACCCCAGCTTTAAAGTCACAGATCCCAGCTTTAAAGTCACAGACCCCAGCTTTAAAGTGACTGTGTGGGAGTCATGTGATTTGAGTCCGGTCAGAGTATGACCTAGATACAGATGATCTACTTACTTTAAAGCTGAGGAATGTAACTTTCAGATATATGTTCTTTAATACAATCTATGTCACTACTTCCTGGCTTTAAAACAGGTCTGTATGTGTCTGGTCCACATGTGTCTGGTCCACATGTGTCTGGTCCACATGGGTCTGGTCCACATGGGTCTGGTCCACATGGGTCTGGTCCACATGTGTCTGGTCCACATGGGTCTGGTTCTCATGGTCCTGGTCCACATGGGTCGGTTCCTGTCTGGTCCACATGGGTGTGGTCCACATGGTCCTGGCCCCATATGGGTCTGGTTCTGTCTGGTCCACATGGGTCTGGTCCTCATGGGTCTGGTCCAAATGGGTCTGGACCACATGGGTCTGGTACTGTCTGGTCCACATTGGCTCTGGTCCACATTGGGTCGGGTCCTGTCTGGTCCACATGGCTCTGGTCCACATTGGGTCGGGTCCTGTCTGGTCCACATGGGTCTTGTCCTGTCTGGTCCACATGGTCCTGGTCCATATGGGTCTGGTTCTCTCTGGTCCACTTGGGTCTGGTCCACATGGGTCTGGTCCGGGCTGGTCCGCATGGCTCTGGTCCACATGGGTCTGGTTCTGTCTGGTCCACATGGTCCTGGTCTGTCTCTGCAGGTCGCCATGGGGAACCAGCTGGCCGGGATCGCCCCTTCACAGATCTTGTCCGTGGACACATATTTCTCGGACATCCACGACTACGAGTACGACCGCAGCCTCGGCAGCACTCGCTTCTTCAAAGTTGCCCGAGCAAAGCACCGCGAGGGACTGGTGGTCGTCAAGGTGTTCGCTATCCAGGTACCAGCTAATGGCTAACGGCTATCAGCTAACAGCTAATGGCTAACAGCTAAGGGCTAATGGCTAATGGTCTTTTCTCTCCCCTCTCCTCATTCTCCTCTCTCTCCTCTCCTATCCTCTCGCTCCCCTCTCTCCTCTCCCTCTCTCCTTTCCCCTACCTCCCCTCCTCCCCCCTCTCTCCCCCCTCCCCCTCTCTCCTCCCAGGACCCGTCTCTCCCGCTGACCTCTCACCGCCAGGACCTAGAGGAGCTGAAGATCAGGCTTCACTCCAGTCACAACTGCCTCCCGTTCCACAAACACACTCTCACAGAGAAGGCTGGCATCCTGTTCAGGCAGTATGTGAGGGACAACCTGTACGACCGCATCAGCACCAGGTGAGACACCATGTGAGGGACAACCTGTACGACCGCATCAGCACCAGGTGAGACACCATGTGAGGGACAACCTGTACGACCGCATCAGCACCAGGTGAGACACCATGTGAGGGACAACCTGTACGACCGCATCAGCACCAAGTGAGACACCATGTGAGGGACAACCTGTACGACCGCATCAGCACCAAGTGAGACACCATGTGAGGGACAACCTGTACGACCGCATCAGCACCAGGTGAGACACCATGTGAGGGACAACCTGTACGACCGCATCAGCACCAAGTGAGACACCATGTGAGGGACAACCTGTACGACCGCATCAGCACCAAGTGAGACACCATGTGAGGGACAACCTGTACGACCGCATCAGCACCAGGTGAAACACCATGTGAGGGACAACCAGTACGACCGCGTCAGCACCAGGTGAGACACCATGTGAGGGACAACCTGTACGACCGCATCAGCACCAGGTAAGAGACCATGTGAGACACCATGTGAGGGAACACCTGTACGACCGCATCAGCACCAGGTGAGACACCATGTGAGGGACAACCTGTACGACCGCATCAGCACCAGGTGAGACACCATGTGAGAGACCATGTGAGGGACAACCTGTACGACCGCATCAGCACCAGGTGAGACACCATGTGAGGGACAACCTGTACGACCGCATCAGCACCATGTGAGACACCATGTGAGGGACAACCTGTACATCCGCATCAGCACCAGGTGAGAGACCATGTGAGGGACAACCAGTACGACCGCGTCAGCACCAGGTGAGACACCATGTGAGGGACAACCTGTACGACTGCATTAGCACCAGGTGAGACACCATGTGAGGGACAACCTGTACGACCGCATCAGCACCAGGTGAGACACCATGTGAGGGACAACCTGTACGACCGCATCAGCACCAGGTGAGACACCATGTGAGGGACAACCAGTACGACCGCATCAGCACCAGGTGAGACACCACATGAGAGACCATGTGAGGGACGACCTGTACGACCGTATTAGCACCAGGTGAGACACCACATGAGAGACCATGTGAGGGACAACCTGTACAACCGCATCAGCACCAGGTGAGACACCATGTGAGAGACCATGTGAGGGACAACCTGTACGACCGCATCAGCACCAGGTGAGACACCATGTGAGGGACAACCTGTACGACCGCATTAGTACCAGGTGAGACACCACATGAGAGACCATGTGAGGGACAACCTGTACGACCGCATCAGCACCAGGTGAGACACCATGTGAGGGACCATGTGAGGGACAACCTGTACGACCGCATCAGCACCAGTTGAGAGACCAGAGAGTATCCATCTATCTTGGGAAAGGTCTGCACTCTATGATTGCTGTTCTTGATGTGTGGTTCTTTAATGACCTCCCCCTCCCTCCTCCTCCCTCCCCCTCCTCCCCCCTCCCTCCCCCCAGACCCTTCCTGAACACCACAGAGAAGCGCTGGCTGGCCTTTCAGATCCTGTCGGCGGTGGAGCAGGCCCACAGGTCTGGGGTGCGTCACGGAGACATAAAGTCTGAGAATGTGATGGTGACAAGCTGGAACTGGGTCCTGCTCACAGACTTCGCCAGCTTCAAGCCCACCTACCTGCCCGAGGACAACCCCGCCGACTTCAACTACTTCTTTGACACGTCACGGCGCCGAACATGCTACATCGCCCCCGAGCGCTTTGTGGACGGAGCCGTGTACTACAGCGGAGAGAGCGAAGGAGCTAACCTGGTGGATCTACCAGGAACCAACCAGAGGAGCAGAGGGGAGCTGAAGGCTACCATGGACATCTTCTCTGCTGGTACTGCTGCTATTGCTGCTGCTACTGCTGCTGCTGCTGTTTCTACTACTACTGCTGCTACTACAGCTGCTACTGCTACTGCTGCTACTGCTACTGATAGTAATACTACTTTTTATCCCTGCTCACCTCTCCCTATCTCCCCGCTCTCCCCTCCTCCCCTCTCTCCCCCCTCTCTCCCCACCCTCCCCTCTCCCCTCTTCCCGCTCTCCCCTCCCTCCCCCCTCAGGTTGTGTGATCGCAGAGCTCTTCACAGAGGGGGTTCCTCTGTTCGACCTGTCCCAGCTCTTGGCCTATCGCAAAGGTCTGTATCAGACTGAGGAGGTCCTGATGAAGATCGAGGACCCGAGTGTGCGACAGCTGGTGAGTCCTGCTCCAGTCCTGCTCCAGTCCTGGTTCTCCTGGTCCTCACTGGTGTCCCCTCCTCAGGTGGCCCACATGGTGCAGCTGGATCCGGAGCTGAGGCTGTCTGCAGAGGAGTACCTGAAGCAGCAGAGGGGGCGGGCCTTCCCTGACGTCTTCTACTCCTTCCTCCAGAGCTTCATGGTCCAGTTCACCGGAGACACCTTGAGGTCTGCGGACGACCGCCTCCTGCTGCTGCACCGGGACCTCGACCACATCCTGCTGCGCCTCAGCCACGGTAACACCTGCTGCTTCATCCTGCAGGAGGAGTGGGCCAGAATTCTCTCTCTCTCTCCCTCTCCCTCTCCCTCTCCCTCTCCCTCTCCCTCTCCCTCCCTCCCACAGACCCCGCCCGGGAGCAGCAGGGTCTCACGGTGCTGGTGTCTCTCCTCACCCTCTCTCCTCTCTCTCCCCTCTCTCTCCTCTCTCCTCACCCTCTTTCCCCTCTCTCCCCCACAGACCCCGCCCGGGAGCAGCAGGGTCTCACGGTGCTGGTGTCTCTCCTCACTTCGTGCCTGCAGAACCTCCTCAGTTGTGACAGTAAGCTGGCGGGCCTGGACCTGGTGTTGCGGCTGAGTGTGCGTCTGAGCGTGGACGTGCTGCTGGACCGCATCACGCCGTACCTGCTGCACCTCTGCAGCGACAACACGCCGCGCATCCGAGCACAGGCGCTGCGCACACTCACCCGCGTGCTCGCCATGATCACAGAGGCCCCACGCAACGACACCAACATCTACCCAGAGTACATCCTGCCAGGTGTGTGTGTCTGTGTGTGTCTGTGTGTGTGTGTGTGCACTTGTTTTCAACTCCTGGTGGGTTCCATAACCTGAGATTCCACTCACGTCATGGGGACTGGTTTTACGTGGTGGGGCCCGAACACCGGACCCCACTGGTCCAAACTTAATAATCAATGGGTAATGCTTTTCTAACGGTCCTTATGCAGTCTCTGTAAAAATATGGAAAGGATCCCTGGAGTTTACTTTCCTGAAAAAAGTGTGTTATGTGTCGGAACCCTGGTGGTGGGTTGCGGGATATCAAGGAGGGGCACACTGGGGCAATTCCAGTCCAGCAGGCTGGAGCCAATCATGGAGCAGCACAACAGAGGAAGTCAGGTATCAGGCTAGAAAAGGTGCAAGTGTGTGGTTCATTAGGCTGCAGCCAATCACAGAGCAGCACACTGAAGCGCACGCTTACAAACCACTGGTAAGTGCTGACTACAAGTCATGACTTCAAATTGTTATATAAAATTATTACAAATTATTTTTTGTTTGTGCAGCTTAGTCAAGAGTCCCTAATTGATGAAGTCGACTCAGATTCTGACGATTTAACTGTCAAGAAGAAACCTGTAAAAAAGTATGGAAAAAGAAAAATCAAAAACACTTTTCTTCAAGACTCGGAAAGTGACGAACCAAAGGCAAATAAGATTGTTATCATGCAGCTGCAAAAGAAGAAAAATGGGGGGAGAGTTTACAGCAAGAGGCACTTCTGCCTCTACTGTTCAATGTCCTGCCACAAAATGTCCCGTCATTTGACTAGAAAACATGGAAATGAAAGTGACGTAGCCAGAGCATTGGCTCTACCTGTGAAATCTAAAGCACGTAAACTTCACTTTGATTTGATCAGGAATAGTGGAAACCGTGAGCACAATTTTGAGGTTTTAAAGGCCGGCATTGGAACTTTAGTCCCAGCTAAACAGCCAAATTCCCCAGTTAAATCCAGTGAGTTTTTGCACTGTATAGACTGTGGGGCATTGCTTAAGCGAAAGTCGCTGTGGAGGCATGTGGCCAGGTGCCGGCTTTCACAGAAAGATGCCCAGGCTAAACCAGGTAGAAGTAGGGTCCAGTCCCTCTGCTCCCTAGCCCAGCCTGTACCGGAGGGCATCAGCAAAAAGCTGTGGTCTTTAATTTGGGCAATGCATCAGGATGAGGTCACGGGTGTTGTCAAAGCAGAAAAGGGGATTCTGAGACTCGGAGAGCACCTGTACTTAAAACACGGGCATGATAAGACTAAGTATGATTACATTAGGCAGAAAATGAGAGAAGTCGGTAGGTTAATTAACGAAGCAAAAACCGCAGGGAAACTGAAAACAATGAAGGATTTTTTTATTCCTTCCAACTTTAACCATGTGATTGATGCAGTCAGGTCTGTGGCTGGATATGATGAGGAAACAAATCAATACAAGACTCCATCCTTGGCCCTCAAACTCGGCCATAGCCTCAGAAAGCTAGCAGATATTCTTGAATGTGACTCAAAAATGGAGCATTGTGTTGATGAACTATTTATTAAAAACCTCCAACGAAGCCGGCTGCTTTTTGAGAAGAGGTGGGACGTCTGTGTTTCTTCTGCTGCCCTACAGACCCTCCGGCAAGCCAAGTGGAACACTCCGGACCTGCTCCCTCTGACTGAGGACGTTAGAGCCATGCATGCACATATCGAGGTATGTCGACCTGAATATGTGCAAACCCTAATAAGTGAGCCAACGTCTAAGCATTGGTCTAAACTGGCAGTTTTGACTCTTTGTGAGGTCATTATTTTCAATCGAAGAAGGGAAGGTGAGGTTTCAAAGATGCCACTGACAGCGTTTACCTTAAGAAGTAAGACTGGGATCCATTCTGACATTGCTCTGGGACTGTCCCAACTTGAGAAAAAAGCTGTGTCAGCATTTTCAACGCATTGAAATTAAAGGGAAAAGAAGTCGGAAAGTGGTGGTTCTTTTGACTCCTGAAATGATTGCTTGGATGGAGGTGCTGGTGGAGAACAGAAGGGCCTGTTCTATCTCTGACCATAACCCATACTTCTTCTCCCGCCCGGGCGCAGACACCCACATCAGGGGATCAGACTCCCTACGGCAGGTAGCCAAAGAATGTGGTGCGGTGCATCCAGAGATGCTATCCTCAACCAAACTTAGAACGCACATAGCTACTATGTCTACAGTTCTCAATATGAAAGAGAATGAAATGGACATACTAGCCAACTTCCTCGGCCATGACATTCGCATCCACAGACAATATTACAGACTACCAGAGGGGACACTGGAGCTGGCCAAAATCAGCAAAGTGTTAATGGCCATGGAGCAGGGAAGAGTGACGGAATTCAAAGGAAAGAGCCTCGACCAGATACAAATTGAGCCTGAAGGTAATTCTTGATATTATTAAAATATGTATAACTTTTTTCCCCTAAAGGCCACTTGTATTTTTATTTTCTGTGCGACAGGGAGAGCTGTAGAGATCCTCTCACAAACGGACGGGCTAAAAGAAACTTCAAGCGAAGAACCTTCAACCATTCATCCAGATGCACCCAATGGTAGTGGCAGTGCCCCTTCTGGTAAGTGTACCAGTTGGGGGATTACAGCCAGGCTGCTTGGTCCTAACCCTGGGAGTGTATATTGCTAATATATTTTTATTTCTCTCCCTGGAACGTGTAAGAAAGCCATGGTCTGCATCTGAGGTGAAGGCTGTGGAGAAGACCATGACGCCTTTCATACAGACTGGAAAAGTCCCTGGGAAGTCTCACTGCCTGGCCTGGCCTGGCCTGGCCTGCATTAATGCCTCACCAGATGACCTTAGACATCGGACATGGAGTGGCATTAAATTCGATGTCAAAAATAGAATCACTGCAATTCGAAAAAAAAATCAAAAATCAAATTCCTTTAAAAGAGTTGTTTGTTTTCTATTGACTGTTTTGTATTACTTAAAGTAGTCCCAGTAAATATGTCTATGGGTCCCATTCTGAACGGCCCTGTCAAAGGGACCCACCAGGTAACAAAAACGTGTGTGTGTCTGTGTGTGTGTGTGTGTCTGTGTGCCATGTCGTCCCTGGTGGGACCACACCATAGTCAGGCATTAACCTCAGTTTAAACTCTTTCAGGAATCGCTCAGTTGGCTCAAGACGAAGCTACGATCGTACGACTTGCTTATGCAGGTAATAGATCAGTCCTGGTCCGGTCCTGGTCCGGTCCTGGTCCGGTCTTGATGCAGCCTCTCTCTCTCCTCAGAGAACATCGCACACCTGGCAGAAAGTGCTCTCCGGTTCCTGGAGCTGGTTCAGGAAAACCATGTGACAAACTGTGACCAGGGACAGAACCAGGAAGAGGAGCTGAGCTCCGACAACTACGACTCTGGTAACACAACTACACTTCTGGTAACACAACTACGCCTCTGGTAACACAAGTACACTTCTAGTATCACACCTACACCTCTGGTAACACACCTACACCTCTGGTAACACACCTACACTTCTGGTAACACACCTACACCTCTGGTCTCCCTCTCTGATGGTCTCATGTTGCATGTTCTCCCCGTGCAGAGCTGCAGGCCCTCCTCTCTCATGTTGCATGTTCTCCCTGTGCAGAGCTGCAGGCCCTCCTCTCTCATGTTGCATGTTCTCCCTGTGCAGAGCTGCAGGCCCTCCTCTCTCTTGTTGCATGTTCTCCCCGTGCAGAGCTGCAGGCCCTCCTCTCTCATGTTGCATGTTCTCCTTGTGCAGAGCTGCAGGCTCTCCTCTCTCATGTTGCATGTTCTCCCCGTGCAGAGCTGCAGGCCCTCCTCTCTCATGTTGCATGTTCTCCCTGTGCAGAGCTGCAGGCTCTCCTCTCTCATGTTGCATGTTCTCCCTGTGCAGAGCTGCAGGCTCTCCTGTCTCATGTTGCATGTTCTCCCCGTGCAGAGCTGCAGGCCCTCCTCTCTCATGTTGCATGTTCTCCCTGTGCAGAGCTGCAGGCCCTCCTCTCTCATGTTGCATGTTCTCCCCGTGCAGAGCTGCAGGCCCTCCATGAGATGGTGCAGCAGAAGGTGGTGACGCTGCTGTCGGACCCGGAGAACATGGTGAAGCACAGTCTGATGGACACCGGCATCACTCGTCTCTGCGTCTTCTTCGGGCGACAAAAGGCCAACGACGTCCTGCTCAGTCACATGATCACATTCCTCAACGACAAGAACGACTGGCACCTCAGGGGCGCCTTCTTCCACTCCATCGTGGGTAAGAGCAGGGGAGACCAGGGGAGACCAGGGGAGACCAGTGAGAGACCGGGGAGAGACCGGGGGGAGACCGGGGAGAGACCGGGGAGAGACCGGGGAGAGACCGGGGAGAGACTGGGGAGAGACCGGGGGTATGGACCCCCTAACATGTGTCCCATGGTATGTACCCTCTAACATGTGCCCCATGGTATGTACCCTCTAACATGTGTCCCATGATATGTACCCTCTAACATGTGTCCCATGGTATGGCTCTAACATGTGCCCCATGGTATGTACCCTCTGACTTGCCCCATGGCAGGTGTGGCGGCGTACGTGGGCTGGCAGAGCTCGTCGATCCTGAAGCCGCTGCTGCAGCAGGGTCTGAGCGACACTGAGGAGTTTGTGATCTACAAAGCTCTGAACGCTCTGACAACCATGTGTGACCTGGGCCTGCTGCAGAAGAACCATATCAACGAGTTTGTGTGCGACACCGGTGAGCCCTCCCCTCTCTCTGGTCTCTCTCATGGTCTCTCTCATGGTCTCTCTCTGGTCTCTCTCATGGTCTCTCTCTGGTCTCTCTTTGGTCTCTCTCTGGTCTCTCTCTGGTCTCTCTCTGGTCTCTCTCTGGTCTCTCTCTGGTCTCTCTCATGGTCTCTCTCATGGTCTCTCTCTGGTCTCTCTCTGGTCTCTCTCATGGTCTCTCTCTGGTCTCTCTCTCTGGTCTCTCTCTCTGGTCTCTCTCTCTGGTCTCTCTCATGGTCTCTCTCTGATCTCTCTGGTCTCTCTCTGGTTTCCCCCCTGGTCTCCCCCCTGGTCTCCCCCCTGGTCTCCCCCTGGTCTTTCTGATGGTCTCTCTGATGGTCCTTCTGGTTGCAGCTCCGTTCCTGTGTCACCCAAACCTGTGGATCCGTTATGGTGCCGTGGGCTTCATCACCGTCGTCGCCAAAAACCTGAACGTGGCCGACGTCTACTGCAAGCTCCTCCCCCACCTCACCCCTTTCCTCACCCAGCCCATCATACAGGTGACTACTGCCTCCCCCTCCTCACCCCATCATACAGGTGACTACTGCCTCCCCCTCCTCACCCCTTTCCTCACCCAGCCCATCATACAGGTGACTACTGCCTCCCTCTGGTCTCTCTCTCTGGTCTCCCTCTGGTCCTCACGGTCTCCCTCTGGTCTCAGATCGATAACGAGCTGGTCCTCACGGTCTCCCTCTGGTCTCAGATCGATAATGAGCTGGTCCTCACTGCCTCCCTCTGGTCTCCCTCACGGTCTCCTTCTGGTCTCAGATCGATAATGAGCTGGTCCCCACGGTCTCCCTCTGGTCTCCCTCTGGTCTCCCCCACGGTCTCCCTCTGGTCTCAGATCAATACTGAGCTGGTCATCACGGTCTCCCTCTGGTCTCCCTCTGGTCTCCCTCACGGTCTCCGTGTGGTCTCAGATCAATAATGAGCTGGTCCTCACGGTCTCCCTCTGGTCTCCCTCACGGTCTCCTTCACGGTCTCCTTCTGGTCTCAGATCAATAATGAGCTGGTCCTCATGGTCTCCCTCTGGTCTCCCTCACGGTCTCCTTCTGGTCTCAGATCAATAATGAGCTGGTCCTCATGGTCTCCCTCTGGTCTCCCTCACGGTCTCCTTCTGGTCTCAGATCAATAATGAGCTGGTCCTCATGGTCTCCCTCTGGTCTCCCTCACGGTCTCCTTCTGGTCTCAGATCGATAATGAGCTGGTCCTCCTGAGCGTCCTGAAGCCTCCTGTGTCTCGCTCTATCTTCGACTACACTCTTCGCTCCAAAGACATCTCTGCTCTGTTCCGCCACCTGCTGCTCAGGCAGAGGCAGCGCAGCGGCTCTCTGCCCGAGTGTCCACAGCCCGAGGACCCAGGGGTGGCCCAGCTGCTGAAGAAGCTGCTGTCCCAGGTGAGTCCAGGTCCAGGGCCGAGACCAGGACTAGGACCAGGACCGAAACCAGGACCAGGACCACAGATACACACACAGTAGTAGAGTGAGCTATTGCTTACTTGCATTGACGTCACGTCCGCCTCATTACGTATGCGTATCACGGTGGTCGCCGAGCCCGTTGTTCACTAGAGCAGCGTGTCTGAATCTGCCTTTTGCATGTGTTGTTTTAAGTTTTCTTACCAATCGAATCGTGAAACCTTTAATGGATACTTTAGGATTCCTCGTGAAGAGATAAATAAAGAGCCTCGCACTAAGGACTTTACGAAAAGACGCAGGAAAAGTGTCTCGCTAACTTTTCACTGCAAACGCTTTTACCTCGAAGGATTATCTATTTACCCAGCCATGGAGTCACAATGTACAGTTATTACATCCCCATCTTTATGTAATGAATTGTCAGGTATGAGTTGTTTTCGATAAACACTGAATGTCTGACCTGAAAAGAACACAGCCACAGACGCATCGTTCTGTTGAGAATGACGAGTTCATTCACCGATCGTTACTGACACGGCTCTGTACGATGCAGGATGTGTCCTTCAGGACATTAACCATTTCTTTATTTTTCAACAATATATTCATTTTGTATTCACAGTTTTTTACAAAACAAAACACAACCACACACACCCTCCCAGACATATACATCAGAAACAAGATTCTTCGTCACTGAGCTCGTCCAATGGGCTCATGTCCTAGATACATAATACATGATACATGATACATAATAAATGATACATGATACATGATACATGATACATGATACATGATACATAATAAATGATACATGATACATGATACGTGATACGTGATACGTGATACGTGATACATGATACATGATGATACATGATACGCGATAAGCGAAATAGCTGTTGGGAGCGTTGTATACGTGTAAAAAAATATTAAATCAGGATTTGTTTAGGACCAGGGTAAAACGTGACCTAGCAGCTTGTGGCCATGGCCGGAAGCAACTCTGAGTTCCTGAACCAACAGACAGATGGAAAAGTTGCAGCATCCATGTTTATCCAAACCATTGGTTTAGCAGTGCAAAAGCTTGATTGTAACACTAGCTCGAGGATTAGAATCTAAAGTGAAGAAAATGACAGTCTAGGATCGTGTCTTTAATTCAGACAGAAGACATGTTTTATTGTCGATGGTAGAGACAGAACAAAGACGTTACAGAATGTAAGTAACATACAGCGGAGGAAAGGAGACTTATTAGCATGTTAGCATGTTAGCATTTACCGCGGTGCCAGTAGCTTCAACCTTGATGTTACTAAAACATGTAGTGGAAGAATTCTGCCTTGTGCATATTGTTAGAATGATGAGTTAGAACTTTCTCCACAGTAGCTTCAAAGTGTCATGAAATATCTGAAGAGTTGCATTTTCTCCATATATCAGCAGCAACTCTTGCTGACCTGACACCACTTCGTCAACCGGAAGTTTATGCGTCTCGTGACTGCAAGCCAAGAATTGTTGTGTCAGAGCTAAAGCGAAATTCGTGTGTGTGTGTGTGTGTGTGTGTGTGTCTGTGTGTGTGTGTGTGTGAGAGAGAGATGCCAGATGTGGTCTGGCTAATCATATAATCATACACACCTTTTTGATGAATTAAAATACTTTATATATCATTCAGGCTCTCCCATCACTCACCCCTCTTCTCCCCCTCCCGCCCCCCCCACATGTCCTCATGTTTCCTCTGACAGTGTTTTAAGCATAAGAATTCCTTTATTCGTCCCACAGTGGGGAAATTTCGACTGTACTGATAATAAAAGCAGTGTTTTGTAGCAGAATAAGGTGTAGTTGTGCAGCTGTCCACCAGGAGGCAGAATGGTGCTTCCACAGAGCTTTAGTCATATGTTGGTACCAGCAGCTGTACATGGTTTCTAACACCTCACTCCAAACATGTTTTATTACCCTTCAGTTCCAGTAACGAGGATTTACATGGTTCCACATGGGAGACCTCCATTAGATTCAGTATATTCAAATCCAGACCTCTCTGGTCTCGCTCTGGTCTCGCTCTGGTCTCTCTCTGGTCTCTCAGGACTCTCTCTGGTCTCTCTGTGTGTGTGTTTGTCTGTGTGTGTGAGTCTGTGTCCTTTTCTGTGTGTGTCTGTGTCTGTGTGTGTCTGTTTCTGTGTGTGTGTGTCTGTTTCTGTGTGTGTCTGTGTGTGTGTTACTGAGTTAGTTTACTTTTACATGGAAGTCAGTAGGAGCCAGACTTCACCATGAGCACTTCCCCATAGGGCTAGCAGGTTAGCATTGAGCTAGCAGGTTAGCATTGAGCTAGCTTGTTAGCCCTGTCCATCTGTGCAGTCTCTGGTGTGTGTTATTTTTCCCCAGATATAAATCCAACAGTTTTTCTGATTGATCTGTTTTTATAGTGTGCTTTGAAGATCTTCCAACATCAAACACACTGCGGCCACTTTAGATTCATTTATTTATTATTATGGCCAGACATTGATTCTGATTCTGGAAACTCTTTAATCCCGGTGCTGTTGTGATCCCGGTGCTGTTGTGATCTTGGTGCTGTTGTGATCTTGGTGCTGTTGTGATCTTGGTGCTGTTGTGATCCCGGTGCTGTTGTGATCTTGGTGCTGTTGTGATCCCGGTGCTGTTGTGATCCCGGTGCTGTTGTGATCTCGGTGCTGTTGTGATCGCGGTGCTGTTGTGATCTCGGTGCTGTTGTGATCGCGGTGCTCAGTGCTGTTGTGATTGTGGTGCTGTTGTGATTGCGGTGCTGTTGTGCTCTTGGTGTTGTTGTGATCCCGGTGCGACACTCACTCACCCAAACACAGCTCCACGGCTCATTACGCTGTCAGTATGTACAGTATTGTGTAGTCTCTCAAGTGTCTGTGTGTGTGTGTCTGTGTCTGTGTGTGTGTGTGTGTGTGTGTGTCTGTGTCTGTGTCTGTGTCTGTGTGTCCAGGGCATGACAGAGGAGGAGGAGGACAAACTTCTGGCTCTGAAAGACTTCCTGCTGAAGTCGCACAAAGCTAAAGCGTCCATGGACCAGAGTCACACTGAGCATGCTCAGAACGGGGTCATACAACTGCACACGCTCGGCATCATGGGAAGGCAGGTCGACCTGGTGCGACCACGAGGGGACCCCGAGGACAAGAGAGGTACACACACACACCAAGGACAAGAGAGGTGCCTCTGCCTCTGCCTCTGCCTCTGCCTCTGCCTCTGCCTCTGCCTCTGCCTCTCTCTGCCTCTGCCTCTGCTCTGTCTCTGCCTCTGACTCTGCCTCTCTGCCTCTCTGCCTCTGCCTCTGCCTCTGTCTCTGCCTCTGCCTCTGCCTCTGTCTCTGCCTCTGCCTCTGCCTCTGCCTCTGCCTCTGTCTCTGTCTCTGTCTCTGCCTCTGCCTCTGCCTCTGCCTCTGCCTCTGCCTCTGCCTCTGCCTCTGCCTCTGCCTCTGTCTCTGTCTCTGTCTCTGTCTCTGTCTCTGTCTCTGTCTCTCTCTCTGTCTCTGCCTCTGTCTCTCTCTCTGCCTCTGTCTCTCTCTCTGTCTCTGTCTCTCTGCCTCTGCCTCTGGTTCTGCCTCTGTCTCTGCCTCTGCCTCTGTCTCTGCCTCTGTCTCTGCCTCTGCCTCTGTCTATGTCTCTGTCTCTCTGCCTCTGCCTCTGCCTCTGTCTCTGCCTCTGCCTCTGTCTCTGCCTCTGTCTCTGCCTCTGCCTCTGCCTCTGTCTCTGCCTCTGTCTCTCTGCCTCTGCCTCTGTCTCTCTGCCTCTGCCTCTGCCTCTGTCTCTGCCTCTGTCTCTCTGCCTCTCTGCCTCTGTCTCTGTCTGTCTCTGTCTCTCTCTCTGTCTCTGCCTCTGTCTCTCTCTCTGTCTCTGTCTCTCTGCCTCTGCCTCTGGTTCTGCCTCTGTCTCTGTCTCTGCCTCTGCCTCTGCCTCTGCCTCTGCCTCTGCCTCTGCCTCTCTGTCTATGTCTCTGTCTCTCTGCCTCTGCCTCTGCCTCTGCCTCTGTCTCTGCCTCTGTCTCTGCCTCTGCCTCTGCCTCTGCCTCTGCCTCTGTCTCTGCCTCTGCCTCTGCCTCTGCCTCTGTCTCTGTCTCTGTCTCTGTCTCTGCCTCTGTCTCTGTCTCTGTCTCTGTCTCTCTCTCTGTCTCTGCCTCTGTCTCTCTCTCTGCCTCTGCCTCTGGTTCTGCCTCTGTCTCTGCCTCTGCCTCTGTCTCTGCCTCTGTCTCTGCCTCTGCCTCTGTCTATGTCTCTGTCTCTCTGCCTCTGCCTCTGCCTCTGTCTCTGCCTCTGCCTCTGCCTCTGTCTCTGCCTCTGTCTCTGCCTCTGCCTCTGCCTCTGTCTCTGCCTCTGTCTCTCTGCCTCTGCCTCTGTCTCTCTGCCTCTGCCTCTGCCTCTGCCTCTGTCTCTGCCTCTGTCTCTCTGCCTCTCTGCCTCTGTCTCTGTCTCTGTCTCTGTCTCTCTCTCTGTCTCTGCCTCTGTCTCTCTCTCTGTCTCTGTCTCTCTGCCTCTGCCTCTGGTTCTGCCTCTGTCTCTGCCTCTGCCTCTGCCTCTGCCTCTGCCTCTGCCTCTGCCTCTGCCTCTGTCTCTGCCTCTGCCTCTGTCTATGTCTCTGTCTCTCTGCCTCTGCCTCTGCCTCTGCCTCTGTCTCTGCCTCTGCCTCTGCCTCTGTCTCTGCCTCTGCCTCTGCCTCTGCCTCTGCCTCTGTCTCTGCCTCTGCCTCTGCCTCTGTCTCTGTCTCTGTCTCTGTCTCTGCCTCTGTCTCTGTCTCTGTCTCTCTCTCTGTCTCTGCCTCTGTCTCTCTCTCTGCCTCTGTCTCTCTCTCTGTCTCTGTCTCTCTGCCTCTGCCTCTGGTTCTGCCTCTGTCTCTGCCTCTGCCTCTGTCTCTGCCTCTGTCTCTGCCTCTGTCTATGCCTCTGCCTCTGCCTCTGCCTCTGCCTCTGTCTCTGCCTCTGCCTCTGCCTCTGTCTCTGCCTCTGTCTCTGCCTCTGCCTCTGCCTCTGTCTCTGCCTCTGTCTCTCTGCCTCTGCCTCTGTCTCTCTGCCTCTGCCTCTGCCTCTGTCTCTGCCTCTGTCTCTCTGCCTCTCTGCCTCTGTCTCTGCCTCTGTCTCTGTCTCTGTCTCTGTCTCTCTCTCTGTCTCTGCCTCTGTCTCTCTCTCTGTCTCTGTCTCTCTGCCTCTGCCTCCTCTGCCTCTGTCTCTGTCTCTGCCTCTGCCTCTGTCTCTGCCTCTGCCTCTGCCTCTGCCTCTGCCTCTGCCTCTGCCTCTGTCTCTGCCTCTGCCTCTGTCTATGTCTCTGTCTCTCTGCCTCTGCCTCTGCCTCTGCCTCTGTCTCTGCCTCTGCCTCTGCCTCTGCCTCTGCCTCTGCCTCTGTCTCTGCCTCTGTCTCTGCCTCTGCCTATGTCTCTGCCTCTGTCTCTCTGCCTCTGCCTCTGTCTCTCTGCCTCTGCCTCTGTCTCTGCCTCTGTCTCTCTGCCTCTCTGCCTCTGCCTCTGCCTCTGCCTCTGCCTCTGTCTCTGCCTCTGCCTCTGCCTCTGCCTCTGCCTCTGTCTCTGCCTCTGCCTCTGCCTCTGTCTCTGTCTCTGTCTCTGTCTCTGCCTCTGTCTCTGCCTCTGTCTCTGTCTCTGCCTCTGTCTCTGTCTCTGCCTCTGTCTCTGTCTCTGCCTCTGTCTCTCTCTCTGCCTCTGTCTCTCTCTCTGTCTCTGTCTCTGTCTCTCTGCCTCTGCCTCTGGTTCTGCCTCTGTCTCTGCCTCTGCCTCTGTCTCTGCCTCTGTCTCTGCCTCTGCCTCTGTCTATGTCTCTGTCTCTCTGCCTCTGCCTCTGCCTCTGTCTCTGCCTCTGCCTCTGCCTCTGTCTCTGCCTCTGTCTCTGCCTCTGCCTCTGCCTCTGTCTCTGCCTCTGTCTCTCTGCCTCTGCCTCTGTCTCTCTGCCTCTGCCTCTGCCTCTGCCTCTGTCTCTGCCTCTGTCTCTCTGCCTCTGTCTCTCTGCCTCTCTGTCTCTGTCTCTGTCTCTGTCTCTGTCTCTGTCTCTGTCTCTGCCTCTGTCTCTCTCTCTGTCTCTGTCTCTCTGCCTCTGCCTCTGGTTCTGCCTCTGTCTCTGTCTCTGTCTCTGCCTCTGCCTCTGCCTCTGCCTCTGTCTATGTCTCTGTCTCTCTGCCTCTGCCTCTGCCTCTGTCTCTGCCTCTGCCTCTGCCTCTGTCTCTGCCTCTGTCTCTGCCTCTGCCTATGTCTCTGCCTCTGTCTCTCTGCCTCTGCCTCTGTCTCTCTGCCTCTGCCTCTGCCTCTGCCTCTGTCTCTGCCTCTGTCTCTCTGCCTCTCTGCCTCTGCCTCTGCCTCTGCCTCTGCCTCTGCTCTGTCTCCTCTGCCTCTGTCTCTGTCTCTGCCTCTGCCTCTGTCTCTGTCTTTCTGCCTCTGCCTCTGTCTCTGCCTCTGCCTCTGTCTCTGTCTCTCTGCCTCTCTGCCTCTCTGCCTCTGCCTCTGCCTCTGTCTCTGCCTCTGTCTCTGTCTCTGTCTCTGTCTCTGTCTCTGTCTCTGTCCATGGTCCTTGTCACATGTTTACATAATTGTTTACACTTGGAAGTGGTTTATTTTCTTGTTAAATTCTTGCTTTTGGCTTCGACCTCAGAACAAACAAGATCATTACTGCAGACTCCAGATGTGGTTAATCAGAACCAGACCAGAGAGAGACCAGAGAAAGAGAGAGACCAGAGAGAGACCAGAGAGAGAGAGACCAGAGAGAGAGAGACCAGAGAGAGAGAGACCAGAGAGAGAGAGACCAGAGAGAGAGAGACCAGAGAGAGAGAGACCAGAGAGAGACCAGAGAGAGAGAGACCAGAGAGAGAGAGAGAGAGAGAGAGACCATAGAGAGAGAGACCATAGAGAGAGAGACCATAGAGAGAGAGACCAGAGAGAGAGAGACCAGAGAGAGAGAGACCAGAGAGAGAGAGAGACCAGAGAGAGAGAGAGACCAGAGAGAGAGAGAGACCAGAGAGAGAGAGAGAGACCAGAGAGAGAGAGACCAGAGAGAGAGAGACCAGAGAGAGAGACCAGAGAGAGAGAGACCAGAGAGAGAGAGACCAGAGACCAGAGAGAGAGAGAGACCCAGAGAGAGAGAGAGACCAGAGAGAGAGAGAGACCAGAGGGAGAGAGAGACCAGAGAGAGAGACCAGAGAGAGAGAGAGAGACCAGAGAGAGAGAGAGAGACCAGAGAGAGAGAGACCAGAAAGAGAGACCAGAGAGAGACCAGAGAGAGAGACCAGAGAGAGAGAGACCAGAGAGAGAGACCAGAGAGAGAGAGAGAGACCAAGAGAGAGAGAGAGACCAGAGAGAGAGACCATAGAGAGAGAGACCAGAGAGAGACCATAGAGAGACCAGAGAGAGACCATAGAGAGAGAGAGACCAGAGAGAGAGAGACCAGAGAGAGAGACCAGAGAGAGAGAGAGAGAGAGAGAGACCAGAGAGAGAGAGACCAGAGAGAGAGAGACACCAGAGAGAGAGAGACCAGAGACCAGAGAGAGAGACCAGAGAGAGATCATCTCTCTGGAGAGAGAGACCAGAGGGAGAGAGAGACCAGAGAGAGAGACCAGAGAGAGAGAGAGAGAGACCAGAGAGAGAGAGAGAGGTCTCTCTCTGGTCTCTCTGGTCTCTCTCTGGTCTCTCTTGGGTCTCTTTCTGGTCTCTCTGGTCTCTCTCTCTGGTCTCTCTCTGGTCTCCAGAGAGAGAGAGTCTCTCTCTAGTCTCTCTCTCTGGAGAGTCTCTCTCTCTGGTCTCTCTCTCAGAGTCTCTCTCTAGTCTCCCTCTCTGGTCTCTCTCTGGTCTCTCTTTCTGGTCTCTCTCTGGTCTCTCTGGTCTCTCTCTGGTCTCTCTCTGGTCTGCTCTTGGGTCCCTCTCTGGTCTCTCTGGTCTGTCTCTCTGGTCTCTCTCTGGTCTCTCCCGGGTCTCTCTCTGGTCTCTCTCTGGTCTCTCTCTGGTGTCTCTCTGGTCTCTCTCTGGTCTCTCTCTGGTCTCTCTCTGGTCTCTCTCTGGTCTCTCTCTGGTCTCTCTTGGGTCTCTCTCTGGTCTCTCTGGTCTCTCTCTGGTCTCTTTCTGGTCTCTCTCTCTGGTCTCTCTCTGGTCTCTCCCTGGTCTCTCTCTCTGGTCTCTCTCTCTGGTCTCTCTCTCTGGACTCTCTCTGGTCTCTCTCTCTGGTCTCTCTCTGGTCTCTCTCTAGTCTCTCTCTCTGGTCTCTCTCTCTGGTCTCTCTCTGGTTTGTCTCTCTGGTCTCTCTCTGGTCTCTCTCTCTCTCTCTCTGGTCTCTCTCTGGTCTCTCTCTGGTCTCTCTCTGGTCTCTCTCTGATCTCTCTCTCTAGTCTCTCTCTCTGGTCTCTCTCTGGTCTCTCTCTCTTGTCTCTCTCTGGTCTCTCTCTCTGGTCTCTCTCTCTGGTCTGTCTCTCTGGTCTCTCTCTGGTCTCTCTCTGGTCTCTCTCTCTGTTCTCTCTCTCTGGTCTGTCTCTCTGGTCTCTCTCTGGTCTCTCTCTGGTCTCTCTCTCTGGTCTCTCTCTCTGTTCTCTCTCTCTGGTCTCTCTCTCTGGTCTCTCTCTGGTGTCTCTTTGGTCTCTCTCTGGTTTCTCTCTGGTCTCTACAGTAGCAGTGTGACCAATATACTGCTGCAGTTTTTTGGTCTCGTTCTGATCATCTGGAAAACAGCCCCAAAACATGTGTGACCGAACACGGACCATGTGTGTCTCAATGAAATGTGTTTAGAATTCTGCACCAGAACTGAGAGAACAAACTGTATGTTCTTCTCTCTAGTCCCTCTCTCTGGTTTCTCACTGGTCTTTTCTGGTCTCTCTCTGGTCTCTCTCTGGTCTCTGGTCTGGTCTCTGGTCTCTCTCTGGTCTCTCTCTAGTCGCTCTCTGGTCTCTCTCTGGTCTCTCTCTCTGGTCTGGTCTCTGTCTCTGGTCTCTGGTCTGGCCTCTGGTCTCTGTCTCTGGTCTCTAGTCCCTGGTCTCTAGTCTCTGGTCTGGTCTCTGGTCTCGGGTCTGGTCTGGTCTCTGGTCTCTGGTCTGGTCTCTGGTCTGGTCTGTCTCTGGTCTCTGGTCTTTGGTCTGGTCTCTCTCTGGTCTCTGGTCTGGTCTCTGCTCTTGTCTCTGGTCTCTCTCTGGTCTCTGGTCTCTCTCTGGTGTCTGGTCTCTGCTCTGGTCTCTGGTCTCTCTCTGGTCTCTGGTCTCTGGTCTGGTCTCTGGTCTCTCTCTGGTCTCTGGTCTGGTCTCTGGTCTGGTCTGGTCTCTGGTCTCTCTCTGGTCTCTGGTCTGGTCTCTGGTCTCTCTCTGGTCTCTGGTCTGGTCTCTGGTCTGGTCTAATCCCTGGTGTCTTCAGGTCCAGGCATCCTCCCTCCTCTTGCGGCGCCTCGGGGTCCTAGTGTTCGCCATCGGAGTGGGACAGTCCAACGAGGCTCAGCTCAGAGACATCGCGTCTCAGCCTCAGGAACGGTTCCTGCTGAAGATTGACTCGTACCAGGCTCTGCAGCGGCTCACGGAGGGTCTCCTGCAGACGGTCTGCGTGTCCGCCGAGGACACACGGCAGGGTGAGGCTCTGCTGGTCCTGTCTCTGCTGGTCCTGTCTCCTCTGGTCCTGTCTCTGCTGGTCCTGTCTCTGCTGGTCCTGTGTTGTTGTTTACATGTTGTGTTGTTTACAGCGCTCTCTGAGAAGTTTGCCGACATCTTCTTCCTGGTCGACAGTGGCCTCTCTGCGCAGGAGTTCCAGCAGGTGTGTGTGTGTGTGTGTCTGTGTGTGTCAGTTGTGTTACTGTGTGTGTGTGTGTTGCTGTGTGTGTTACAGTTGTGTGACTGTTGTTCGACTGTTGTGTTACTGTTGTGTTGCTGTGTGTGTTACTGTTGTGTTGCTGTGTGTGTTGCTGTGTGTGTGTGTGTTGCTGTGTGTGTTACACTTGTGTGACTGTTGTTTGACTGTTGTGTTACTGTTGTGTGACTGTGTGTGTTGTACGTCCTCAGGTGCGGGGGCTGATGAACCGCCTCCTGACCTCCCTCCCCGTTGCCACGGCAGCACACAGAGTGGGCGTGGCTCAGTACGGGTCTTCGGTGAAGGTGGAGTTTCTGCTGAACACGACTCAAACCAAAGAACAGACTCTGAACGACGTCCGGCGAATCCGAACCCGGAAACTGCAGCCGAACGAACAACGCAACCTCGGGGCGGCCCTGGAGTACGCAGCACAGGTACACGGCACCGAAGATCAGCAGAACCGATTGGCAGCGTTCTGACCAATCAGAGGGCAGCGTTCTGACCAACCAGAGCAACAGAGAGTTTTATTCACTAAAGTGGATTTATAAAAAACTGATTTAACAAGAAAAAAGTTCAGGAACAAGAGACACATCCACAGGTTCTCTGTAGGTTCTCTGTCAGGTTCTCAGTAGGTTCTCTGTAGGTTCTCTGTCAGGTTCTCTGTCAGGTTCTCTGTAGGTTCTCTGTAGGTTCTCTGTAGGTTCTCTGTCAGGTTCTGTGTCAGGTTCTCTGTAGGTTCTCTGTCAGGTTCTCTGTCAAGTTCTTTGTCAAGTTGTCTGTAGGTTCTCTGTAGGTTCTCTGTCAGGTTCTCTGTAGGTTCTCTGTAGGTTATCTGTAGGTTCTCTGTCAGGTTCTCTGTCAAGTTCTCTGTAGGTTCTCTGTTAAGTTCTCTGTCAGGTTCTCTGTCAGGTTCTCTGTTAGGTTCTCTGTCAAGTTTTCTTTCAGTTTCTCTGTAGGTTCTCTGTCAGGTTCTCTGTTACGTTTTCTGTAGGTTCTCTGTAGGTTCTCTGTCAAGTTCTCTGTCAGGTTCTCTGTAGGTTCTCTGTAGGTTCTCTGTAGGTTATCTGTAGGTTCTCTGTCAGGTTCTCTGTAGGTTCTCTGTAGGTTCTCTGTCAAGTTCTCTGTCAGGTTCTCTGTAGGTTCTCTGTAGGTTCTCTGTAGGTTCTCTGTCAGGTTCTCTGTAGGTTCTCTGTCAGGTTCTCTATCAGCTGAGGTCTGTTTTAGTTTACACAGTTCTATGTTTCTGGGTAACGTGAGTGTGTGTCGTACCTGTGTGCTGTACCTGTGCTGTACCAGTGTGCTCACATGTACCTGTGTCCTCACATGTACCTGTGTGCTGTACCTGTGCTGACATGTACCTGTGTCTCTCAGCACTTCTTCACCCCGGCTGCTGGGGGCCGTGCAGCCCTGGGGTACAGACAGTTCCTGGTGGTGGTGAGTGGTACTGCATCGGCTGACTCTGTGTATAGAGCGTCCCGTCTGCTGAGGTCCTCTGGCGTCAGTGTGGTCGGCCTCAGCCAGGGGGCGCCACTGAGCGAGCTCAAAGTCATCGCCAGTCCGCAGCAAGTCTACCAGCTCCAGCCCAACCTGGCAACCAACCTGATGACTCTGTTCAAGACACAGGAAGTGGACTCGGCTGTCATAGGAGGTACACACATACACACACACACCACACATACACACACACACACACAAACACCACACACCACAAATACACACACACACACCACACATACACACACACACCACACATTCAGATTCAGATTCATTTATTTGCCATTTGCAGTAAAACCACATTGGAAAAACTGTGCAAGACTACCCCAGTGTGCACCAGACACACACCAGAGCTCTTGCCACGGCGCCATGCACACACACACACACACACAGACGCACACACACACACACACACACACACCACACATACACACACACACAGACGCACGCACACACACACACACACACACACCACACATACACACACACACCACACATACAAACACACACACACACGCAGACGCACACAACACAGACACACACACACACACACACAGACACACACACACACACTCCTCTTCTCTCCTCACACTGTTCCTCCTCTCACTGCGCCTCCTCCTCTCTCCACACACTGCTCCTCCTCTCACTGTTCCTCCTCCTCTCTCCTCACACTCCCCCTCTCACTGCTCCTCCTCCTCTCTCCTCACACTCCTCTCACTGCACCTCCTCCTCTCTCCTCACATTGCTCCTCCTCTCACTGCGCCTCCTCCTCTCTCCTCAGACTGCTCCTCCTCTCACTGCGCCTCCTCCTCTCTCCACACACTGCTCCTCCTCTCACTGCGCCTCCTCCTCTCTCCTCAGACTGCTCCTCCTCTCACTGCGCCTCCTCCTCTCTCCTCTCACTGCTCCTCCTCTCACTGCGCCTCCTCCTCTCTCCTCACACTCCTCCTCTCACTGCGCCTCCTCCTCTCTCCACACACTGCTCCTCCTCTCACTGCGCCTCCTCCTCTCTCCTCAGACTGCTCCTCCTCTCACTGCGCCTCCTCCTCTCTCCTCACACTCCTCCTCTCACTGCTCCTCCTCCTCTCTCCACACACTGCTCCTCCTCTCACTGCGCCTCCTCCTCTCTCCTCACACTCCTCCTCTCACTGCGCCTCCTCCTCTCTCCACACACTGTTCCTCCTCTCACTGCGCCTCCTCCTCTCTCCTCAGACTGCTCCTCCGCCCGCCTGGCTGACGTGGTCTTCATAGTAGATGAATCTGAGAGCATAGGGACTCCTAACTTCCAGCTGGTGCGGCGGTTCCTTCACTCCGTGGTGAGCGGGCTGGAGGTGGCGCCTAACCGTGTCCGAGTGGGCGTGGTCACCTACAACGACCGGCCCACGGCGCAGGTCTTTCTGGACAGCTTCAGCAACAAGACGGACCTCCTCAGATTCCTGAAGATCCTGCCGTACCATGGGGGACGCACCAGCACCGGGAAGGCCCTGAACTTCACCAGAGACACCATCTTCAGGGCGGAGCGCGGCAGCCGCATGGGCAAAGGCGTCCAGCAGGTGGCAGTGGTCATCACCGACGGACAGTCTCAGGTTGGTCTCGGACTAGAGCCCACTCTCATATGAGCCGTATGTAAAGAAGACGACTCTTGTTTCGCTCTGGTCTCTCTCTGGTGTGCCTCTGGTCTCTCTCTCTAGTCTCTCTCTGGTCTCTCTCTGGTCTCTCTCTGGTCTCTCTCTCTAGTCTCTCTCTGGTCTCGCTTTGGTCTCTCTCTAGTCTCTCTCTGGTCTCTCTCTGGTCTCTCTCTCTAGTCTATCTCTGGTCTCTATCTATGGTCTCTCTCTGGTCTCTATCTATGGTCTCTCTCTGGTCTCTCTCTAGTCTCTCTCTGGTCTCTATCTATGGTCTCTCTCTAGTCTCTCTCTGGTCTCCCTCTGGTCTCTCTCGCTGGTCTCTCTCTCTGGTCTCTCTCTGGTCTATCTCTCTAGTCTCTCTCTAGTCTCTCTATGGTCTCTCTCTGGTCTCTCTCTGGTCTCTCTCTGGTCTCTCTCTCTGGTCTCTCTCTCTGGTCTCTCTCTCTGGTCTCTCTCTGGTCTCTCTCTGGTCTCTCTCTGGTCTCTCTCTCTGGTCTCTCTCTATGGTCTCTCTCCGGTCTCTCTCTAGTTTCTCTCTGGTCTCTCTCTGGTCTCTCTCTGGTCTCTCTCTCTAGTCTCTCTCTGGTCTCTCTCTATGGTCTCTCTCTGGTCTCTCTCTGGTCTCTCTCTCTAGTCTCTCTCTGGTCTCTCTCTGGTCTCTCTCTCGTCTCTCTCTAGTCTCTCTATGGTCTCTCTCTATGGTCTCTCTCTGGTCTCTCTCTGGTCCCTCTCTGGTCTCTCTCTGGTCTCTCTCTGGTCTCTCTCTGGTCTCTCTCTGGTCTCTCTCTCTAGTCTCTCTCTGGTCTCTCTCTGGTCTCTCTCTCTAGTCTCCCTCTGGTCTCTCTCTATGGTCTCTCTCTGGTCTCTCTCTAGTCTCTCTCTAGTCTCTCTCTGGTCTCTCTCTAGTCTCTCTCTCTGGTCTCTCTCTCTAGTCTCTCTATGGTCTCTCTCTCTGGTCTCTCTCTGGTCTCTCTCTGGTCTCTCTCTCTGGTCTCTCTCTCTGGTCTCTCTCTGGTCTCTCTCTCTGGTCTCTCTCTCGTGTGCCTCTGGTCTCTCTCTCTAGTCTCTCTCTGGTCTCTCTCTGGGCGGCACGGTGGCTGAGTGGATAGCACTCTTGCCTCTCAGCAAGAAGGTCCTGGGTTCGAATCCCGGTTGGACCAGGGCCTTTCTGAGTGGAGTTTGCATGTTCTCCCCGTGTCTGCGTAGGTTTCCTCCGGGTGCTCCGGTTTCCCCTACCACTAAAAATATGTACAAAAGGTCTGGCATGTGCCTCCTGTACTGGCACCCCTGCTCCCAAAAATAACAATTGTAAACCGCTTTGAGACTCCGATGTGCAGTGAAAAGGCGGTATATAAATAAAGATTACTTACTTCTCTCTGGTCTCTCTCTGGTCTCTCTCTGGTCTCTCTCTGGTCTCTCTCTCTGGTCTGGTCTCTGGTCTCTCTCTGGTCTCTCTCTGGTCTCATGCTCCCCTCTGCCCCCCTCAGGATGACGTGGGTGCTGCAGGGGCGGAGCTTCGCAGAGCTGGTGTGACTGTGTATGCGCTGGGAGTGAAAAAAGCCGACAAGCAGGAGCTGCACAAAATGGCGTCGTATCCGGCGCCAAAACACACGTTCATCGTGGACAGTTTCTCTAAACTCAAGTCTGTGAAACAAGTTCTGCAGAAAACACTCTGTCACAACATCCTCCGGGAGGCCATCAGTGTGTCGTCACGGCAATCAGGGATCAGAGAGGGTACACACACACACACACACACACAGACAGAGACACAGACACACACACAGACAGACACACACACACAGACAGACACACACACACACAGAGACACAGACACACACAGACACACACACACAGACAGAGACACAGACACACACACACACAGAGACACACACAGAGAGACACAGACACACACACACACACACACAGAGAGAGACACAGACACACACACACACACACACACACACACACACACAGAGACACAGACACAGACAGGGACACAGACACACACAGAGAGACACACACACACAGACAGACAGACACACACACACAGAGACAGACACACACACACACAGAGAGAGACAGACACACACACACACACACACACACACACACACACACACACACAGAGACACACACACACACACACACCCCTGGTCTCTCACCTGGTCTCTCCCCTGGTCTCTCCCCTGGTCTCTCTCCTGGTCTCTCCTCTGGTCTCTCCCCTGGTCTCTCTCCTGGTCTCTCCCCTGGTCTCTCCTCTGGTCTCTCCCCTGGTCTCTCTCCTGGTCTCTCCCCTGGTCTCTCCTCTGGTCTCTCCCCTGGTCTTTCACCTGGTCTCTCCCCTGGTCTCTCACCTGGTCTCTCCCCTGGTCTCTCCTCAGGCTGTGCTCAGACAGACGAGGCCGACATCTTCTTCCTCATAGACCATTCCGGAAGCATCTATCCCTCAGATTTCCACGACATGAAGAAGTTCATCCTGGAGTTCCTCCAGACGTTCCGGTTTGGTCCGGACCATGTGCGTCTGGGCGTGGCTAAGTTCGCGGATGATCCTGAGCTGGAGTTCGACCTAAACGCCTTCTCTGACGCCAAGTCCCTGGAGGCTGCGGTCCTGGGTATCCGGCAGGTCGGGGGCGGGACCGAGACCGGGAAGGCCCTGACCTTCATGGGACCAGTGTTCAAGAGGGCAGCGGCCAGCCGCGGGCACAAGGTGAGACCGACACCAGGTGAGACCTATACCAGGTGAGACCGACACCAGGTGAGATCTATACCAAGTGAGACCTACACCAGGTGGTACATATACCAGGTGGGACCTTTACCAGGTGTGACCTATACCAGGTGAGACCTATACCAGGTGAGACCGACACCAGGTGAGACTGACACCAGGTGAGACCTGTACCAGGTGATACCTATACCAGGTGAGACCTATACCAAGTGAGACCTACACCAGGTGGTACATATACCAGGTGAGACTGACACCAAGTGAGACCTACACCAGGTGGTACATATACCATGTGGGACCTCTACCAGGTGAGACCTTTACCAGGTGGGACCGACACCAGGTGAGACCTTTACCAGGTGGGACCGACACCAGGTGTGACCAGCCAAGGTTGTAGGTGTCTTTCCTCACCTTCTCAGGTCTCTCCCCTCCCCTCTCTCACCTCCTCCTCTCTCCCCTCCTCTCTCACCTCCTCCTCTCTCTCCTCTCTCCCCTCCTCCCCCCTCCCCTCTCACCTCCTCCTCTCTCACCTCCTCCTCTCTCTCCTCTCTTCCCTCCTCTCTCCCCTCCCCTCTCTCCTCCTCCCCTCTCACCTCCTCCTCTCTCTCCTCTCTCCCCTCCCGTCTCACCTCCTCCCCCCTCCCCTCCCCTCTCACCTCCTCCTCTCTCCCCTCCCCTCTCACCTCCTCTCTCCCCCCGCAGGTCCGAGAGTACCTGATCGTCATCACAGATGGTAAGTCCACAGATGAGGTCCAGGCCTCGGCCTCTGCCCTGAGGTCTGAGGGCGTGACCATCTACGCCGTCGGAGTGAAGAGCGCGGACCAGGACCAGTTGCTGCAGATCTCAGGAGACACCAGCAAGATGTTCTTCGTTTATAACTTTGATGCTCTGAAGCCCATCAAGGACGACATCATCACCGACATCTGCTCCACCAGCGGTAAGACCAGGACCAGGTGACAGGACCAGGTGACATGACCAGGACAGCAGGGCCTCATTTGATTAGGTACAGCCAGTATTCCTCAGCTGACTAGACCTTCAGGACCATGTGAAGACCATGTGAGGACCATGTGTTCCTTTCTCCTCAGTCTGCCAGGACGCCACTGGAGACCTGGTCTTCCTGGTGGACAGTTCTGGTAGCATTTACCCCAAGGACTATGAGAAGATGAAGGAGTTCATGAAGAGTGTGATCGGGAAGTCCTCTGTGGGACCGGACCATGTGCACTTCGGGGTGATCCAGTTCAGCACGGAGCAGCAGGTCCAGTTCCCTCTGAACCAGTTCTTCACCAAAGACCAGCTGGTGTCTGCCGTAGACACCATGAGACAGGTCGGGGGCGGGACCCACACAGGAGAGGCCCTGGCCTTTGCTCAGCAGTACTTCACCTCCGCCAGAGGGGGGCGCCCCGCCCTCACACAGAGGCTGGTGGTCATCACCGACGGAGAGGCCCAGGACGAGGTCAAGGAGAATGCCAAGGTGAGGTCAGGGGTCAGAGGTCAGAGAGGCCCAGGATGAGGTCAAGGGTCAGAGGTCAGAGAGGCCCAGGATGAGGTCAGGGGTCAGAGGTGAAGTTGTCATATTGACATTTACAATACTGGACGTCACAGCAATGGACCAGAACGAGTGTGAGTTTCAGTGGTCGTTTATGGTCCTAGAGCTGAGCAGCTCTAAGGTCTCTATCTTCTGGTCCTCAGAGGTCCACACAGCTCTAAGGTCTCTAACATTTGGTCCTCAGAGGCCCACACAGCTCTAAGGTCTCTACCCTCTGGTCCTCAGAGGCCAACACAGCTCTAAGGTCTCTAACCTCTGGTCCTCACAGGTCCACACAGCTCTAAGGTCTCTAGCCTCTGGTCCTCAGAGGCCAACACAGCTCTAAGGTCTCTAACCTCTGGTCTTCAGAGGCCCACACAGCTCTAAGGTCTCTAACCTCTGGTCCTCAGAGGTCCACACAGCTCTAAGGTCTCTAACATTTGGTCCTCAGAGGCCCATACAGCTCTAAGGTCTCTAACCTCTGGTCCTCAGAGGTCCACACAGTTCTAAGGTCTCTAACCTCTGGTCCTCAGAGGCCCACACAGCTCTAAGGTCTCTAACCTCTGGTCCTCAGCGGCTGCGGGACAGTGGGGTGCGGGTCTATGCTATCGGGCTGGTGGACGCTAACACCACGCAGCTGTTGGAGATCAGTGGAGACCCAGAGCGGGTCTTCTCTGAGCGGAACTTCGACGGACTCAAGAACCTGGAGAACCAGCTGGCCTTGGAGATCTGCAACCCTGACCGAGGTACTGACCCAGACCAGACCAGACCAGACCCTGACCAGAGGTACTGACCCAGACCAGACCAGACCCTGACCGAGGTACTGACCCAGACCAGACCAGACCCTGACCGAGGTACTGACCCAGACCAGACCAGACCCTGACCGAGGTACTGACCCAGACCAGTCGGGCGGCACGGCGGCACGGTGGCTGAGTGGATAGCACTCTCGCCTCTCAGCAAGAAGGTCCTGGGTTCGAATCCCGGAACCATGGCCTTTCTGAGTGGAGTTTGCATGTTCTCCCCGTGTCTGCGTAGGTTTCCTCCGGGTACTCCGGTTTCCCCTGCCACTAAAAATATGTACAATAGGTATGGCATGCGCCTCCTGTTCGGCGACCCCGCTCCCATCTCTGTGTGGAGTGAGAGGACAAGTGCTCAAAAAAAAAAATAACAATTGTAAACCGCTTTGTGACTCTGGTCTGTGAAAGGCGGTATATAAATAAAGCTTACTTACTACTTACTACTTACCAGACCCTGACCGAGGTCCTGACCCAGACCAGACCAGAATAGACCCTGACCGAGGTACTGACCCAGACCAGACCCTGACAGAGGTACTGACCCAGACCAGACCAGAATAGACCCAGACCGAGGTACTGACCCAGACCAGACCAGACCCTGACAGAGGTACTGACCCAGACCAGACCAGACCCTGATCTTGGTCCCATCTTGGTCTCGTCTTGTTCTCATCTCAATCTCGTCTTGGTTTGGTCTTGGTCTGGTCTCGGTCTTGTCTTGGTCTCACTCAGAGGTTCTGTGTCACTGATTTTGTGGAAGTCAACGTCGTCTTGTGCCAAAGAAAATGTTTAGTCACATTTTTAAGTAGAAATAAGATCTGCTTTTGGATCAGAGGTCACATTCCAATGAACTGACTCCAACTCTGTAGACGTACATACATGTAGTAGTAGTAGTAGTAGTAGTAGTAGTAGTAGTAGTAGTAGTAGTAGTAGTACAATACATGTAGCAGTAGTAGTAGTAGCAGCAGTAGTAGTAGTAGTAAAAGTAGTAGTAGTAGTAGTTGTAGTTCCAGTGTGGGCGGGTCCCGGCTCCAAAAGATCCTTGAGCACGTGCGCAGACTTGCGCTGCAATCTCTTTTTGGTGTACCCAGAACACCTGGTTGCGTGTGTACTAATACAGCCTGGTTGCGTGTGCCCTAATACAGCCTGGTTGCGTGTGTACTAATACAGCCTGGTTGCATGTGCACTAATACAGCCTGGTTGCGTGTGTACTAATACAGCCTGGTTGCGTGTGCACTAATACAGCCTGGTTGCGTGTGTACTAATACAGCTTGGTTGCGTGTGTACTAATACAGCCTGGTTGCGTGTGCACTAATACAGCCTGGTTGCATGTGTGCTAATACAGCCTGGTTGCATGTGTACTAATACAGTCTGGTTACGTGTGTACTAATACAGCCTGGTTGCGTGTGTACTAATACAGCCTGGTTGCGTGTGCGCTAATACAGTCTGGTTGCGTGTGTACTAATACAGCCTGGTTGCGTGTGTACTAATACAATCCGGTTGCGTGTGTACTAATACAGCCTGGTTGCGTGTGCACTAATACAGCCTGGTTGCGTGTGTACTAATACAGTCTGGTTGCGTGTGTACTAATACAGCCTGGTTGCGTGTGTACTAATACAGCCTGGTTGGGTGTGCACTAATACAGCCTGGTTGCGTGTGTACTAATACAGTCTGGTTGCGTGTGTACTAATACAGCCTGGTTGCGTGTGCACTAATATAGCCTGGTTGCGTGTGTACTTATACAGCCTGGTTGCTTGTGTACTAATACAGCCTGGTTGCGTGTGTACTAATACAGCTTGGTTACGTGTGTACTAATACAATCCGGTTGCGTGTGTACTAATACAGCCTGGTTGCATGTGCACTAATACAGCCTGGTTGCGTGTGTACTAATACAATCCGGTTGCGTGTGTACTAATACAGCCTGGTTGCGTGTGCACTAATACAGCCTGGTTGCGTGTGTACTAATACAGCCTGGTTGCGTGTGTACTAATACAGCCTGGTTGCGTGTGTACTAATACAGCCTGGTTGCGTGTGTACTAATACAGCCTGGTTGCGTGTGCACTAATACAGCCTGGTTGCGTGTGTACTAATACAGCCTGGTTACGTGTGTACTATTACAATCCAGTTGCGTGTGCACTAATACAGCCTGGTTGCGTGTGCGCTAATACAGCCTGGTTGCGTGTGCGCTAATACAGCCTGGTTGCGTGTGCACTAATACAGCCTGGTTGCGTGTGTACTAATACAGTCTGGTTGCGTGTGTACTAATACAGCCTGGTTGCGTGTGCACTAATACAGTCTGGTTGCGTGTGTACTAATAAAGCTTGGTTGCGTGTGCACTAATACAGCCTGGTTGCGTGTGTACTAATACAGTCTGGTTGCGTGTGTACTAATACAGCCTGGTTGCGTGTGTACTAATACAGCCTGGTTGCGTGTGTACTAATACAGCCTGGTTGCGTGTGCACTTATACAGCCGGGTTGCGTGTGTACTAATACAGCCTGGTTGCGTGTGTGCTAATACAGCCTGGTTGCGTGTGCGCTAATACAGCCTGGTTGCGTGTGTACTAATACAGCCTGGTTGCGTGTGTGCTAATACAGCCTGGTTGCGTGTGTACTAATACAGCCTGGTTGCGTGTGTGCTAATACAGCCCGGTTGCGTGTGCGCTAATACAGCCTGGTTGCGTGTGCGCTAATACAACCTGGTTGCGTGTGCACTAATACAGCCTGGTTGCGTGTGTGCTAATACAGCCTGGTTGCGTGTGCACTAATACAGCCTGGTTGCATGTGTACTAATACAGCCTGGTTGCGTGTGCGCTAATACAGTCTGGTTGCGTGTGTACTAATACAGCCTGGTTGCGTGTGTACTAATACAATCCGGTTGCGTGTGTACTAATACAGCCTGGTTGCGTGTGTACTAATACAGCCTGGTTGAGTGTGCACTAATACAGCCTGGTTGCGTGTGTACTAATACAGTCTGGTTGCGTGTGTACTAATACAGCCTGGTTGCGTGTGTACTAATACAGCCTGGTTGGGTGTGCACTAATACAGCCTGGTTGCGTGTGTACTAATACAGTCTGGTCTCGTGTGTGCTAATACAGCCTGGTTGCGTGTGTACTAATACAGCCTGGTTGCGTGTGTACTAATACAGCCTGGTTGCGTGTGCACTAATACAGCCTGGTTGCGTGTGTACTAATACAGCCAGGTTGCGTGTGCGCTAATACAGCCTGGTTGCGTGTGCGCTAATAGAGCCTGGTTGCGTGTGCACTAATACAGCCTGGTTGCGTGTGCGCTAATACAGCCTGGTTGCGTGTGCGCTAATAGAGCCTGGTTGCGTGTGCGCTAATACAGCCTGGTTGCGTGTGCACTAATACAGCCCGGTTGCGTGTGTACTAATACAGCCTGGTTGCGTGTGTGCTAATAGAGCCTGGTTGCGTGTGTGCTAATACAGCCTGGTTGCGTGTGTACTAATACAGCCTGGTTGCGTGTGTACTAATACAGCCTGGTTGCGTGTGTACTAATACAGCCTGGTTGCGTGTGTACTAATACAGCCTGGTTGCGTGTGCAGAGTGTAAGAAGACAGAGAAAGCCGACATCGTGTTCCTGGTGGACGGCTCGACCAGCATCACTCCCCCCAAGTTCCTCTCGATGCAGAAGTTCATGTCGTCAGTGGTGAACGAGACCACGGTGGGACCGAACCTCACTCGCTTCGGGGTCATCCTGTACTCCAACAACCCCAACTCCATCTTCAGCCTCAACCGCTACAGAAATAAGTGGGACGTCCTGAACGCCATCTCCGCCCTGACGAGACTAACCGGCGACACCTACACCGGCAAGGCCCTGGACTACAGTCTGCAGTACTTCGGCCCGCAGCATGGGGGCAGAGCGGCGCAGAGGGTCCCACAGATTCTCATGGTCATCACCGACGGAGACGCCACAGACAGGTGACATCACAGAGCCACAGCTGCCCTAGGACAGAGCACAGAGCGTGACATCACCACAATGTTAGACAGAAGCCGATATGAAACTTAAGCTGGAGCCAGTTAAGGAAACTGTTGTTTTAGCCGTAGCTCTGGTCTCTCTGGTCTCAGGTCTCTGATCTCAGATCTGGTCTCTCTGGTCTCAGGTCTCTGATCTCAGATCTGGTCTCTCTGGTCTATGGTCTCAAATCTGGTCTCTGGTCTCAGGTCTCTGTGGTCTCTGGTCTCAGATCTGGTATTTCTGGTCTCAGGTCTCTCTGGTCTCTGGTCTCAGGTACAGTCTGGAGGCTCCAGCTCAGGCATTGGCTCGTAGCGGAGTGGGCGTGTTCTCTATCGGAGTGGAAGGAGCCAATCAGACGCAGCTGGAGATCATGGCGGGACACAAGAAGAACCGGGTTTTCTACGTCGACAACTTCGACGCTTTGGAGACGCTCTACAAGAACATCAGCTCTGTCATCTGTGCGGACATCAAACCAGGTGGGACTGAGGATCCAGGACTGAGGACCCAGGACTGAGGACCCAGGACTGAGGACTCAGGACTGAGGCTGTAGATCCAGGACTGAGGCTGTAGATCCAGGACTGAGGACCCAGGACTGAGGCTGTAGATCCAGGACTGAGGCTGTAGACCCAGGACTGAGGACCCAGGACTGAGGACCCAGGACTGAGGACCCAGGACTGAGGACCCAGGACTGAGGACCCAGGACTGAGGACTCAGTACTGAGGCTGTATACCCAGGACTGAGGCTGTGGTGTGTGCAGAATGTGAGAAGCAGGAGGCAGACCTGGTCTTCCTCTTGGACCAGTCCGGTTCCATTCAGTCCAACGACTATCAGACCATGAAGAACTTCACGGGTGAACTGGTGCGAAGCTTCACCATCTCCCAGGACCAAGTCAGAGTCGCTCTGGCTCAGTTCAGCAGCAGCTTCGAGCATCAGCTGTACCTGAACGAGAAGAACACAGAGGAGAAGGTACTGCTGCTACTGCTACTGCTACTGCTACCGCTGCTACTGCTACTGCTGCTACTGCTACTGCTGCTACTGCTACTGCAACTGCTGTTAATGCTACTGCTACTGCGACTACTACTACTGCGAGTACTGCTACTACTACTACTGCTGCTACTGCTACTGCTACTGCTACTGCTGCTACTGCTACTGCTGCTACTGCTACTGCTACTGATGCTACTGCTACTACTGCTACTGCTACTGCTGCTACTGCTACTACTACTGCCGCTACTGATGCTACTGCTACTGCTGCTACTGCTACTGCAACTGCTGTTAATGCTACTGCTACTGCGACTACTGCTACTGCTGCTGTGAGTACTGCTACTACTGCTACTGCTGCTGCGACTACTGCGAGTACTGCTACTACTGCTACTGCTACTACTGCTACTGCTGCTGCGACTACTGCTACTGCGACCACTGCTACTGCTACTGCGACTACTGATACTGCTGCTACTGCTACTGCTGCTGCTGCTGCTACTGCTACTGCTACTGCTGCTGCTGCTGCTGCTGCTGCTCCTCACAAGGCAGCACTAACTGCTGCCCTGTATCAAGCCTCACATTGTTCAGGAAGCTTTCGTTCATGCAGTAACCCTCCTCCTCCCCATCTCCGCACACAGAGCTCTGAGCGGTGCTGATGTCACACTAACTTATTATTATATTTTTTATATCCTAATAAACCTTTGTATCGAGTCTGCAGATGGAAAGGATTGAAATGATGTCTTTTGTGATTGACAGGTGGTAGAGCACATCCTGGGCCTGCGTCAGCTGGGGGGCGGGACAAACATTGGCCACGCCCTCAACTCTCTGCAGCAATATTTCACCGCAGCACGAGGGAGTCGCAAAGCTCAGCAGGTGAGATGTCACCTCCTCAGGAGGAGCACTGTCACCTCCTCAGGAGGAGCACTGTCACCTCCTCAGGAGCACTGTCAGCTCCTCAGGAGGAGCACTGTCACCTCCTCAGGAGCACTGTCACCTCCTCAGGAGGAGCACTGTCACCTCCTCAGGAGCGCTGTCACCTCCTCAGGAGGAGCACTGTCATCTCCTCAGGAGGAGCACTGTCATCTCCTCAGGAGGAGCACTGTCACCTCCTCAGGAGGAGCACTGTCATCTCCTCAGAAGGAGCACTGTCACCTCCTCAGGGGGAGCACTGTCACCTCCTCAGGAGGAGCACTTGTAGCATATACGTTACAGAAAGCTAATAAAGTCTAATAGCTAGTTGTGTAAGAAATGTACTTTAGTTTTTTATCTTATTATGCTCACTATAAAGATTGAATTAGGCTAGTGTCAGAAAAAACTAGAGACGACTCTGGGAGAGAGGAGGCAGAAGATATATATCTTTATATAGCAATATAAGCGATATCCATTGATAAATTATGAGTGACAGTGAGCGACAGTATGAACAGTGAGAAACTGTGAAAACAGTGAAAACAGCGAAAACAGTGAAAACAGTGAAAACAGTGAAAACTGTGAAAACTGTGAAAAATGTGAAAACAGTGAAAACAGTGAAAACAGTGAAAACAGTGAAAACAGTGAAAACTGTGAAAACTGTGAAAACTGTGAAAAATGTGAAAACAGTGAGAAACAGTAAATGGCCATTTAATACGATGCAATAATCGAACAAAAATAATATTGAAAGTACAAACAAAATAAACAAAGTGTGCAGCAGACGCGACTTTAAGGTCAGTAAAGTGCGAGTGCATCCAAGTTCAACACAGAAATCCAAGAGTCGGGATTCTCCAACACTGATTGTGATCGATGGTTTCAGAAGGAATGGGAAGTGTCCAAGGAGGAGTGTCGAGATATGACTCAGTTCAAAGGATCACAATAAAGTGCTGTGTGCAAGAGTTCGATTTAGGCTGTGGGAGCCTCCTACCAGCCCAGGACCAGTGGTGGAGGAGGAGCTCCTTCAGGGTCCAGAGTCAGAGAGGTTCAGTTCCAGTGGACTCTAGCTCGCCATCAACATGCCAATTCCACGTGTAAACTCTAACATACGCGGCAGTTTCGCAACGAATGACAGAAAGGCAGTCGGCTCCTGCAGCACATCCAAAGCACGCTCTGCTCTTGCAAGTAATCAGAATCAGAATCATTATTATTGCCACGTAAGTACCAAACAAAAGTTACCACTTGGAAATTGTTTTGGCAGAGAGCGTGCCACTTTGCCATTTACGGCGCTGTGTGCAGCAAGAAACAGCAGCGAGCAATAACACAGTTTCACAGACAGTTGGATAGACACATTGTGCTTTGTATAAAACACAGATTTTTTTCTCGGGATGAGCACCTCCGACTGCCGGCCCAATGTGGCTGTCAGAGGGGGGCAGAGCCGGAAAGACAGTGAGGAGTGGAGGGGAGGGAAGGAGAAGGTGGATAGGTAGAGGGAGGCGGGGGGAGCAGGATCCGTGCTGGAGACTGCAGAGTGGTGTGTAGTTTGGAGGAACCCGTTTATCAGTGGCCTTGGCCGAGGAATGTAGATAAGAGTGGAGAGGAGACAGCCACAACAACAGAGAAAACTCCTCGCCTTGAGAGGGACAATATTAAATGCAATGTAGCGGTCAATAACAGGCAGATATTCTATTGAATCCAATTAATCCGAATTGCGGCGCCCTCAGACCTCCGTACACAGGGGCGTATCCATGCCAGGTCAGAGAGTTCATGATTGGCAGACAATGTCATTCAGCCTCATCTCAAGTGTCTTATGTCCTTCGAGCGAGCGTGTTGTGAGGTCTTTAATCAACTGTTCCACGACCACAACTCTCCTCTGACCAGTCACGGCACTCTCAACCACCACACGGCTTAACTCCTTGTACGTCCCATCAATTTTGTTGGCCAGCAGGTCGTGAATCTTACGAACCGACTCCGAATTTGCGGTAAAAAAGGACCGCTCCAAACCCGAAAAGGAGGATCCCCACCACCAGAATGCCAAAGATATATATGTCTTCCGAAAGTACGGACACTTCCTGGCACAGCGGCTGTATTGAACATTGATTTGGTGAACGTCGCGTCGAAAGCAGTGACGTCATCCTCAAAGATAAAAAACCAACTCAAGATAATACAGTTTGTCAAATTGACACCTCTTGAGGAGCACTGTCGCCTCCTGAGGAGCACTGTCACCTCCTGAGAAGCACTGTCACCTCCTGAGGAGCACTGTCACCTCCTGAGGAGCATTGTCACCTCCTGAGAAGCACTGTCACCTCCTGAGGAGTACTGTCACCTCCTGAGGAGCACTGTCACCTCCTGAGGAGCACTGTCACCTCCTGAGAAGCACTGTCACCTCCTGAGGAGTACTGTCACCTCCTGAGGAGCACTGTCACCTCCTGAGGAGCACTGTCACCTCCTGAGAAGCACTGTCACCTCCTGAGGAGCACTGTCACCTCCTGAAGAGGACCACTGTCACCTCCTGAGGAGGACCACTGTCACCTCCTCAGGAGGAGCACTGTTACCTCCTGAGGAGCACTGTCACCTCCTGAGGAGCACTGTCACCTCCTGAGGAGGACCACTGTCACCTCCTCAGGAGGAGCACTGTCACCTCCTGAGGAGAACCACTGTCACTGTCAGGAGGAATGTCACCTCCTAAGCTGATGTTTGTGTTTTGCTGGTGTCTCTTATGGTTTTGTGTCTGATGGTTGTATTGCAGGTGTCTCAGAACCTGATCCTCATCACAGACGGAGAGAGTCAGGATGCAGTGGAGGACGCGGCGCTGCGCCTCCGCAGGTCAGGGGTGGAACTGTGTCTCTGATGGTGCCTCTCTAATGGTTCCTCTCTGCTGGTGCCTCTCTGATGGTGTCTCTCTGCTGGTGCCTCTTTGATGGTTCCTCTCTGATGGTGTCTCTCTGATGGTGTCTCTCTGATGGTGTCTCTCTGCTGGTGCCTCTCTGATGGTCTTTCTCTGATGGTCTCTCTCTGCTGGTCTCTCTCTGCTGGTCTCTCTCTAATGGTGTCTCTCTGATGGTGTCTCTCTGATGGTGTCTCTCTGATGGTGTCTCTCTGCTGGTTTTTCTCTGATGGTCTCTCTCTGCTGGTCTCTCTCTGCTGGTGTCTCTCTAATGGTGTCTCTCTGATGGTCTTTCTCTGATGGTCTCTCTCTGCTGGTCTTTCTCTGCTGGTGTCTCTCTGATGGTGTCTCTCTAATGGTGTCTCTCTGATGGTCTTTCTCTGATGGTCTCTCTCTGCTGGTCTCTCTCTGCTGGTGTCTCTCTAATGGTGTCTCTCTGATGGTGTCTCTCTGCTGGTCTCTCTCTGCTGGTGTCTCTCTAATGGTGTCTCTCTGCTGGTCTTTCTCTGCTGGTCTCTCTCTGCTGGTGTCTCTCTGATGGTGTCTCTCTGATGGTGTCTCTCTGATGGTGTCTCTCTGATGGTGTCTCTCTGCTGGTGCCTCTCTGCTGGTGCCTCCGCAGTTCGGGGGTGGAGCTGTTTGTGATTGGCGTGGGCCATGTGCATAAGCTGGAGCTGCTGCAGATCACAAAGAGACCCGACCGACTCTTCACCGTCCACGACTTCGGAGGTTTAGAAACCATCAAGAAGAAGGTGGTGGATACCATCTGCAAGTCCCGCCCCGAGCAGGAACGCACAGGTCAGCCGCACCTCCTCCTGACCTCCTTCTGACCTCCTTCTGACCTCCTCCTCCCTCCTCCTGACCTCCTCCTCTCTCCTTCTGACCTCCTCCCTCCTCCTGACCTCCTCTGACCTCCTCCTCCCTCCTCCTGCCCCTAACCTCCTCTCTCCTCCTCCCTCCTCCTGCCCCTGACCTCCTCTCTCCTCCTCCCTCTTCCTGCCCCTGACCTCCTCTCTCCTCCTCCCTCTTCCTGCCCCTGACCTCCTGTCTCTCCTCCCTGCTCCTGCCCCTGACCTCCTCTCTCTCTCCTTCTCCTGCCCCTGACCTCCTCTCTCCTCCTCCCTCCTCCTCCTGCCCCTAACCTCCTCTCTCCTCCTCCCTCCTCCTGCCCCTGACCTCCTCTCTCCTCCTCCCTCCTCCTGCCCCTGACCTCCTCTCTCCTCCTCCCTCCTCCTGCCCCTGACCTCCTCCTCCCTCCTCCTCCCCCTGACCGCCTCTCTCCTCCTCTCTCCTGGTCCTCAGACTGCAGTATCGAGGTGGCCGTGGGCTTTGATGTGTCCCATGGTACCGGGTGGTCACCTGGTACCCTCCTGCTGCAGGGGCAGCCGCGGCTGCAGACGCTGCTCCCAGACCTGCTGCACTATCTGTCCACGGTCCCCAAACTGTGCTGCACTACGGGTGCCGTGACGCCCAACATGGCGTTCCACGTCCTGGACGCCGCCGGGCAGCTCATCATCGACACCAACTTCGAGCCGTACAAAGGGGGCGTGGCCTCCAAGATTATGGAGCTCCGCCCCTCACAGCCCTCACTGCTAAACTCCGCCTACCTCCTGTCATTCAAACAGCTGTTCCAGAAGTCCAAGGCCGGGGTCAAAGTCCTGGTCCTGTTCTCCGATGGACTGGACGAAGACCTGAACCGGCTCCAAGAGGCCTCTCGACAGCTGCTGGACTCTGGTGAGAAGGACCGGGTTAGACCTGGGTTACACCAGGGTTAGACCAGGGTTAGACCTGGGTTAGACCTGGGTTAGACCTGGGTTAGACCTGGGTTAGACCAGGGTTAGACTCTCTCTTTGTGGTATCTCTCTCCTCAGGTGTTAGCCCTCTCCTGGTGGTAGCTCTCTCCTCTCTCCTCAAGTGTTAGCTCTCTCCTGGTGGTAGCTCTCTCCTCTCTCCTCAGGTGTTAGCTCTCTCCTGGTGGTAGCTCTCTCCTCTTACCTGGTGGTAGCTCTCTCCTCAGGTGTTAGCTCTCTCCTGGTGGGAGCTCTCGCTTGGTGATAGCTCTCTCCTCAGGTGTTAGCTCTCTCCTGGTGGTAGCTCTCTCCTCTCTCCTGGTGGTAGCTCTCTCCTCTCTCCTCAGGTGTTAGCTCTCTCCTGGTGGTAGCTCTCTCCTCTCTCCTGGTGATAGCTCTCTCCTGGTGGTAGCTCTCTCCTCTCTCCTCAGGTGTTAGCTCTCTCCTGGTGGTAGCTCTCGAGGGAGCTAAGGACATGGCTCAGATGCAGATGTTAGAGTTTGGTCGTGGTTACGGATACAAACTCCCTCTGAGCGTCACCATGCAGAGCGTGTCCTCCAGTATCCTCAAGCAGATCGTACGTACTCACTACTTTACTCCAGTACTTATACTTCAGTTCCTCTACTCCTGTATATATACTTCAGTACCTCTACTCCTGTATATATACTCCAGTACTTCTACTCCTGTATTTATACTTCAGTACTTCTACTCCTGTATTTATACTCCTGTACTTCTACTCCTGTATTTATACTCCCGTATTTACACTTCAGTACTTCTACTCCAGTACTTATACTTCAGTACCTCTACTCCTGTATTTATACTCCAGTACTTCTACTCCAGTACTTCTACTCCTGTATTTATACTTCAGTACTTCTACTCCAGTACTTCTACTCCTGTAGTTACACTTCAGTACTTCTACTCCAGTACTTCTACTCCTGTATTTATACTTCAGTACTTCTCCTCCAGTACTAGAAGTACTCCACTTAGTATTTTCTGTGTTTTTTTTCAGGACGCAGTATCAGAACGACTCTGCTGCAACGTCTCCTGCAAATGTTCTGGACACGAAGGAGAGAGGGGGCTGAGAGGAGGGCCAGGTCCTAAGGTACTACTGTACCACTACCATGACTACTACTGTACTAGTACCATGACTACTACTGTACCACTACCATGACTACTACTGTACCACTACCATGACTACTACTGTACTAGTACCATGACTACTACTGTACTACTACCATGACTACTACTGTACTAGTATCATGACTACTACTGTACTACTGTACCACTACCATGACTACTACTGTACCACTACCATGACTACTACTGTACCACTACCATGACTACTACTGTACCACTACCATGACTACTACTGTACCACTACCATGACTACTACTGTACCACTACCATGACTACTACTGTACTACTACCATGACTACTACTGTACTAGTACCATGACATCTACTGTACCACTACCATGACTACTACTGTACTACTACCATGACTACTACTGTACTATTACCATGACTACTACTGTACTACTACCATGACTACTACTGTACTACTACCATGACTACTATTGTACTACTACCATGACTACTACTGTACCATGACTACTACTGTACCACTACCACAACTACTACTGTACAACTACCATGACTACTACTGTACTACTATCATGGCTACTACTGTACTACTACCATGACTACTACTGTACCACTACCATAACTACTACTGTACTACTACCATGACTACTACTGTACTACTACCATGACTACTACTGTACCACTACCATAACTACTACTGTACTACTACCATGACTACTACTGTACTACTACCGTGACTACTACTGTACCACTACCATAACTACTACTGTACTACTACCATGACTACTACTGTACTACTACCATGACTACTACTGTACCACTACCATAACTACTACTGTACTACTACCATGACTACTACTGTACTACTACCATGACTACTACTGTACCACTACCATGACTACTACTGTACCACTACCATGACTACTACTGTACCACTACCATGACTACTACTGTACTACTACCATGACTACTACTGTACTACTACCATAACTACTACTGTACTACTACCATGACTACTACTGTACTACTACCATGACTACTACTGTACTACTACCATGACTACTACTGTACCACTACCATGACTACTACTGTACTACTACCATGACTACTACTGTACCACTACCATGACTACTACTGTACCACTACCATGACTACTACTGTACCACTACCATGACTACTACTGTACTACTACCATGACTACTACTGTACTAGTACCATGACTACTACTGTACCACTACCATGACTACTACTGTACCACTACCATGACTACTACTGTACCACTACCATGACTACTACTGTACTACTACCATGACTACTACTTTACTAGTACCATGACTACTACTGTACTACTACCATGACTACTACTGTACTAGTACCATGACTACTACTGTACCACTACCATGACTACTACTGTATTACTACCATGACTACTACTGTACTACTACCATGACTACTACTGTACTACTACCATGACTACTACTGTACTAGTACCATGACTACTACTGTACCACTACCATGACTACTACTCTACTACTACCATGACTACTACTGTACTACTACCATGACTACTACTGTACTTGTACCATGACTACTACTGTACTACTACCATGACTACTACTGTACTAGTACCATGACTACTACTTTGGCTACCACTATGACTACGACTACTACTTGTACTTCCCTCTCTGTGTATTTCTACTTCACTCTATGTGTATTTGTAAACAGGGTGCCCCGGGGCAGATGGGATTTCCTGGTTTCCCCGGAGACGAGGGCGTTGCCGTGAGTACAATTTCCTTGTGCACTCTCATCTTGTGTCCATGGTAATGTGTGAAAACATAAGGCCGTCTCCAGGGCGACCGCGGGCGACCGGGACCCAACGGACCCCCTGGAGTGGAGGGCTGTCAAGGGCTCCGAGGGCAGAAGGTAAGAGCCAATCAGAGCGCAAGATACTCACACACAGCCAATCACACCAGACTGTCTACATCAGCCATTCCCAAACTCAGTAACACCGAGGCCCCCTTAAAAATCTGACGGGTCTGCGTGGCCCCCCAAAATAATAACCAAGAAGACAACATTAAGAATAGGCTCTTCTGGTTATTTTATTGCGGGGAAATAGCCTCTGCTACAAACATTGTAATACAAAAATGATTACAGTGGCTTATTCAAGTCAAATAATGAACACAAATATTTTAATATTACAAACAAAACATTATAAATTTAACATTAAATCATTATATTATTTTTTTATTTTTTTTATGACCTCCCGCGGCCCCCCTGCAGTACCCACGCGGCCCCCCTGCAGTACCCACGCAGCCCACCAGGGGGCCGCGGACCCCACTTTGGGAGACACTGGTCTACATGAACAATGACAACACTCTAGCTCAATGCAAACCCACTAGCTCAGTGCTAACCTGTTAGCTTAGTGTTAACCCGTTAGCGCAATGCTAACGCCTTAGCTCAGTGTTAACCTGTTAGCACTGAGCTGTGGTGATGTCACACTGTGGTGATGTCACACTGTAGGGATGTCACACTGTGGTGATGTCACACTGTGGTGATGTCACACTGCGGTGATGTCAAACTGTAGTGATGTCACACTGTGGTGATGTCACACTGTGGTGATGTCACACTGTGGTGATGTCACACTGCGGTGATGTCACACTGTAGGGATGTTACAATGTGGTGACAGTGTGACATCAGTCACATACAGTCCATGGTCTTTACCTTTGCTCCAGTTCAATCAGACACAGAATCGCAGAAGCAACAATTGTTGATTAGCCAAGGGCAGATTAGAAAGTTTGACCTGCTGTTGTTTGTGTTGCCAGGGTTACCGAGGCATCAGAGGAAACAGGGTGAGACCACTTTATCATCAACAATAACATTCAAAACATGAAGAAAAGACATGAAATAAAGACATGTGTTTAATCAGGGAGATAACGGAGAGGACGGGCTGAACGGGTTCAACGGGGAACAGGTGAGTACACATGGTACCAGGAGT